CAACTCGAGTTGTTGTCTCCAATTGGATGTTGCTGGCGCAGTGGCACAAGTTGTTGGCCCATTGGCAACTGTGTTTTCTGGTGTAGCTGGTATGCCTAGTAATATGGCTCGTATGGCTGGTGGTTTGGGCGGTGCGTCACGTGGCACTATGGAAATGGTCAATGGAGTACTACAATTTAGACTCTAATCTACATGAAAATTTATATTTTTGATTTCGAAGTGAAACAAGAAACAAGTGGAATAAAATGGAACATAGACTTCTTGGCGATTTTCACGCTACCGATTAATGATGAAAGTCAAAGCCTATAGATAACTTTGTATTTGTCTACCATCACTTATTTCTTACCAGTTGAGCAAAAATCGTCGATTAGTCCATGTTCCACGTTAAAAGATTTTTGTCTGTCATGATTCATGCACTTGGACAGCGAATTTGAATGAAATCAGACGACATTCACATCGTTTCTTGGAATCGTTTCTTAATTTCAATTTGCGCCGCAAAAGTATCGTAAAGACAAAATTTAAATGTTCGAGATTTATTCAATGGATTCGATGAAATTAACTGCTAATTGAGACAACATCGAAGTGTCAAGTTTTAAAAATATCAGCCTTTTTCACTTTCTTTCGTTCATTCAACTAAAAATAGACGACAAAATGTCAACAAAAGTCTATGTTTCGGTTTATAAAATTCATTTAAACAAAACGAATCGGCATTTACCGGTTGGAGAATGACGTTTAACAACAACCGGAGAATCGCCTCTTCGTTGCGTGTATGAATCAGTGTGCTCGCAATGTTTTCTATTTATTTGTGTAAATATGGCACCAACACAGTTGCGAATCTACGGGTATTTGACAGTCGTTGAATTCACATGCGTTGACTTCACCGTCTGTAGTGGAAAGCGAAAATATTATTCAATTGTGGAATTAAGATAGTTCGTTTGTTAGAGTGTTACCGTTATGTTTTTAATGACATTTGTAGCACATAGGAATTTCTTTATTTAAAATAAAATTACTTCTTTTTTTGATGAAAAAATGAACATTTTCTATCAAGTATTTTTAGCAACTTCTCATGAGACTTTTAGATACGATGTTATCAGCTCTTTAACTCGCTGTAACAATTTGGACACATTTATGCTTGAAATGTACCAAAAAATCTCTTTAGAGCCCACATATAAATAAATATATTTATCCTATTCCGCAGATTTTGTACCAAAATGCCATTCCAAGTTATTGTATATCAAACCGTCGTTGAAAGGTACTAGTATTTAGGTCAAAACAAGAATTCACAACAACTCAGTGGGTCGATTTTCTGGCAAAAAATATCCCTCCAATACGCAATATACGATTTTCGCACAGAAAAAAGTGATAAAATCGGTCTACCCAAGAAGAAAAATCAAAGTCGTTCAAAGTTGTTACCTTCAACTTTACTTAAGTCTTGAAAGAGAAAAAAAGTCTGGGGAAATTATAAGCTTGCAAAATAATGAGGCTTCAAAAATAATGATAGAAAAGAACACGAGATAATTGAATGCTTCGGCGAAGCATTGAACTTTGAAGACAAATCAAATCGATAGGAACAATAAAAAAAACTCTTTTGTAAAGAAGCCAAAAGTGAGTGCACTGCACACTACACATCAATATTCGAAGTGAAACCTAATGGCTAATTCTCAATGTGATATGGAGCACGTATCTCCAATGTTTGTCGTCTTTGACATTCATTATCAAGAGAGTGGTTAATTAAATCAAAACGGCGTATCGATTCCGGAATATCCCATAAACACGCTAATCCCAAAGAAATGTTCATTCCAATAACATTGGCTCGTATTAGGGGCAATAGTCATTGCAATGCTCTTCATTCGATTATATTCTATCTGGATGAATCTTTCTTTGGCGTAATCATCTTAATCCATGGTGAAGAACACGAGCAAAAAAATAATAATAATAATACATATCCAGTAAATATTTATCTCGAGCGAGAGGCAATAAAAATATTGCCAACTCAATCATTTGGAAATTAATATGTTCAATCTGTAAATATGTGTGTTCGATGTGGGAAAGACGGTCTATTCTGGGATTATCAGTGGCGTATTTCTTTCTTTCGTTTGTCGTATGCGATATCCGTAGGCCAAAGCACCAAATATCCAACAATCAATTCCGTTTTCGGTTGCAATAAACGTTCTCTATTCATATTGTCAGCTGTTGCTCTTCGGTGAACTTTCCGTTTTTGTGCGTATCATGGCAGGTGAGTTCGATACATACAGCGCCATTGTTTCTGTTGCGATGAAATGGATTTTGCTTTTATAACCCTGCCCGCACACGATTGATATTTTATTTATGGTTTTCTTCATGCTGTATCATCTGTTTATTATTTACGGATTCCGTTTTTTTCTTTCTCAGCCATTCGTTTCACAGAAGAATGTAATGTTATCGAAATGTTGTTTAGGCAATGAACGAACCAAGACGAAAAAAATAAGAACGGCGAAGGATATTCGATTTGCGCATCATTTATGTTCATTTTATTGATGTGAGTCTCGCTAAAAATGATGTATACCGAGTAGGTAATAATTTCGCTTGTTTATTGACAGTCAATTTTATTTATTAATTTTGATTTATTTTGGCACATAAATCAGGACAACGAGAAGAGTGAGTCAAACTTTCTACTTTATTACATGGTCCGAAAGGAGAAGAGCAGAAAAGAAGTAAAAGAGAAAAACGACATTCGGCCCTTATCACCTGATACAAATCCCTCCATATTGTCGTGGATTTTATTTAGTCAATCATTTTGATGGCAAAAACACTCAATCAAACTGCGGAATTGCTACACGCACAACACACACACGCATCACACATAAATGTGTACACATTCGATTGTACTTTTCGCCATTTGTCCTCTTCGGGAATCGGCGCTGGCAACAAAGCCAAAAAGTGTCACTGGAAATAAAACAAAAGAAACGAATTAACTAAAATGCAATCAACGAAATGCGACACAATCAAATCTCCAACACATTTTTACCATCGGACCATGCGAAAATAAAATGGAGACAACAGAAATCACCATTGACAACGCGTCGTTGCCATTTGGATTCTCAGTCGCTCGTTCTTCTTCCCTTTGTTCTCTTGCATCGCACATATTTTCCATACGATTTTAATCCGAAAATATTACGGACGCTGTTTTATGCGAAACACTTTTATGTGTTGCCATTCGAATTGAATATGAGTGAATGAGAAGAAAGAGGGTGGGTGAGAGACAGAACGACAGAGTGGGAGAGTATCCAAGCGGATGGACGATTTAACTGTTGTTTTTATTTGTCGCTGTGATAAATGTAAAATCAAGTAAAGTGTTTTCCATGTCTTTTACTAGTTCCGATATGCCATTGCCACCGGACATTCGGTGGGTGGGTGGTTGGTTTGGTGAGCGACGCAAATAATAAATTTCACTTTTATCGAAGTTGTTGGTGCGTATTTTTATGCACATTCACATTGTGATTATGACTCAATGTTATAACTCGATTTTCATGGAAACACGCGTTTCATTGTTCGTTTGGTCGTCCGAAAATTCAACAACATCACTCAAACGCGCACACACACAATTCGCGGCGCTTCTTTATCCATATTTATGATACGTGTTCTATGCGGAGGTGGAAGCAACCCGTAGTAGGCTTGCTTACTCGAGCAGGCAGTTGCCTTGCTTGCTGCTCACTTGAAGTCGACTCGGATCAGAGTAAGTTGCACGAGCAACTGATCCAACCGAGTCGACTCCAAGTCCAAACTTGCTCGAGTAAGCAATTACTAAACAGAAAATAGAAAACTTACTTGATAAATTCAAATAAACGAAAAAGAATATGATAAACCCTCCTTCATTCACGTATTTAAAACCCTTAGATCGCTCACCTCGGGTCTGGCTGAACCCCTATGTATTTATATGCATTTGTATGGGAATAAGGTATGCATGCCATCTTATTTTTCATGAGACTGATAAAAGATAAGTGATAACTGTCCAGTTATACAATTTTTTTCTATTCGCCATTTCCTTATCTCTTATCAGTTCCGCGAAAAATGATAAGAGATATCTCGCGTTATTCGCGGTGTTTCGCGATAATAATCAAAGAGATAACGAATTTATGCTCTGGGCAAATCTGTAGTACTTTATCTGCCCTACCACTTTGTCGGAGACAGTTATCACTTATCTCTTCTTTATTTCGTTATCAGTTACGCAAAAAATGATAATCAAAACTATCCATCATGCTAGCGGTCTTCTGCGGTTTTTCGCGTATTTCACGTAACTGATAAGAGCAACACTGTCTATCTCATATGCTATAGCAATGCTTGACGTTTAGAACTGCTGTGGAAACTTTGTTGGGAGCGCCACCAACCACAAATCTCTGTAACTATACGTACGTGTGAAAGTAAAGTCTTTGTGTGTACGTTCGTGTGAATGCAAAGAGTCTATGTGTGCGTTGTACACAGGGGTGTTGATTCGTTCGAACGTCGCATCCAATGTCGCATCATGTTAGGTGGCGCTATTGATATACTTTGCTTCAATCGTCAACAAAATACATCAAGTATTTCTCCGTTTTGGATAAGAGATAAGTGATGACTGTCTTCAACGAAGTGGTAGGGCAGATAAAGTACTACAACTTTGCCCAAGACATAGATCCGTTATCTCTTATCAGTTGCGCAAAAAACCGCGAAAAACGCGAGATATCTCTTATCATTTTTCGCGGAACTGATAAGAGATAAGGAGATGGTGAACTGAAATAAATTGTAGTACTTGACCTGCTCTACAACTTTGCTTAAGACAGATATCAATTAACTTTTATCAGTCTCGTGAAAAATGAGATGGCTTGCATACCTTACAAATGCATACAAATACATAGGGGTCCAGCCAGACCCGAGGTGAGCGATCGAAGGTGTGATTTTTTTAATGGATCTTTTGTTAGATCAATAGCCAATGAAATTTTAGGCAGGTAACTTAAAACTCAAGTCGCTAGGAATGTGTTAATTAACGATCAAAAACGAAAAAGGTCTGGCCAGACCCAGGTGAGCGATTGAGGGTTAAATGATTTATTAGATTTATATAAGAAAAAATATTTTTATTATTATATTAAACAAGTAAAATCTTTTGTCCTTGATCTAATTGTTCATCGATGAATAAACCATGATTTTCCACAAAAGATGCCAAGTCCAATCTACGGATAGCTTGAATAATTGAGCACGGCACAATTTTTTCCTTGACCGACTGACTCAAGTTCCCTTTGATTTCAATCTTGCATGGCTTGTTTACGAGAAATTCGCGACATTCTTCAATGGTTGTGTTCGACCATTGCTTGTTTCGGCTGTATGCTCGGAGCTCCGGAACAAAAAAGCGATGCACCAACATTGGAATTTCAGAGAAACTTGTGGCCGCATACAAATTATTCAATCGTGTCACAACTTTATCACCATAGTCGACGAACATTATCTGCAGAGAAAGAATTGAAAAAAGTCAATGTCATGTCATTAGCGATGTCATTAGCAATGAAGTTGCTTGCTGTGGAAAGAAATGTTCTCACCTGGCACGTCCCGTTTTCTCGATCAATTGACTTGATAATACCCCGACGAAAGTATTCGCCATGCTTGGTAAAGCAGGTGTTGGATTTTCGCCATACGTGACCCATTTCGCATTGTGGCTTTCCGGCAAGATAGTTTGTAATAGATATTTCCAAGGAATTTGCGATCTCATGGTCCTTTTCAATTTGCACGAAAATGGTTCCAGTTTCGTGAATGTGTGTTACAATTCCAGAAATCGTAGCTCGATCAATGCGACTTGGGAGGTCCCATTTAGCAATATTTGTTGAGCACGGTTCGTTTGTCGGGGCAATTGCAGATGCTTCGTCACCAATTTCACTGAGCGCACATTTTTCCAACATTTGACATTCATCGAAACTATCATCACGACCATCATCATTTCCAAATTTATTGGTTCTGTATTGGTATTGTGTTCTGTCAATGTAGTATTGTATCGATTTCATCATTAATCGTAATAGAAAACAGCATACGAAATTTAAGGGAGTTTTATCTAACGAAGCTGAAGTTCCAATTGGTTTACCACAAGGTACACAGCTGAGTGTTTACTTATTTCTTTTATACATTAACGACCTCCCCGAAATACCAGACATAGGCGAAATTGTTCTTTTTGCCGATGATACTGGGCTAATAGTAAAACACAAAAATACTAGAACTGCCATAGAAATAGCAAATCGTGAACTGAAAAAAATTGAATACTGGTTTAATGCCAACAAACTTAAAACGAATGTTCTAAAAAGCAAATGGATGTTAATTGGTAAAGAAAACTCTAGTGACATGAATGATCTTGAAATAAAAATGGATAATCAAATCATAGAAAGGGTCAAAGAAATTAAATATTTAGGATTTGAAATTGATGAAAAACTGGACTTCAATGCACAAATAAATTCTATAACCAAAAAATTAGCCAGTAAAATAAATGTATTGTACCGAATCCGTGACAAAATAACTTTCGATATAAGAAAAATTGTATACAATTCGATTATTCAACCTCATTACGATTATTGTTCAACGCTTTATATAAATTGTACGAAGGAACAAATTGAACTGATGCAAAAACTACAAAATCGAGCTATGCGATATATTTTGAAATGCGACTATAGAACTCCTTCTGAATTTATGTTAAAAAGTTTGAATTGGATGAGTGTAGCCGAAAGAATTAACTATAATGCCATGTTACTTGTTTATAAAATGAAAAATGATCTCGTCCCCCGATACTTATGTAATAAAATTAGATATGCAAATGAATTCCACAATAGAAATACAAGAAATAGAAATGAAATTAGGCTTCCAGATATAAGAACAGAGAACGCAAGAAAATGTATATTATACAACGGTGTGAAATTATTTAACGAATTACCAAATGAAATAAAAAATGTAGATAGTATTAATATATTTAAAAAGAGACTTGCCTTGCACATAAAAGAATAAAAGTTAGGGATTTTAATAATTGTAAAACTAAAAAGCGAAAGCTAATCACAAATAAAATAAAATAAAAAATAAAATAAATTAAGCGACTCATGAGTTTCAAGTTCAAATCGTCCCAATCGTGGTCCCATCCAATTTCACCGGGTGCATTACTTCCCCACAGTGTTATAACAGCCATGTGCTCGCTATAGCTAGCTGCCAATTTTGTATAGCTTCTGAACAATTCACGCAGTAACGTTACGGTTTCTTCTAGATCGATTGATGCAATGCTGGGAATATCCACGCTGCAGAATGTCACTGAATCTTCGTGATTTGCTAAGTTATCTGTAATCGGCATCAAATCACATGCTCTTGCTTGGACTTTGTACCCATAGTCGCAAATAAACACTTCATATGAATATTCACTTTGCGCTAGTATCCGTCCACGATACCATAGCATCATCTTGCTCGTTACCAACGGATTCTGCTGAATAACCAAGCAATTATCTCCAAGCGACCAATTTATATTGACACGGCCTCTAACCGAACGTACATAAGAATTTATTTCTTGTCGAATTTCCGTAATACGTTTTGCGCCTTTTTCATCTCTCACGTAGATTTCCGTCGGTGATACGATGTGAGATATTTCAACCAGTTTCTTCGAACCAATTTGTGAATCAGACTTCAAACCGAATGGCTCATAGACGAGACTCTTAAACCAATCTTCACATACTTTGTTATCAAAAACAATTTTGTTGTAGTTGAATGCTGCGTATGATTCGTGTAAAAGATATGCGTTCCCATTGCAATCGTCTGTCAGTAAAATCACATCGTATTTATAGTACGTTCCGGGCACCAAACCTTTGAAATATATCAAAACTTTATCATTTTTCTTCACGATTTCCTGGAACGTTTGCAACAGTTCATTTTTCTTGGAGTCAGTGAAATCTTCATTGTCTTTGTTCAGTACAGCAAGCTGACATTCGAAGGAAAACGGAGCGACGGTGGCATGCTCGAATTTGAGCATATGTATTTGTGATTTTTGAACGAAAATGCTGTGCCCATAATCGATCAAAAATACCTCGCAAGTTTCTTCATTTCCTTCTGATACAATTTCCATGACTTCGCCTCTTCGATAGTCTCCATCGAACAATACACCACAAATGTCATTTATCTTCACTTCATCCAGTTGCTCGTATTTGTCATACGTGAAGTTCAATGCGTTTTGAAAATCTGAGCGAAAAGACTTCTCGCAAGTCTATAAGAAATGTTTGAGGAAAATAAGATCAAACCTATATTGGAGAAAGATATTGTAAAAATACCTTTATTGCAAAAAACTTGTCCAAAGATCGAAAAAGATCGGAAAAGTCGATGAAAAGTTTGTGTTCTCGAGACGAATTTTGGTTTGGCTTTGTCGAGATTTGCTGCCATTCAATGTGGTCGAAAAAGTGGGGTTTCTGGATTTTTTCACCTCACTAAATAGGAAAAAGAGTGACATTCCGTCGAGAACAACAATTGCAAACATGGCCCTTGATGACATGTTTGACTGTTTGAAAACAAAATTGATTGGTCATTTGAAAGAAACCCAACGTAAGTACAAAATGACGAATCAAATTGATTGATTCAGTCAATAGAATTCAAAACATGGAATGTGTGTTCATTTTTTTCAACATTTTTCTATTTTGACCATTTTTCAGAGCACTGTTGCGTCGCATTTGATATGTGGACGGACAATTACCGTCGTATTTCATACATGACATATACGTGCCATTATGTAACCGATAGTTGGAAACTTATGAGCCGTGTATTGAAAACAGCTATGTTCGAACACCCACACACATCGATACGCATCGAAGAAAACTTCAATGCAATGATGGATGAATATGGCCTCAGAGACAAAGAAATAATTGCGGTCGTGGATGGGGCAGCCAATGTCAATCGAACGGTAAACGACATGGGATTCGTCAAAATTAAATGCATAGCACATTCCATCAACCGACTCATTCAATTTGACCTAATTCAAAAGGGCGAGGGAATCGAAGATGTGAAAAATATCATCAAAAAGTTGCGTCTTATCCAAAAAGCATTGCTATACAGCTATGGTCAGTTAACGAAAATGGCCAAAAATGAACGACAAAAGCAAATTTTTGAGTTGCTTGAGGAATTAACAGCGATTGAGGAAGCGATTGAAGCCGATGAGCGATTTAGCGTCGAAGATTTGACAGCGGCACCAGCAGGAATGGATGGCTTGAAGAGTATTAGTTCAGTTCGATGGAATTGCATTTACAAAGTCTGTCATGCTCATTTTCATAATTCAGGTGAGTACATATATGGAAATTGTGTGGTTTCGTCATAACATCATTTGAAAATTTTCAAATACAATTTACTCTTTTTCTTTTTTGAATTTTTACAGCTATCGTCAAGAAATGTCTTGAACATCATGCAGCGTATGAATTGATTTTATCACGCTCAGAACTTGCATTGCTAGGACGAATCGTCGAAGTGCTCGAAGTGTTCAATACTTTCACCAAATACGTACAAGGGAACAGTTACCCTACGTTAAATTCACTTATTTTGTTCTATGTGGAAATCAAGGGAAATTTAGAACAAATCCAACGTGAGAATATGTGTGAAGTTATTAACAAAGTAGTCAACATTCTCCTGAAAAATCTGGACCATCGTTTCCAGTTGACGGATGCATGTATTGCTGCTGCTATTTTGGACCCTTCGAGTCAACACCTGCCATTAATACAATCGTGGCTTCGCGATAAAGACCTTTCAAGAGAAGATCTGCTTCATCGAATGGTTGATCAGCTCAAGATTAAGCTGCCAAGTGCAAGCGACCCACATGACGAGAGCGAGCATCCACCGGACAACGTTCAGAGTCGACACATGAGTCTGCGTGAAAAACTTTTGTCTCGTCATGTGCCAATCCATAGAGCCGGACTAGATAATTCAATTGAAGGCGAATTATTGCGATTTCAAGACATCCGAGAAATCTTCGATGATGTGCTGGATTTTTGGAGAAAATTTGCTGACAACTATCCAAATTTAGCTGCGATAGCTAAAGTTTTATTTAGCATCCAAGCGACAACGGCAACGGCCGAAAGTTCATTCTCATTCGCTGGTTCCGTAATCAGAAGTCGCCGTGCAACCATCGACCCATACAGAGTCGAAAAAGTGTTATTCATTCATGACAATTACGATCTATTTCAATTGTAACTTTTTCAATTGTAGTTGTACAAATTACTTTTAAGCAGAGCATAAATAATACTATCAAGTATTTTCTTTGAAAAAATAATGTAGTCAATGTGACTGTGATCCAAACAATGTAGTGAAAAATAAATAGTATATCGGTTGGAAAAAATACTTTATTTTGGGATTTGCTCACCGCATGAAACATACTCTACTTTTTCCAAAATCAATACATCCATACATCCAAAGCACGTTAAACTAGGTTCGAGCAAGTAATGGAGTAGACAAGCAATGAGCATACTCAGAAATATAATCTACTTCTTTCAAGCAAGTAAAAACCCACTTGCTTCATTCGAGTTTTTCTTTAGAAATTGAACAGTCTGCTACTTACTACTCAAAAAATTAACTTGCTACTTGCTCGAAGCAGAGTTTTTGCTTGCTTGCTTCCACCTCCGGTTCTATGTAGCACATTTGATGCCAGCCTATCATTTTTACGACCGAAAACCATCTTTGTTCATCAAATATAAATAAATTGTGATAAAAACAAGTTGCCAGAGAGTGGAAATAAGCAGTGCTCACGATAAACGGGCTAAATCACAAGTACAGATTGTTACATGGATACTCTGAATTCCATCTCCATTTTACCACCCCCTTCTGTTATTTTTTCTTTCTGTTTTCAACACCAAAATACAATGTTAAGTGTACACGCGTATCTGACCACTCAGATCTTATCTTTCACTCACCCTGATTGACTTTTATTACATTGCAACTAACAGCTGAGCATAAATCACAAATTAGAATTGATTACTCGCAACTTTCGACCGAAATGAGTGTCGAGCTGCGTTTGTGTGTGTTTTGGGAAAAATTTAGTGCTTGTAGCATCTGCTCTGGTAACGTGTTAAATGGATGACTCTCACTCGCTTTCTCTTGATATGTCTATCGATTTGAACGACGGAAAGGATTTCGCATACTTGAGCTTGAAATAACTATATATTTTGAACGAGAAGCAACTTCGACATTTTCAGGTGATATCGGCTTTCCTCTAACTATTTTCGATTGTTCTTCCTGTTTCGGTTTCAACGTGTACGACTCGAAGTGTATTGCGACTAGTTATCGATTTCTCAGTCTGCCACTTGTACAAATCACAGAAGCATTTCGAGAACTTTGAGCACAACTCAAATCAATTGGATATTCGGTAATTCGAGCAGACAACCAATAATGTCAATGAATCGACTGCGTCAGCCAGTCGGATCACAAATCAATGTGTTGGCCGATATTTTGCGGTCGAAATTGAAATCAAATTTTCAAGAAATTTTGATTCATTCGTCTTCTCTAGAATGGCCAAGTTTTTGAACATTTTCAGACATGTAGAAACACACAACACACACACACACACCCAAGGTTATGTATATACATTGACCGGATGAAAACGTGCAATTCATGTAAATGAAGAATTTATTCTCCCATTGGGATTGCACTTGTACTGAAGTTCGGATGAAACCAACATAACCTATGGATTGCTTGGATTCAATTGAATTGAATTAAATGTCTCATGTTATTCTACCGTCTGAATATTGCGGCCATGCAAAATGTTGACCTCTTTTCGCCATCAAGTGTACACACTGCACAATCAACTAATCTCTTTCTGATTATGTCGAAACCATCATTAACTTTACTATCTTCTAATCAGCATGTTGTTCACTATCTACTTCGATGTTCCTATTCCAAGTAAGCTCTTTCCAAGGCATACTCTTCACATCGCAATGAACTCGGAATTTGCGGATAGAAAAAGAGATAAAATAACAACTAAACATAAATTAAAATTTTTTGTTCAAAATTTTAGTGCATGCTATGATTGCCAACTACAATCTGATATTTTAATTTTCGAAGCGTCGATGATCTCAAAATACATTGCTTTCGGGAAAAAATCAAAAACATTTGCCAGAGAATTCCTTCAATCGAGGTATATATCGTCTGTTTTCGCCTCTTCGGTGTACTACTTGATTTTGTTAGTTTTCAAGTCTGCTTGGTGATCGAAGTATTTGAATTGAAGCTAAAAATACAGAAAATATTTACGAAACCATTTTTGAACGATTGAAAAAAATAAAATTCAATTTCCTGAACCAAAACATTTAGGCAAGTCGTGAAAAATTTATTTTTCATGAATAAAAAATGTACGAATGACCTTGAAATATTTTCGAAAAATCCAAAAATGGTGAAAAATTTATTTACCGCCAGAAAATGTCAAAATATATTTATTTTAAATTTTTTGGTTTGCCCTGCGTAGATGAACTTGACTAAAATTGAAGGTTTTATCCGAGATAATCTCTTTTAGCCAGTCAATAGCCAGTTAAAATATGCGGAATTAATTATTAATAGTCATAGTTGGTTCCAATATTTTCACTCAGGGTGTCTTAAAAACATTTTCTCTGAATGATTTAATATAGCGACGAAAATTACAGTTAGAAGGTCCTTCTGCTGCACTTTTAAGTAAAAAAACAAATTCGAATCGATTTTTATATACAAGTTTATTTATTCTACTTTTATATTTTTTTCTAAACCTTTATTTTCGTTTTCATATTTTTTTTTTCATTCTAATCTCTACGGCAACAACATGAATACGTGAAATAACACTAATTAGCAATTGATTACAATAATAAAATTATGCGTATGGCGAGGATTATTACAAGTTTCGCTAGGATGGGCTAAATTTTGATTAGTTACAAAAAAATGTTTTCTAAATAAATTTGGATTTATGCTAAAACTAATACTAATAAAATGCTCATCCTATTTGAATCAAATAATTAATTTTTTGTGATTTTGATTTCATTTTTTCAGGTATATTAAATATACCTATACATAATTTCAATAAAAACAATTTCTTCAGGAATCCATCATTCCAATTCCATTTGAATCTTGCACAACTGCCGATCATTACAGTCCAGACGTTAATAACCAAAGTGATAAAGCGTTGACTACGCTCACTTGTATGTTTTGTATGGAATTTTACCACAACGCAAAGAAATTGAAGTGGTAGAATCAGGTTTTTTGTCGCAACGGTTCAATTGTGATACGATGTTTGGCATATCGACTACAATAATATAATGTCAATTCATCGCTAATTTTAAAAGTAAGCTCATTACTATTTTTACAATAGCTCATGGATTTGAATCTGCTATTTTGAATTTACCTTACCTAGGATAAGATTTATCTAGGATGCCATAATCCGAACAAAACATTAGCTTCAATAGGACTAAAATAAATGTAGATCGTTTAGCAAAACGAAATGTAAATTGTAAAAAAATAGCTAAATGCACAATTAATAAATGCATAAAAAATAATGTCAATTGTGGATGTTTAAAATTGCAATAAGTCTTAAGCGATATAAAAATATCTGTTCGTTGTTCGAATGTGTAAAATGGAAAATAAATCTTTTCTCTAATAAAATATACTCCTCTTAATCATAGAGTATTTACAAAGTAGTATATTGAATTTTTAAGCATTAGTTTATAGTTTGACAATTAAAGAAGAAAAAAATCTCATCGTGAGCGATTGAATAGTGTCAAAAAAATGCGACCGCACCTTTGTTCGGACGAATGACTAAAGTTTAAAAATAAAATACAGGCTAATTTTAAATGCAAAAAGTGGATAAAATGCACGGATTCAAACAGATCTAATCGTTTCTTAAAATACAATCGGTTTTTTCCTCTAAAATCCATTGGTAAGTGGTTTCTTTTTCGGGAACATAATCAATTTCGTGAGCATTGATACAATGCACGGCATTTGTTTGTAAGCATCTTCCGATTGATAATCAACAGCCACCTTCTGATTGACTAAAGTAAGCATTTGAAATAAGTCCAGTTCATGTTTTTTCTCGTTGAGTACTTTACAGAGACTTTCAATGAACCAAGTGCCGTTTTCAGTGTCTCGATACGATACATGGCCCGGCATTGTGGAGTATACAATTAAATAGTCCTTTTGTGGCCGTTTCTTTTTGTCAAGTTGTACGGATTCGAATGTCTTGTATTTGGTCGTCGAAAACGGATTACTATCCTGTCCAGGTGCTCGTCGTCGGTATATCGAGCTATAGTTTTGCGTTGACACACCATACCCTTCGTCGGTCGCTTTACCTTGGCACGCTTGGATCAAAAAAATTTTCGGTTTATTGGCCAGGCTGGGACATTTATCATCCGTGAAATGCTCCCAAATCTTTTGCAATGGATATTTATTGTCCGATGCATGCAAATAGCTGACAAGGTCATGCGCTAAAATGGTCGATAATAATTGACCTCGAAAGTTTCGACTACCAACCAATGGCACTTGGTCACCGTGTGTTAAAACGACGATCATCAAACAATCACTATCCGAGTGATCTTTGGCAGCAACTGAAAAACAACAAAGTATAAATTAATAACAAATTTCAAATATCGATATCATTCAGTGATGTTTCATTAAATTTGATTGGTGTTATTTCGTCCATGTCAAAAGTTTCTTGACCGTCTGCTAAAAACCGGTTTGAATGATCGAAACAATTTTATCAGGTGAACATATCACCGTGTGGTAATTCTTTTTTTCTTGGGCTATACAAATGTTAAATCGAGTACTCACTTTCTTCAAGAATGCCTTTAATGTCGGAAATGGACTCGTTTTCAAAGATTTCCACATCAAAATCCAGCGCTTCGAGTGTTTTATGCAAATTATCACGATCGGCTCGTGTGCCTTTTCGCGGAGTGTTACAGTCGAATACTTCATGGTTGAAAATCAATGCTAGGCCGCGTTTTTTGTGGTTCATTTTGTAGTAATGGTTTGGGCTGAATTGATCGTCCCACTTTGCCTCAATCGTATCTGGAGTGTCAAATTGAGGCATTGGCAGTGGATCGATGCTGATGAAATTACACAAAAAACGAATGAAAAAAAAATAAACAAAAAATTAACATGATTCATAACAATATCAATGCTATCACAATCAATCGGTCATCGAAATTGTACAATTATTTTGTCAAAATGATTCACAGTATGAATGCTAAGCAGAGATAACCTCACCTTGTACTATCAACGACGTCAATTTTCGACTCTTCAGCTTCCTTGATAGTAATGGATTTCTTCGGATAGCCATTCGGTGTGCCATCGCTGTTATTATGAAAAAATCATTCATTTCATTTTTTTTTATCAACATAATTCGATCATATTATTTGTTTAAAAATGATCTAAATCGATAAAGCAATAATCTCACCTTGGTGTATACGCCACCTCCGTTTCTTCGAGTTTCTTCTTGTCTGGCGCACTTTCTTTGTCACAACACTTTGTTAGTGAATTGCCCATTTTTATGTAATTTTCTGCGTCAAAACCTGATTTTACACGGCAAAACAGCAACAAACAAATTCAGAAAATAGCAATCACAAGTTTTTCGTCCCAACAAACCACTTTGAACACAATCTTATGACGTCACAAAGAATGTAATGTGTGTGCGATATTCGTACGCACAATAGTCAATGTCAATGCAAACATGCAAACAATGCTAATGAATTATGCAAAGCGTATGCATATTGTGTAGCTGTCGCTAATGTCACCGAAATTAAACGATATGGGCGATTTTGTATAAGTGTTTAATGCCGGTACGCCTGCGAACAAAACAACAATAAAAATTACTCGTTGTTTGACACTATTTTTTTATTTCCATTCAGCGTGTGTGGTGTCCGATGCAACGTGATCGTTTTATTGCTACGAAATGCGGTGTGTGTGTGTGTGTGTGTGTGTGTGTATGTTGTAAAGACGATGACCTAATACCAATGCATCGCAATACGCTGGAAATACACCGACAAGCGCTGAACTGTCACATTTGTGCACAGTGCACACATGCATAGGCGTAACATGTGTGTTTAAGTCACATACGAAGAACATCAGCATTGAGTAGACTCTGTTTACTCTGAATGACGATTGAAAACAAAACAATTGACTGTAGAATAAAAGACGCATATTTATATTCGGACGGGCTTTGCCTTGAGGGATATTTATTTTGTCCTTTTTACCTATCCCAAAGGGCTTGGATTATTGCAATTTTATCATTCATTATTTATCAACTTATTGCATACTCTTGATTTAACTTATCGACTAATAAAATTGTAAAAAACTGAATATCTCAATAATACATGGTCTCATTAATTAGTAATAATAACAAAATATGAAGAGTATATGAAAATAAATGCATCTTCAATGAAATATAAAACTCTGAATTAAAAAAAAACACTTGTGATTGAACACGCTTAATCATAATACACAATCTCCTTCTTTGGAAACAGCAGTAACTTTGTGAGCATTGTCATAATGCATGGCATTTGTTTCTTTTGATCTAGTTCGGAATATTCTGCGTTCGATTCATAGTCATAAGCCACCGTTTGATTGACGAATGTAAATATTTTCAGAAGATCATAATTACTCTTTCGTTCTTTAATTTCATTGCAAAGCGATTGAACGAACCACGACCCATTTTCGGTGTTACGGAACGAGTAGAATCCAGGCAATGTTGCATAAGCTACAATAAAGTCATGTTGTGGCAATATTGGCTTTAGTTTCAGCGGTTCAAAAGGTATTCCGTCCGTTTCAACTCTTCGGCCGAGGTTTCGTTTGCCGATCATTTTGAAGCCTTCATCGGTTTTATCACCTTGACAAGCTTGTATGATGAATATTCGCGGTTTATTTTTCAACGATGGACAGCGTTCATCAGTGAAGTCTTTCCAGATCGTTTGCAACGGATATTTTTTATCTCTTGCATGTATATACCCCATCAAATCATGGGACAGTATCGTATTACTCTCTTCACCCGTTGTGTAATCAACGAATGGCACTAGTTCACCGTGTGACATTATCATAACCGCTAAGCAATCGTTGTCAGTATGATCCATATCAGCAACTGAAAAGATGATTGAAATTTTTTTTTAGTTCATTCGGAATTTACACTTTCAGTTGGATAAAAAAAAATCATTCAAAAATGAAATATGAGCTTCAATTGAATGGATAAACACATTTCATTCAATCGCAAATCGAATAAAAAGTGTCAATGAACCGAGTGAATGACTCACCTTCTTGCAAAATACCCTTTATCTGTGCTTCCGTTTTGTTGTCATGAATTCGAACATCGAAACCGAGATCGGTAAATGTGTGCTCCAATCGATCGCGATCAACATTTGTGCCTTTCCTGATTGACAAATCAAAGTCATAGAATGTTTCATGGTTGAATATCAACGCTATTCCACGGTTTCTGTGATCCATTTTATAGTAATACTCTATTGGTCGACGTGGTGCAATCGGTCTTTCCGCCATGGTGACCGTCGACTGTGTGCTTGGTTTCGGAATGTTATTCTTTGTTTGTGTCGCCGGAGGTTTGTGCCTGCAATTTCATAATATCGTGTAATTTGTTATCAATGGAAAGATTATCTATCGGTGAGCGATCAAAGATAAATGTTTGTTATCGTTTTAATAATTATAATTGCAAGATCGCTTAATAAACGAAGAAAAACGACACGCAGCACTCTAGGCGAGGGACATTCAAAACAGTCATCGTACATATTAATTGAGCGGGCACTATCGATGCGTTCATTTGTGTGAGTGCGATTGTGTAAACAACAATGTTCGTGTTCAATATGTGTACGATGACAGCTTCGAGCATTCTACGCGTAGAGGCGTCTCGGCGTCTTACGTCAAATCTTTCCCATGTATTTGTATACGAAGAAAGCGACCCTGATAATTGTTTCATTCTCCCAACCTAAGACAATAGAATTACTACGGTTAATATATTATTCAATAACTTACTTGATTGCGTCATCGTTCTTTGGCTTCGTTTTATCTGGTTTTCTTTTTGCAGTTCGGTTCACCCGCTCTCCTGAGCTCACACATTGTGTGAGGAAATTACCCATATTTTGTGATGTTTTTAAATTCAAACTCAGTGAAAACAATTTTTTGCTTCGATGATATCTATGTCAGCGGCTATGAGGTAGTTCTGTCACAGCCACTGCAACTCAACTAGTTCATGATCAACAAATATAACCCACCATCCTAGCACATAGATGATCTGAGTCACTCTCAATCCAACCAATGGAATAGGTAAAATACATGCGGGCACAAATGTCATAAACATTCCAAACACGGCACATACGTGTGCATACATACACATATGTGTTGTTAAAGCATATGTCAAATCATGTGAGCTCGTATTGTCCGATGCGACAATTAATTTTCATACATGTGTAAGTCCCTATAACATTTCAAAATGAAGACATCATTTGATAAGCTTTTTTCATTGTGAATTTATTGAATTTTGAACAAATGAATACAAAAAACGCTCAATTACGTATTATATCAAGCTAGATAGGTTAATTGAATGTGAAAATATTTTAAAAACATGTTTTTTTTTATTCAAATGTGTGTTTTTTCGTCAATTCTTCGAGACTTTTGTCTCTTTAAATACCACAAGTTTCGTTAGCATTGACTGAATGCACGGCATTTGTTTCATTTTATGCGTTTCTGGGTCCTTTGAATTTGATTCAAATTCATAGGCCACCTTTTGGCATGCGATTGTCAAAATTTGCATAAAATCATGTTCATATTTAGATTTATTCAATTCTTCGCAAAATGCTTTAATGAACCATGATCCATCTACTTTGTTTCGGAATGATACAAAACCTGGAAGTGAGGCATAGGCGATGAAAAAGTCTTTGTGCGGTAAAATCCGGTCGGCTGACTTCAATTTAACCGGACTGGAGTCCATTTCAGTTTCTGTAGCGACGCTGCATTTCAATACCATTCCCTCGTCCATATCTTTACCTTGACAAGCTTGAATCAAAAATATTTTTGGCTTATTCGCTAAACTGGGACACCTTTCGTTTGTGAAATATCTCAACACTTTTTGCAATGCAAACTTTTTATCCTTGGTACGAATATAGCTCACAAGCTCGTGAGACAATATGGTATTGCATTCCTCATTCAAAGCTTTGCTATAAGCTGGAATCAATTGACCATGCGTCAAAAGAACTACTACCAAACAATCATTATCGCTATGATCCTCTTTGGATACTAGAAATTGAAAAATTAAAATGTTTTTACTTCATTATCGTATCGGCGAATGTTAAAACATGAATGTTTTTTTTTGTGAATAAATTCGAACTTTTTTAAACTTACATTTTTCAAGAATTTTCTTCATTTGCGATCTCTTTCGATCTTCATGAACTTGTACATCAAAATTGAGTGCGGCGAAGGTTTTTCGTAAATTATCACGATCTTTATCAGTGCCATAGCGTGCTGGCCATTCACTGTCATCAAATTCTTCATGGTTGAAAATTACAGCCAATCCTCGATTCTTGTGATTCATTTTATAAAAATGATCGATTTGATTATTATTTAAGCCTTCATTCTTCTGTGTCGTCATTTTCGATTCAGTAAAAATGGAAACCGATTGTATTTTGTTATAAAGATAGGTTCGTACGACACTTCTAATGTGGTTTTCGCCAAATCGTCCTACTGATATTCTTAGTTATACGCAATTAAGTTACCAATTTATGAAGAAAATATTTATTTTTATGAATAAACGAATATTTGCCACGAAAATTATGTTGTTCTTTAGCCTCTGTTCACCGGGAAATTCAACGTAAAACTAAATGAAATATAATTCAGGCGAGAAGAGTGATTCCAATTCTTAATTCTCATGTTTAATTCTTGGAATGGAATCACACCCATGGTCAGCAATGAGATGTATACAATGCGTAATCTCTATGTAATTCAGAGTACAAAGTTTAATACCTAATGAATCATAATGAATAATCATTAGTAATGATAAATCGCAAGTGTTATCAAAGTTCGATTAAAAAAATATTTCGATGGCGAGAGTTTGCTTTTCGTCTTACTTATATCAGCTTTACTCTGTATACAATTAAACAACCGTCTTTCATCCATCAGCTTTCATTGAATTCCCTCTCAAAATCAAAATCACATCCAATCCACTCAGCGTAGAGAAAAAATTATTCATTTTTTTATTAAAAAATTCAGATATTTATTAGAATTGAACTGGATTTTTTCAATTTTAGGATTTTTTTTTTGATGTTATAAAGAATGCAATCGGTTTGTCAAAATTGTTCAGCATGTTATTGTTGTTTTTTTCTGTGTGATTTTCGTTGAATTTATCGATTGCATTGTTTATAACATCAATAGAGTAGCGGCTCTTTCCGCAGTAGAAACAATTGAATTTATTTCAAAAATCAAAATTTTATATTTTTTCAATTGAAAATGATGTGATTCACCAAGGGGTAAGAACGAAAGCGCTTGAGACGAATCCGTACGAATATTTGTGAATTCGTCTGATTGTGTATACGAGATATTCGCAGCGCAGTGAGTGTACAACAACAATAACAAAGCCACGAACGCATGAATCTATGTGAATCTCACAACTTGTTCCTAGATTCATGAATCAATGTTTGAAAGAAATAAGTTTTAAAGATATGTTTCCTGTAGTTTGCTCAACAATTGTTTCTCTTTAAAGAGCACAAGTTTTGTTAGCATTGATTGAGTATATGGCATTTGTTTCATTTTATCTATAGTTGGATCTATTGATTTTGATTCAAATTCATAGGCCACAGTTTGGCATGTGAGTGTCATAATTTGCATAAGATCGTACTGATATTTAAATTGATTTAGCTCTTTGCACAATGCTTGAATAAACCATGATCCTTCCACATTGTTTCGAAATGATGCAAAACCTGGAAGTGAGGCATAGGCGATGAAAAAATCTTCGTGAGGTAAAATCGATGGCTTTAATTTATAAGGACTTGAGTCCATTTCAATTTCTTTGTCAATGAGGCGATGCAATTCGACCCCTTTATCTAATTCGGCACCTTGACAAGCTTGAACGAAAAATAATCGCGGTTTGTTGGCTAAACTGAAACAGTTTTTATCGGTAAAATACTTGAAAACTTTTTGCAATGCAAACCTTGTATCCTTTGTACGAATATAGCTTACAAGATCATGCGATAAAATGGTATTGCCTTCTTCGTTCACAGCACTGTTATAAGCTGGATTATAAACATTTTTTGGAAGCAATTCACCATGCGTCAACAGAATAACTACCAAACAATCATTATCGCTATGATCTTCGGCAGCCACTGGAAATATCAAAAATTCAGATGAAAGTTGGAAGTGAAAAAAATGGTGAGAAATGTCACAGAGAGGATTCAAAGCATGCATGCTTTCTTCTCTCTAGAAATGTATTTATTCCTATCGCTCACCATTTTGAAGAATGTTCTTCATTTCTGATTTCGTTTGATCTTCATGAACTCGAACATTAAAATTGAGTGCTGTGAATGTTGTTTTTAAATTATCACAATCAACACGAGTGCCATACCGTACTGACCAGTCGCTGTCATCAAATTCTTCATGATTGAAAATCACAGCCAATCCGCGATTCTTGTGGTTCATATTATAATAATGGTCGATCTCTTGATTTAATCGTTCATCCATTTTTGTCGCCATTTTCGACTCAGCCGAAATGGGCTCAGTAGATTGAACTGAAACTTCGTTTGTTGGACTGAAAGATTGGGAATTTGATTGAAATAAAAAAGGAGGAAATCACTAACAGTAACGATAAGTTAGACAATTTTAGATAAGAATTGAAAAAAAATTACAAGCTTCATTGCTTCGATGGCCACCTCTAATGGCATTCCCACCGAATCTTTCGACTGACCATCTTTAACACACGTACAAATGTTACCCATTTATAAATGAAAAGATAATGCTACAAAAACACTTCTGCTCTATGGCCTCTGCGAACAGAAAAATCACATTTGAAATTAACTAAAACATTATTCGGGTGAATAACATGATTCCAATTATTTCGCCAAGTTGAAGAACGCACAATCGATAAGTAATGAGTTACATACAATAAAACAGTCTTGCGTAATTCAGAATACGAAGTCGGATATCTTGGCATAAACCTTCGTTAACTCATTGATTTTTTATTTTTTTTACTATCGCAGCCGCAACAAGCCGCATTTTATCGCTTCGTTTCACTTTTCAGCTTTGGCTTGTATATAATTACGCATTTCAATCCCACACATTATTCCCCACAATCCCTTTCCAACTGATTATCGCTTAAAATTGAAATGGCATTCAACCTACTCAACGCTGAATTGTCGTTTCTTCGAATTTTTAACTGTAATTCTACAGAGTAATAAGAAAAGAATTGAATCAAATTTTAATTTGTAGAATTTTTTTCAAGGGATGCATATGAACATGTATGGGACGTATAAGAACGTAGATTTGTTCAACTTCATAGCAATAAAGAGGAATATGCTTCATCGTAACTGAATTGGTTTAAAAAAAAATTCCTCAATATTATATTAAAAATAAATTTAAAAAAACCCATATGTAGTGGTTTTACATTTTACGAGTACTTACAAATGATTTATCCCTCTCTCTTTCACCATTTTCATGACTAACACCATGAATGCGTCTTATCACTTTAGCTTTTCGGCGTTGATAATACACGAATCAGAATTTTTAGAAGAGAACCAAACCCGTGTGAAAAATTTGTGACTGACTAGCCAGCCGCCTAATTTCGGACTTTTTGGCTGATTATTACTGACTAAAAGTGATTATCTCGAACAAAATATTCGACTGTAGTCAACTTCAGTTATAGTCATCTAGTAGCCAAAAAGTCCGAAATTAGACGACTGGCTGAAAGAATAACTAAAAGTGATTGTTTCTATACAACATTTTTGAATTCAAACAACTTAGCCAGTTTTAGTTATTTGCAGCTATATACAACTGAGTGACTGTCAGTCACTTTATTTGCACACGGGAAATAACTCATTTTTGTGGAATATACGAAATAGCTTTTGATTGAAAAATTGGCTAAGACACGAAAAAAATACAGATATGCGTTTGTAATCTACGTTGAGAATTGAGTAGTCTTACTACTCAGAACACATCCAAAAATGTTGCACATGATGAAATAATACGTCCAATGTCCATTAATACATTGAACACGCTAACTTCTGAGCATTTGCAATGACCATTTTATAAACAAATACGTATGACAATATTGTTAAATTTCGGAGCTCGTTTAAAAAAGTGATTCATTTTACTAACAAATTACAACAAAAAATTACACAGATAGGCGCAATTCTCGTCTCTTGATTGCGTTCAAAACAAAGATAACCTGAAACGTAACGAGTGAACTTTAACTTTATTTTAAGCACTACATGGAATGTAGAGCTACTAATGTGCTTTTTTTTCTTAATACTTTTCGAGTGATGAAACAAATCATGGTGAATTTGAATTTTATGCTCATATTTTTTATTTAATTTAAAACAGTGGCAGTAACGACAAATAAGTGCATAATATCTCAAAGCACCAATCAAATTTTTATGATAAAATGTTTTTTCTAAAAATTACATTATAATGTAATTAATAATATATTTTAAGCTTTTTTCGTACAGTATTTTCTGGATCTTGAACAGAATTAAAGTGACTTTCGATTCTATGCGCATATTATTTATTTAATTTAAACCAAAGGCAGTATATTTCAAGAAAGAAATAAAACCAAGATCTTGTAATTCATTTTGCCAAATAAATATATTACTTCAAAGTTACTTTGATGAAATACATTTCATGTAGTGCGTCAAAAAATAGTTTGTTGTGAAACAACAAAATAGATTAAGGAACTAAAAACTCAAGAACGCAGAGCGGAGCGAATTGTTGTTGTCTTGTTTTTTCAATCTGCTTCTATCACAAACCCAGCATCATTTGATTTTTGGTTTGAATTTGAAATTCACTCATCATTTTGCTTTTGAATAGCATCCACCGAATTTCCTTCAATTGAAATCAATATGAAAGTGCCAACCGTTGGTTTTTGCTGTCAACTGCATTGTGTCACTGACTTGACAACCGGTGGAATATTAATTGGTTGTTTTGAAGCAGCCCTCGGAATTGTTCTATCAGTAATGAGTTTAGCGAATTTCTTATTTTTTATAATGGCTGGTAAGTTTAATGTTCACTTGCATGTTTGCTTCACTTCTTGTTTGTACTTCGAATTAATCATTTTTTTAGTCATTTATCTCGTAGTTAATGTTTGTTGGCTCTATGGAATCGAAAGAGTAAGTATTTGTTTGTGAACATAATTGACAATGAAATGTTCGTTGTTGGGGAAATCAACATTTTCGACACATCTTTTTAATTGTTTTTATAAACCTTTTTACCAGTCTCGACCAAGTTATTTGTTCCCGAATATAGTACTATCTTCGATTATTATTGTGCTTATTTACATTGCTGATATTTTGCTGTTGTGCTTTATTGTATATTTCGAAGCTTCTGGAACACCAATGATCAATGAGTACTTATATCTCGTTCCACTCTTTTTTCTCATCTACTTGACACGTAAGCTATTTTCTCATATCATCGATCGTCTATAATCATTATGCTAGGGGCTAGGAACAAGTTGTGTCATTCGTATGTATTCGCATATATTCATGCGTTCGTGGCTTTGTTATTGTTGTTATACACTCACTGCGCTGCGAATGTCTCGTATACACAATCACAAGAATTCACGAATATTCGAACGAATTCGTCTCAAGCGTTTGTGTTCCTACCCCCTAGTCATTATGAATATTATTCAAAATCTCTTTCAATTTTTCAGCGTTAGCTACGTACTTTATGGTTGTCAAATACTCCATCTACAAAAAAGCAATGAGAGAACTTTCTCAAAAACTGTGCTCCCCGTTTGAACTCGTAGTGTAGTGTAGTGTAATAGTTCAAAAATGAAATATTTGAATGTTTATCAAATCAAATTTATTCTATCTCTAAATAAATGACAGTGTAAAAGTGTATTAATGTGTTTTATTTTAATTTCAACGTCCCGTTTGGACAGTGCTACTTCCGAAAAAGAATCTACACAAATCATAATTCCATCGACCAAATAATTATTTGATTGCGCTAATGTAATTTATAGCACTAACACACTTGCCCATAGAATTCAGAAGAAGAAAAAAACCGTTTGAATGTTCATAATGATAATATGCATGAATTCATATTTGATGTGACTCCTTTGAACTACCCGGAACTACCAAAATTAACTTCATAGTCTCTACGTATGTTTTAAAGATAATTAAAAAGGCAAAACTGTTGACAGCGTTGATAAGCTTTCACATGTCGCATGGTAATTGTTTTTCGAGGAAATTTTTATCATACATTTTTTTCACTTCCGTTGCTTCTGTTCGTCCGAATGAAGATAAAATAAGGTAAATTGAAAACAAAATTTTTATTCGAATAATAACACCGTCCAACACATGTTTTCGCACAAGAGAAATTCCGATTGCTTGTTTTAGAGGACCAAAAACCAAGCACTTTTGCATCATTAGTTTGTTCGAAACCACGTCTAGATTTTTTTTTATCGACACATATAAGACAAAATTCAGGCTAAAATGAGCAAATCACAAACATGAGCTTCGATTTGACAGGTAAAGCAAATAATTTCTACCTTTTCTGCCTTTCAACATCTAGTATGATCCTTTACGAACATTTTGGGTACTTACATGACCAAATCGAGTGATGTTTTCACATATTTCTGGCCTCATATTCGGTTGGTTCGATTTCAACTCTGGAGGAATCGACTTTTGGCCAAAAATCCTTAAGTATAGGCTTTTCAAGGATAGTATCTTGGCGCAAAGTTTTTTTTTCTCGAAAATATGTGGAGTCTACCCAGACGAAAACTCTCAAAATTGACTTTTTGAGGTACCTCCCGAACAAAAGTTACGTTTTTCATGCATTTTGCTATGAAAATATCATTTTTTGTTCGGGAGGTACCTCAAAAATCATTTGCAAGAGATTCTGTGTGAGAAGATTCCCAATATTTCTCGAAAAAAATAACTTTTTACTAAGAAACTCATCCAAAAAGTGTATTTTTGGGGTACCTTCCGAACAAAAATTGATATTTTCATAGTAAAATCCATGAAAAACGTTACTTTTGTTCGGGAGGTACCTCAAAAAGTCAATTCTGAGAGTTTTTGTCTGGGTAGACTCCACATATTTTCGAGAAAAAAAAACTTTGCGCCAAGATACTATCCCTGAAAAGCCTATACTTAAGGATTTTTGGCCAAAAGTCGATTCTTTTATAGTTGAAATCGAACCAACCGAATATGCGGCCAGAAATATGTGAAAACATCACTCGATTTGGTCATGAAAGCACCCAAACTGTTCGTAAAGGATCATACTAGATGTTGAAAGGCAGAAAAGGTAGAAATTATTTGCTTTACCTGTCAAACCGAAGCTCATGTTTGTGATTTGCTCATTTTGGCCTGAATTTTGTCTTATATGTGTCGATAAAAAAAAATCTAGACGTGGTTCCGGTCATTCTAATGATGCAGAAGTGTTTGTTTTGAGGTCCTCTAACAAACGCAATCGGAATTTCTCTTGTGCGAGAAAAAAAGTTGAAATTTGTCGAACGGTGTAATCGAAAGCGTATAAAAGTGTATCAGTCATGTCTCAAACTCCTTGCATGGCGAAAAGCATCCTGAAATTAGTTTTATGTTTTGATTTCTCTAAATCGATTTGTTCTTGGGGAAAAAATACCAATTTAGTCAATCTGGACACAATGCACGGCATTTGTTTGTTCTGATCGATGTCAAATTCAAATGATGCATAGTCAAATGCTATTCTACACGAGACGCTCGTCAGAATTCGCGTTAAATCACCTACCGATCCTCGTTCATTCAACTCATCGCAAAGCACTTGAATGAACCACGATCCATGTCCAGTTATTGAATCGCATTAAATTGATCGATATACGACGAGGATAGCCGCGTTCCTGACGAATCCAATAGTTATTGTATACTATATCCCATACAATTCACATTTGAAGAAGTGTGTGTTGCCTGGTTTTGCCGTTAGTCATAGAGAGAATTCGTTATTCTAATTTGTAGCTGTAATTTTACAGAGTGATAAGTAGAGAAGACACCCCTTATTTTCGAGAAAAAATAACTTTTTATTAAAACACCAACCCTGAAAAGTGTATATTTGAGGAATTTTTGAAAAAAAAGCCGATTTTCAGTGATTTTCATACATTTTAGAGCATTTTGACATTTTTGGCCATATTTCACACAATCAGTGAACAATTTTGGATCTAGCGAAGCTATTTCCATGTAGAATTGTCTGTTGAACACTTTTATAGAAGTAATCAACTGCGTAAAAGCATTGGAAATGGGAGTAAATGGCATGCAAACTCATTTTGACAATAAGCTGTACACTGGAAATGGAAAATATCAAAAAACGACAAAATCGCACCAACTTTCAAAAAAAATTGATGCAGTTCTTCTTGATTTGAGGCCTCCTTTCGTCCCTGTAAAGAGCTCGCCAGGTACACGAGAAAAAAAAAACATGTGTCGTACTGTGTAATTGAGCAGTCTAACTGCTTAGAACACATCCCAAAATGTTGCACGAGGTGATGAAATACGTCCAATGTCCATTATTACATCAGGCACGCTAACTACTGAGCATTTGCAATTGTATGACTCTTTTTGATTGCAAACACCAAATTTTCCGCAGTCTGATGTGTTTGATGTGTCAAAAGTGTAATCGTAAAATAACTCATTCGTTTTTTTCTATTGTGCACTAATAACGACATTTCCTAGAAATTCAATTGAACCATATTGACAAACGAAAACGTTTAAAAATATTGGGAACATGTTTTCATTCAACAACGTATTGTGACGGTCCTTTGCTTGTGCTTAAGTCAAAGATAACCTAAATCGTAATATTTGAACTTTAACTTTATTTTTGAAATTTTTTCTTCTATCTTATCTTAATACTTTCATTCCAATTCATTATTGTTACTAATCTCACTGATGTACATTCCCACAAAATGATTCTCAATCATTTGATTTTTCGTTGCTTCAAACCAAATTCATTTATTGACTAAAACTCATTCGTTATTCAACTTTTAAATGGTATCAACCGAATTTCAATTAATCTTGTTATTTTCAAGCATAATTCACGACTTTGCACAAAGCCAAAATGAGAGTTAGTCATTGCTGTCGACTTCATTACTTCAATGACTTGAAAATTGGTGGCCTGATTATCGGCTTTTTTGAAGTAGCACTCGGAATCGCCTTAATCATCATCGATTTGACGAATCCCAAATACTTTATACCAGCTGGTAAGTTCGATGTTCACTTGCCAAATGACACATAAAACATAAATGGATCTTTTGGTTCTAGTTATTCGTCTGGTGTTTAGTGTTTGTTGGCTCTATGGAATCGAAAAAGTAAGTGAATTTCAAACCTAACAACGTATGCAAATTGTAAATTAAATTAACCTTTTTTTAAATATTTTGTACATTTTTTACCAGTCTCGGCCAAATTACATGTTCCCCAACCTGGTAGTGTCATCGGTTTCGGTTTTGCTTCTTCTAATTGGCATTATTGTTGTTATGTTTGTGCTAGTGTATCTAGTATTTTTTAATAAGCCCATTCCGAACATCGATGGCATACCCATTATTGTCCTCATTACATTCATTCTGTGCTGCTTCACACGTTAGTTACTCTCTCGAATCATCAATAAACGCATCAATCACTTATGATAAGTATGAACATTGATCAAAATTTCGTTCAATTTTTCAGTTGTTTATTCGTACATGTGGGTTATCATACACTCCGTCTACAAAGCTGTGAAAGATTTTCCTCAAGGACAGATATCTCGGAACTACTCTCAAATTACGGCCCAACACTGACCGATTTCATCGTCCAAATGAATCGATTTTTTTATAACTGTGATATTTATCGTTGAAATCTAGATGTGAACATTTGGAATTTCCCAAAAACGTTTTTGGAACAGTACGTTGTCATGATTGTTTGTAAAAATTATTAAAATGGAAAGGCTCTGACGTATGAACTGCTTGAAATATTCGTTTGACGTGTCCCGATGCGTAGTTAAATTCTAAAAAATTCACACAAAACACATCTAACGAATATTCTCAGCATATTTAGTGGCAAAAATAGTTTGAAATTTAATTATTTGAATGTTTGAATCTTGGTTTGAATCATATTTCAGTTTCAACGTCTTACTGTGACAGCGAAAGAAAACGACATTGCCGGATTGATTTGATTGTGCTTGTGGATAGCTTATCGCATTGGCGAAAATTAAAAGCAAACGAATATTGAATATTTTGAGTTTGTAAATTCAACAAAATTCATGCACATTAGACTTTATACTCAGATTCAATTCGCTTGAACAATGAAGTTCAAACTAACGGGTGATATCAAATGAACCAATTGACTCATGACTTCCAGCCGACCAAAACAAGCTAATACCGGGTTTTAAAAAAGAGAGAAAAATCTAACTTGTGCTGAGTTACTATTTTGTGACCCATGTATTTATTCAATTTGTACAATCCATGTGTTGCACAATATTATTTGTACTCTTATTAAAACAAATTCCATACAAATCTGAGTTTTTCGTTCATTGATTAGTCACACTGTTTCTTTTACATTTTTGTCATTTAAAACTTGAATGAATTTCCCAATAGGCTCTTACACGTCTATTCGCATATCTTGTTGATATTTTGAAGCTCGTGTCTAAACACGACTTCAATGCTCGTTGACACTCGCAACAATGTTTCATTTGAAATGTGGAATGTATGGGATTCTCGGCAGCATATTTCCAAGCATTTTATTTTAGATTCGTTTATAAACTACTTATTTGATCGAGAAATGAATGAAATTTTTTTCATATGGAATGGCATCAAATGAAATTTCTTTCTGGAAAGAATGAAAAGAAACTTTCTTCTAAGTATGCAAGTTGACACCATTCAAAATTTGGGTATACAAAATCCAAAATTGCCAACCGTTAGCCATTGACAATGTTGTTCTACAAAATTGGGCATCGTACGTATGGAAGTGTGCAGATAAGATTATGATTCAGTATTATACCAAGAGGAAACAACAACCGAACAAACCGGAGTTGAAGAAACACGTCGCTCAGGCTGTAATCAGTAAAGAAATACAATTTTATATCCGAAACTGCCTTTTTTACTAATATTTTTTTCTCTTTTCCATCAAATGTAAAAAAAGATAATTCTAACACGACCGAAAATCGAAAAGCAAATATGTAGACATCGTAAAAGAATTCCAAGCTCGAGAGTAAATTCAATTGATACTTTTGGGGTCTAGACAAACGTGTTTATTATTTATTATTCAAAGAAAGCGGATCGTCATTGAACATTGTTTATGTCGCTGCGAATGCTGCGGTTTAAATCGATCGATGATCATTGCTTTGTACGTTTTGTTGATGTTCAATTCATTCGTTCGAAATTGTAGCCATTTGTGGAAACAATCAGCCCATATCGTGAGAAGTTATTCAGTCTATATTTTTATTAAACGCGCCCTTGCTTCATAGTACACAAGAAGTAGTTGATTATTCTTAATATTGAAATTGTACATTTTGTATTTTCATCTCTACCAATAAATGAATAAAGAAATAAAGAAAATTTCTTTGAGAAATTATGACTTTCGAGACCGTTTACATGTGTAACCAACTCCTTTATCTTATCTAAATTTCAAAAACAGCTATTCATGCAAAAAATATTTTTCACATCAAGTTGACGATGTCTATGAGCGACCATATGGGAAAAGGGCCAACATTCAATGAGAGTTAAAAAGTCTTTTCCCTCAAACATAAAACCAATATGAGGTTTGACTAAAATATAACAAATGACAATCTCATACAGTTATATACTCTCCATCAATCTGAGCTGATCGTATTTTTGAAAAGGCTATCTCACAGTGTGAAATTCTCATACACACATACACAAATACAACCATACATATTCACTTACAATAAAATCCAATGCAACACTGCGTGTAAGATGTGAGTTTATATTATATTCTATGTGAAGACCAATGACATATGTATGCGTTGTGAACAATGCGAAGCATTCCGTATTTGAAATGGAGAATATAAAAACGAGCGACTTTATCAATTTCTTTGGTTTTTATTCTCGAAAAATCTATGTTTTAAATGTTTAACGTTTAGGGAGAATATGGATAGAGAGAAAAAATAAAAAATAAATCAGTAAGACCATAAAAATGTATACATATCAACATGGGTATTGATCCCTTCCTGTGTCTTTCTTTGTCTCGCCACTCGTATCAGTCTTGCCACTCGTTTTGTCGGTTTTTTTCGTAACTTTGCTTTAAAGTTGATGCTACGATATTTTAGTCATGAGATTACAGAAAATGAGAATTCACTCGTGCACCATGCATGTTTTAAAGAGAGTTCTGATTCATCAATTTAGCAGTCGGACAGAAAAGATCGTACTCGAACACACTCACACATCATCGAATATTTCCAAAGAAATGCAAACAAACTGAGTCTTTTTCCTCTCAAACATATCTCCCGAATTGAAGCGTACTGCTTTTTTCGATTATTATTTTTGAAAAGTGAACTTCATTTGGCGAAGTATGTTTTCTGTTGATTCCACACCTCACTTGCAATGAGAGCGTCCACGTTTTTTCTGTAGGTAGTTGACACCAGTTTTTCTGGTGAGCAAAGTATTGTTTAACAGCAAAATAAATGCGTACAGTTTCATATCACCAGTGCTGTGTATTCATATGATTATTTTGGGTTAGTTGATTTTGTCTATGTTTAAAGAAACTAAAAATATACTGAATATTTACATGCCCAATGTTTGGCAGTTTTTCGACTAGAGATAACAACAATCTCGTACGGTTATACTCTCCATCTACCTGAGTCGATTGTGTTTTTAAAAAGGCAATCCCACAAACAGACACAAACGCAGCGATATCAATGATTGATTTAGCCCAAAAACTACGAAATAAACACAAATGCAACACTGTGTGAGTGAGGCATGAGTTCATATATCTTTATATCTTTATATATACAACTATAGTTGTATGTGAAGACAATCGGTATACATACACAACATCAAATTCATTGTGTATGAGTGGAATTCTTCATTTGAAATGGAATAGAATAGAAAATGCAACATTATTCTCGGTCTCATTCGATGTTTATTCCCAAAAAATCTGTTATTCGGATGAAAAAAAAAACGTTCGAAAAGAGGAGAATATGAACAAAGAGAAAAACGAAAAAAATTCTGAAATTTCAGTAGAATCATACAGCCGTATGCATCAATATGCATACATGTCAGGGGCTCAACTATTTGGATATATACGGGTTACAATAGATTCGAATAAATGTGTTTCTCATTAAATTCGATTTCGATGTATCGTTGATACACATTACACACATTGAGATGAAACTATGTCTCATTACAATATGCTCCTATCCTTCTCAGGATTTTCATTTTCAGTGTTACACTACACTTTCGTTTGGATATTTCCATACTTCTTATCACATTATCCACATTCCTGTCATTTCGCATGGCGACAGTTAGTCCAAGTTTCAAGGCAAACATTTTTCTAAGGGTGCAGTCATCCTATGCAACAATTCGGTGAAAAAAAAACAGTATTACGTAATAATGGTTTACAAGGGGAAATCAATCGATCAAGATACTTTTCCAGCTCAAAAATAAAAAAAGAATTCTGTTTTACCAATAATTCTCATTCAGCAAATTAATTAGAAATTACACTTTAGTTTAAATTAACACTTCAGTGGTTTCCCCTTGTTTTTTTTTTTCACAGTAACATTCAGCCTGACTCGAAATTCTATATTCTTCTTTGTCACGCCATTCGTTGAGCAGATACAGTGGAAAAAATATAATCTGAAATTCTAAGTAGCTCTTCTGTGTAGAAGATCTCTTCATATTTGGCATTATCGCTCGACGCCCATTCGAAGTAACATCGCTAAACCGTTTGTGTTATAAATAAAAAGTGAATTTTACATAAAAACCGAAAGTGTTTAGCATTTTATTGGTGATTTAGCTCGATCAGTTTACGAGGGTATGTTTTTTTTATTTATGTCGCGTTTTGGCGGTACGAAAAAGGGAATTCATGTTTAGTGTAATGGTTTTACTACTTCTATTTTGTCTGTTCTTTCTCTTCAAATATGAACAGGGAGAATTTCTTAGGTATGAGATCATAATAATTAACCGATCTCTTCATTGTAGTTGAAAAATATTGTTTGACGTTGTGTTCCTCAAATACGCTCTACATTGAAAAAAAAAATTACAAAAATCTTTTGGGGATTGTTCGCTTCTCGATCGCACTCATACAATTAAATAGCCGTGTTTCGTTTGGATTTCTTATAAGTGAATTTTGTTGAATGTTTTAATACTTCTGAATAACGAATCAACAAACATTGATACCTAAATTTCATCTCAAGCGACTCCTTGCAAAACTACGATAAATTCCATAGCAGAGCCGTTTTTTGGGGATCTTCCTCTTCTTCTTATTGTGAAATTCATTGCATTCAATAGAATAGTAATGAATTTCACAATAAGGAGAAGAGGAAGATCCCGGAAAAAACAGGCTTTGTTTCAAAGAATAAAATATTCTCGAGTGACTCGTTCTAATAAAGAAATGCATTTTAAATGGGTTTTGGTGCAGCCAAATTGATTTGAAATTTGAAGGTTAAAGTCATCAGCAACTTAATCAATTCAGAGTGTGTCGAAAAGTGATGATAAAACGCTCAGTTATTTGTGTTCGAGCACCAAATTCATGGTTTAATGAGGAAAATAGAAATAGCATAGTAACATTTTGCCTGTGGCATATATTCTTTACCTACGCAGTACGCATATCAACGAATATAAAGCAAACAGAACAAGCAACAGTGTATGAGTGTATTGCGAGTGTGTTAGTAGAAGCGTAGCTATTATGACGATTATTATTAGTATACATGCGCAATTTAATTTGTTCTTCTTGCCATATATTTCGGTTATACATACACAACGCTGGATGTTACATCCACTCATTCGTTGTACTGTCAATCGTTGTTGTCAATGACAGTGACATTCGATCACAAATTTTTGCTTCAACTAGATCATGACAGTCTTTTGTTGATCAACGATCCTTCTCTTACAAAACAAAGAAGCAGCTTAGCCCATAACGTGAAACGCTGTTATGGGCCAGAATGAGACACCCAAAGTGTAGAAAATATACATTTTTCTTCTAATTTAGCACCGTAGTTATTGAAAAAAGTAAACTTTCCCACTATGATATTCCCATATTATCGGTTTTCACACACTACGATTTGAAGATTTTTTTTTCTTGTTAGTTTACACACAACGTATTTATGCATCATTTCACATCTGATTAAAAATAATCGAATTTTCTTCATTCAAAGGTATTTTTCTTCAAGTATAACCTCATCATTCGGGTATAAAAAGTCAAAATGGCATTACCGACCGTTGGAGAATTCTGTTGCTGCATTAACTTGATAACTGGTGGAAAAATCCTCGGTTGGCTTGGAGTCATACAAGGAGTCCTTTACATCCTTGCCGGTTTTCAACTGCCTCAATATTTCTTGGGGGCAAGTAAGTTTATCGTTTCTTTGCCGTATATTCCAAACAAAGTTCCAATTTAAATAAATTATTCGTTTTCTTTTAGTCATTTGTCTAGTAGTTAGTGGTTGTTGGCTCTATGGAATCGAAAAAGTAAGTAATCGAGCATGAAATATTTATTATTTGGGAAGTCAACATTTACGACACATCTGTTTAATGTTACATAAACTTTTTTCTCAGACTCGACCAAGCTATATGCTCCTGGATGTGGTAGTAACAGCGATTGGCCTCGTGATTCTTTACATTGCTGATGTATTTGTTTTATTTGCTATTGTATTGGCACTATCTTCTGGAAAGCCAATAGATACCAAAGAGGTACCACTACCAGGCATTGTAATCATTCTTATCATCGCAAATTGTAGGTTTTTCTTTCATATCATCAATCGTTTATGTTAAATATGAACACTATTCAAAATCTCTTTAAATTTTTCAGTGATTGCTACGTACTTTGCGATTGTCACATACTCCGTCTACAAAGCAGTGAAAGAACTTTCTGAAGCTAGACTGCCAACCGTATACCAGGCCGCCCCTCAAGGTGTAACTCAGGGTGCTAAATATCCGACGCTAAATTAATTTGTGATCCACTACTGATCAACGTTTGAATGACGGCTTTCATCATGTCGGTTTTCATGATCAAAATTAATTCATTTTTTTTTTTACAACCACAATGTTTGTCGATGAGATGGACAAACGGATATATGTTAAATCTGTCAAAATCGTTGCAACAAATATTGTATGTTACTATCACGGCTTCCAAAAAATTCACATTGAATAAACACACCAATGACGAGAGTTGAAGCATATTTAACTTCGACCAAACTATTTGTCCAAGCATCTCATTAATTTTGTCCAAAGATCACATTTTCTGTTTAAACTAAGCAAACGGAAATATACACTCACATAAATCTCTCTGAAACTTCTCGCTTTTTGATCATACGCACATTAGTGGTAGTTATTTTTGAAATAGTTGAAAAAATTAAATATTTAAATGTTTCTCAAATCAAATGTATTCTACCTCAAAATAAATGACAGTAAAAGTGTAATAATCTGTTTCATTTTAATTTCACCGTCTCGTTTGGACAGCAGTACCTCCAAGAAAAAATCAACACAATTTTTTTGATTGCGTCAATGTATGACTTACTACTTATAACAATAACATATTTGCCCATAGAATTCAGAAAAAAAATCCTTTTGAATGTTCAAAATGATAATATGCATGAATTCATATTTGATGTGACTCGTTTGAACAATCAAAATTAAGTTCATAGTTGCTATTTTGAATCACAGCGTTATAGATTTGCCTTTTTCGTTATCTTAATAACATACGTTAATAGCTTTTTGTTCAAGATAATTGTGATATAATTCCCAAATGATTAAGATTTGAGCCTATAATTTATGTTAATGATTTAGGGATTATGTCGAAAATATTCCAAACAAAAAGTTATCAAGATAACGAGAAAGGCAAAACTTGTTGTGTAATTGTTTTTCGAGGAAATTTCTATCATACATTTTTTTTTCACTTCCGTTGTTCGTCCGAATGAAGATAAAATAAGTAAAATTGTTTCGAAAATGTTAAACTAAATTTTTATTCGAATAATAATCGAAAGCGTATAAAAGTGTATCAGTCATGTCTTAAGCTCCTTAAAATTCAATATCATCTTTAGTTTTGGATGGCGAAAAGCATCTTGAAAGTAGTTTCATGTGTTGATTCCTCAAAATCGATTTGTTCTTGGGGAAAAATACCAATTTAGTCAATCTGGACACAATGCACGGCATTTGTTTGTTCTGATCGATGTCAAATTCAAATGATACATAATCGAATGCTACTCTATACGAGACGCTAGTCATGATCCGCGTTAAATCGTCCACTAATCCACGTTTATTCAACTCATCGCAAAGCGCTTGAATGAACCACGATCCATGTCCAGTTGTGCGAAATGACTTTTCACCTGGCATCGATGAGTATGCGATTAAAAAATCTTTTTGTGGAAACGATACATCCGACGACGGACTCGCTATATTTTCTTCAACTTCGTTCATATCATACAATTCATCGCTCTTTTTCTCGTCTTGGCACGCTTGAATGAAAAACATCTTCGGTTTGTTCGCCAAACTCGGGCATTTTTCATTTGTAAAATATCCACACACGCTACGAACCGGCAACAAGGCATCTGAAGTATGCAGATGACTCATTAGGCAATGATTCAATATTGTATCGCACCCTTCATCGTTATCAAACTTAATTTCACCATGAGTTAGGAACACAACAATCAAACAATCTTTGTTCGAATGATCTTTAGCAGCAACTGAAATTTCAAATGCAAAGAAAATAAAAAATGAAATAATCTCAGAAAGAAAAAAAATGTAAAAATTCTGAAAATTGTTGAAATTTGAATGAAAAATTAAATCAACTCATAAAATTTCAAGCCTTTCATTAATTTCATACCTTTCTGCAAAATGGCCAATATTTCCAATTTGGTTTTATTCTCATAGATTTTTACTTTGAAATCGAGCGATTTGAATGTATCATGTAAACGGTCACGATCGATGTGAGTACCTCTTCGTTGTCTTTGTTTACTAAAATATTCATGATTGAATATCAATGCTAGGCCACGTTTCTTGTGGCACATGTTATAACAATAGTTTGAATGGTAATTATCTTGATTGAACGTTTCGCATTCATTGCTGAAATTATGGAATTTCATTAAATGTTAGCTAAAAATTTACGATAAAAAGTGAAGAATTAAGCAAAAAAGAGAAAAAAATCAATAAAAAAACACTTACTTCATGTCGCCAGCTGACTTGTCAATACTTGCGTACCCCATTGTTGACTACGACTGAATCTGTATGCTATCGAACATTGTTCGTTAAGAAACTAGTTTATTGCAACTGTTACAATTGAGTATTCGACTTTTCTTTAAATAGCCCGTTTAAATGTGATAAGATACGAACATTTATTATTTCAATATAACAATGCATGAATCATAATTTTATTGCACGTATGATTTTGCTAACTATTCAGATGCGAAAAAAATCAATTGTTACGCTACTCGAAACAGTCTTTTTAAAGTAAATGATTAAAATTATCAATTAGAAGATAAAATAGCCTTATCAGTTATGAATTTATTCAGCGAGAATTAAATCGAAGAAATCTTTTTTTGAAACCGCTGAATCGAAACTTGAAACGCTTTTCAAGAGATGGCGCTGTACATCTCACAATAGCATCTGAATATTTTGACACATCATGACAGAATATCATTGTTTTGATATCGAGCGGACACGAAACATCTATTGTGTGGCATGTTTTGGTCAATTTTTGGATTGATAACTGGCATTAAATTGCTTTTTTTGCCGGCATAGTAAGTGTAAATCGTTCTAATAATCGAATATTTCAAACCATCTCATTTGTTTTCAATACCAATCAATTGGTCTCAAATTCCTCTTCAATGGTTCTCATACAATTTACTCATTTCATTTTAGCCGGTCGACAGACTTTGAGGTTCATCGCAATTGGTTGGCAATAACACATTCGTTGCCAATTTCAAAATGGTATGTCGAGGATACGAGCGAATGGACATTGGATTATCCACCGATTTTTGCCTATTTCGAATTCATTCTGTCACATTTTGCCAAATACTTCGATGCGAACATGCTGAAAGTGGACAATCTCAATTATGATTCCGATAAAACGGTGCTATTTCAACGCCTATCTGTTGTTGTTACCGATGTCGTGTATGCCATTGGAGTGAAGAGGTGAATGTTCACCTATACTTTTCCTGGTCTTTTCAATTCTTTTTCGTCTTTTTTTTCAATTCAAAAAATGAAATCTGATTTCTTTTCTATTCAATTTCTAATCTCCATTTGGTATGATTTTTAGATGTCTCACTCAGCTCTCACCCACCGCATCCAAGCAACGGATTTTGTGTGTCGTTTTATTGAGCAATTTCGGTTTGCTGATCATCGATCACATTCATTTCCAATACAATGGCATACTGTTTGGCATTCTATTGCTTAGTATCGCGTACATGTGTGAGGAGAAATTCTTGAAATCAGCCTTTTGCTTCGCCGTTCTTCTCAATATGAAGCACATTTTTGTGTACGTGAGCCCGGTGTATATCGTGTACTTGCTGAAAGTGTACTGCTGGCATAGTCCATCGATGAAAACTACGGTGTTGAATTTGATCAAATTAGCAATTGTAACACTTGGCGTCACCGCAGCATCATTCGGTCCATTCATTCATCAAATGCCACAGGTTGGTTTCGAAAAACTGTCTCAATTTTTCATGCCTTTATTTTGCTTTTTCTAATTGTTGATCAAATGTTTCGTCTAGGTGTTGTCGCGATTATTCCCATTCAAACGTGGACTGTGCCATGCATACTGGGCACCAAACTTCTGGGCAATTTATAATATGGCCGATAAAGTGGCTTCAGTTGGAACGAATAAAGGGTCGAATTCATCGAATACAGGCGGATTGGTTCAAGAGTACAGTCATCAAGTGTTGCCTGTGATTCAACCACATACAACATTCATAATCACCTTGTTGGCCATGGTTCCGTGCATTGTGAAAATCGCCTTTGGAAGCTATAACAAGTACTACTACCCTATCACATATTCAAGTTGATGGACATGTAATGAGAATTAACTTCATATTTTTAGAGCCATCAACAAAGTTGACTTCGTACGAGGAATCGTTATCTGTGGCTGCACCTCGTTCTTATTCGGTTGGCACGTTCATGAGAAGGCGATTTTAATGACGGTCATCCCATTGAGGTTAGTTTGAACTTTGCGCCATTAGTTCAGTCATTACATTAGTTCAAAATCCAATTTATGTTTCTGCGAATATCAAAACTCGATTCACATTGAAATTATACTAAATTTGATACTAAATTCGAAGCTAGAGTGGAAGCTAGTGTCGAAACTCCAAAAGCTAAACAAAACTCAAATTTTATATATTTTAACAGACTCGAACATTCATTTTAAACTCAGTTTCCATCTCTTTTCAGCATTCTAATGGCAGTCAGTGATGATGAAGCTAAAAACATATGGTTTTTATCGATTGTATCGCATTTTTCGCTGTTTCCACTTCTATTCAAGTCCAATTTGGTCGTGATTAAAATCGGTTTACTAGTAACTCACACACTTATTATCACGAATAGCTTGAGGAGTTTGTGGCCATCAGTGAGTCGTAAAATTGTTCCAATACATGAACTCTTGTATTCGGTTGGCTTGTTCGGAATACTTTTCTACGAGTTTTGTATCCAATATTTATTGAACTTAGACAAAAGACTGCCATTTTTACCTCTTTTATTAACTAGTGTTTATTGTAGCATAGGAATTATATATTTTTGGTTGAAATATTACGCAAAGTTCCTATTCAAAATCAGTTCCAGTAAAAAAGTTAGAAAAGATTGAAGAATTAAATCGTGTATGTGAATAGTATATTGAAAATTGTGTATAAAATGAAAATTGATTCATTACAAAAAATAATTTTAATGAAAAAAACAATTCTTTCAATTTAATTTTTGAAATTCGATTTCTTCGGTATGAAAATTCATTCAAAATAATTGTCAATATGAGCAACCAAGCAAATTGATCGATGTACGACGTGGGTAACCGCGTTCCGGACGAATCCAATAGTTATTGTACATCCAATACAAATCACCTTTGAAGAAGTAGGTTTTTCCGTTGGTCATTGAAATAACCGCGTCAATGTTATTTGGAATGCCATGCCATTTCTCTCCAAGATACTTTGGGTAGCCGACATCAATTCGACGGCGTTCATCATCATAACGAACAAATTTTGATCCACTGAATAGATAAGTGCGGCCATTTTTACTCCAAACCATTGCCGCATCCACTTTTTCAACACTTTCATCAAAACCATACTCGGTGATCGACCGTGGACTATTATCAATCGAATTGTATCCATCGTAAACCCAATATTTTCTACCATTGAACAGAATAATAGCCCCATCAGATTTGCGTTCATAGGCCGCATCGATGCGACGAACATAGTTTGGAATGTCTTGGAAAATCTCATTGAAGCGGATTGGGTAACCAGGCTGCACTTGAAAATCCTCTGATAATCGCCACAAATATTCATTTTTGAATACAAATATTTCGCCACGTAACAAAGCGACGGCATCGAAGCGGGGATATTCGCATAAATTTGGAACTGTCGGAGCATTACTCGTTGATTTGCATCCAATTGAAAAACTGAAGCGATGCTGAAATCGGATTTTGATTGAATGGTTCGAGTTTTTGTGAAAATTATCGTGAAATTACCTTATTTCTCTCCTCACAATCGCTATTTGTTGTAAACCATGGATCAGTTGTTGTGAACACTTCTTTCCGTGGAACGGTTGTGGCGTCGACTCTTTTTGAACTATCTGTTGCAGTCGATTCAGTTACTAATTCCACACGTATTGTTGTTGTTGGCTCAGTTGTCCGTAACATTTTTTGGCTCGTTGATTCAGTTTCAGCTTCTCTTTCGATTTCCTCTTCTTTTGGTGTGGTCTCGTCTTCATCAGTGAACACACCATTTCTTACTGCGAACAAAATGTCAACGGTCATAAAAATTGAAGGGAAATTTAGAATCGGATTTACTCACTGTACAATTCATACATGGCCATAATATCATCATAACCGAGATCCTTTGATTCTTGCGGCCCTTTGTAATATGGAAACATGATCGAATCAAAAATGGGCGAATGTGCCAAGCCTAGTGAATGCCCGAGCTCATGTATTGCAACTGACGTGAAATCGACACCTATTTTATCAATGGAATTTGATTAGCGTTGATTGCTTTGGTAAATAAATCTGTGTCATATTTTAATTATTCTTTCAAATGTCAAAATTCACCTTCGGCTAATTGAGATGCGTTCTCTTTCCAATTTTCATCATGATCGAAATGGATGTCACCACCGAAACTCGTCATTTCATATGGATAAAAGGCATGTGCTAACACTTTCCCTGGACCATCGAATGGGAACATATCGCCATGATAGCTGGACCCAAATGCAACAATAATATCGGCGTTGGGTTCATAAGAACGCACAAATCGCAATTTTGAGTATTTTGACCAGAGCTGAAACGCCTTTTCCATGCCGGCAGCAACTTGGTCTTCGCCGACTTTTGGTGACCAATTTGCAATGCTTGAATATTTGAAAAAATGAAAGGAAGGAATTTGAAGGGAAATTTAATTAAATGGAAACGACTTACAAGTAAGTAATACGTCGCTTGCTCCATCCTCTTGAGCCAAGTGCAAATCGTTTGACGCGGTTTGTCGTAGGCAAATGTTTCGGAATATCGGCGACACCACAGCGAGGTGCTGTCAATAGCTGAGGAAAAACATATTTTCAATTATTGGCTTCTTCTTCACATGGGGCAAATATTTTAATTTCATACGAAATTTTCTCATTAGATCGTTATGTTTTACAGCTGTTGCATTGTTTACAAAACTTATATTTGGATTGGCAAATGAATTGAATAGCTTCAACTGTGCAAACAAGAATGCGCTGTACTGTCTTTTTCATGATCGAAGACGATCTATCAATTTGGATTTTTCTTATCAAAATGAAGTAGAAAAAAATTAACCTACCGACTGAATCAAATCATTCATTTCAAATCGGTCATTGTTTCCATTGAAAGAATTGAATGAAAGCAAAATAGACCATGTCTCTCAAAATGTGTTTGCTTATGCATAAAAATGGAAATCACATTGAAGACGTAACTGTTCTCGCCTTATTAACATTAAGAAAGGCACATGGCATGACCGTCTAGTAGTGAGGTAGGTAAGTGAAGTGCGCTATTAGTTCTGACTTATACAACGGGGATGTAGCTCAAATGGTAGAGCGCTCGCTTAGCATGTGAGAGGTACCGAGATCAATGCTCGGCATCTCCAAATCTTTTTTTTTTATTTTTATCGTTCAGTTATTGCGTTTTATTTGATTTTTCATTCTTTGGGTTCATAAAAATCATTCAAATTTTTTATAAAAAATATACTTCATTCTTTTGAACGAAAAGAATGGATATTTATCATTTATACGTATTACTAACCTTGATTGTTGCACTATCTAAAACGCCTGTTTGATTCAAGGCACCGTATTTTTGCATGTTTTTTATGCCAGCGATAATGGCTTCCTCGTGATAGAGTGTATCTGTCGTTGCCATTGAGCTTGAAGTCAAATAACCGAATTTTCGCAGAAAATTTAACTAAACAAAATTAAAAAGAATTCCATAAATTCTAAAATAGAGTCAAAATGTATACAAATTATCGAAAACACAACGTATGATTATTTCAAAAATGTCTGTGAACAAAATTACAATTTCCGATGGATTAACCGTTGTATTTGCTTGAGCTCCATTTTGTTCCCATGCAAAATTTACTGGATAACAATTTACGCACAAAACAACGATCGATATTATCGATAGAGTATTTTGAACGGTTTGCAAATATTTTAACGACATTTTTAGAATTAATTCAATTTTCAACAGAGCACAAAGGAACGTGTCTTAATGCTTAGAAATTCATTGTCCATACTGATGAAACGAACATAAAACATGAAATGATTTGGTCTTATCACATAAAAAAGGGAACAGTGTGGGATAACAACGGGAAGAGTTTGCATTTGTGATTTTAATAGCAGATTGAAGGCTTCTGACAGAACATTTCAAGTGCATAAATATACGATAATTCTCAACGAGTTCTTTTTTTTTTTTAAATAAAAACGAAGAAGCAATATTGTCATTCACCATTATTTGAACGCAAAACCACTTTGGTTATGATTTTGCCATTGTTAACGGCAACAAAAATGAGTTTTAGTTGATTTTTGTCGATTTTTCATGTTTTTTCCAATTTCTAATGGCTATATCTCGAAAAACAGAGTTTTCCCAGATATAAGCTATATGTCAAATTTTAGCTCTAATTTGGGGCTCTATTTGAGGCAATTTTACTTTTCCGTACAAAACGTGTCAAGGGAAAGTATAGGAATTGGTTCCGAAAACTTTTTTCGCAAAATTAGCTTAGATCATCATAAAAACTCATGAAACGTAGAAAACCACTTTTTGAGACACTTTTCCGTTCGTGTGCCGTCGTTGTCGTCGTTGTCGTTGGTGTTTGTTAACACGATAACTCAAAAAATACTTGATTTTTCAAAGCTCAAATAGGTGCCATTTTATAGCTGGCCTTGAGACCTTTCCAACGATACCTAAAAGTCTGAAATTGGTTGACAGGGTTAGGCACAGTAGCCATTGGAAGGAAGACCATTTTTTGAATTTTCAAAGGCCGGCCAAGGCCAAGATGGCGGCCAAATCAAAAAGTGGCGGAACAAAAAAGTCTTAGTTTCTGATATAGTCCAATGCCTGAAAGTTTGAAAAAGATCGGACAAAAAGTACGGACGGACGGACGGACGGACACACAGACAAAACTATTATCTCAGAATAATTGATGGAGACGGCAAAGAAAATTTTCAAATGTCTATAACTCATGAAATGATGGTCCGATTTTGACGTTCTTGGTCTTGTTGGAAAGGTCTCGACGAGAAGCTTCAGAAAAACCATGTTTTGAAATGACTGGGCCGCGTCCACCCCCCGGTAAATGAGAAAAACTGAGAATTGCTCCAAATTTTTAAGTGGCCATATCTATGGAGACGGTTGGTCGATTCCCATGTTTGAATGCATTTTCTGGGCCTATGAGCCAAGGGCTTTCTGACGATACTTCATTCATACCAGATGGCCTCTTAGGAAAAAAGTTCGAAATTGCGTGTATATATAGCGAGTTCGACTTTCAGCACAGAGGTGCTTTCGTCACTCGCGCCTGCTGTCGCCGGCTGTGATTTTTTGTCGAGTTTTTTTTTGTTGTAAAACAGGGCTCTATCACAATTTATAATAATAATTTTTTGTAGTTTCTTCAAAAATTATTGGGCGATCGGAATTCTTGTCGCTAATTTTGTTCATAAAATAAATAGAAAAACATTTTTTTTGTATTTTGAATGTTTCTCAACGTCTAATTAAAACCGATTTGGTTCGCTGCTTTGACGTTCCAACCTTTTGCCAGGTTAAATTTATCCAGCTACCTTTGAAATGAATGAGCAGACACAAAAATGATTAAAAAAAACAAAATTCACCCGGCATAAACAAGAATACAGTCGCATGCTTCGATGGCGATGTGTTGATTAAGAATTGCGTACAGGGGAAAAGGTAAATGCTTTAAATACACTCTAGCTCATCATCACACATGCGAATACTCAAGTGTTTATACCTAATAATGACGCACACTCACATGTTTTGTCGTTCCGAATACTTGACATTTCTTCATTTTACGATCATTCACGTGGGCTTCATTGTATTGACCAGCAAGCTTCGTTGTATTGACCTTACATACAACGAAGCGTGCTAATATAGTTTTGCTTTATTTATTCCTCCAGACATGGAAAGTGTGTCGATGTTGTAGTGGCTCAGACATCAAAATACGCTGTATGAAGAAAGTTACGTCGTTAGTATTAAAGTATCTTTCAACCGTGACACATCAGTGCGTTCATCGAAAATGATTCAAATAAAGGACGAACCAGTGGATGAACTCGCTGACCATGAAGTGAGGTATAGAGACGGTACAAGCGAAATCGAAGACGGTGCCAACTACTATCAATTTGAAACTATACGAGATCAAGTGCGAGCGATTTGGGGCGAAGAAGACGACGATGTCAAACCGAAAATCGAACCTATTGAGGTTGATCCGAACCGTCAACCGGTGATAAATTTGGACAGTGCATTTTTACGAAAGAATTATCGCGTCAAATGGATTGAACTGGTCAAGTCGACATTCCGTCGTCCGAATAATAAAAACGCCTGTCAACTGTGTAAGAAACCCATCGAATTCGACAGTGCAACCAAATTAATCGAACATTATGCGGAACAACATCAGAAATTGATGACATCATACGATTGTACTTTGTGTGACTTTTCTGGCAAACATACGCAAGAAATACACGATCATTGGTCTGAGAAACACAAACGACAACATAAATACGATACAAAATACACGATTGAGAAGAAAACGAACGATCGCAACAATATATGGATTGGTGACGATGAATTGATTTACTCATTTTATAAAAAAGAAATTGTGGAATGTGATATTTGTTCGAAAAAGATGCAACGACGCCTTTTAAAGGGACACAAAGCGGATCACACTGGTGATAGATTCAAATGCAAATATTGTCATAAAATATTTCGACAGCAGAGCAATTTGAACACTCATATGATGGCCGTTCATATGTATGTTCCACGAACGGAATGTAAAATTTGTTGGAAAACCTTTACAAGTCGAGGCTATTTGAGAATTCATATGAAAAGTCATTCAAAGAATACTGCAAAAGAACATCGAGAAGGAGATTATGAATGTGACATATGTTCGGAAAAAGTATTACAGAAAGATAAATTAGAGAGGCACATGCAATGGCACATGAAAAACAAAGCATTCCTGAATACAGAGCAGAAGAAGAGAGCATCGAAAAAACAAATAGTGGAGTGCGACTATTGTTTAAAAAAGTTAGAAAGATGTAGGCTATCGGATCATAAAAAAAGATGCCGCAATGAAAGGCGATTTGAATGTGATATCTGTGGAAAAATATTCATATGGAAATGTGATTTAAAATATCATATTCTCGCTACACACGTCAAGGTGAAACAATTTAAATGTGAAATTTGTTCGAAAGCATTTTCGTCGAAAGGGCATTTAACACGGCATGAGCTTATTCATCTAAAAGATACTCTACCTAGAGATGATCCGAGGATAAAACGACATAATTACGAACATGAGTTGGTCGAATGTGAGATTTGTTCGAAACGATTACAGAGAGTACACTTAAAGGGACATATAAAACTCCATACCGACGAAAAACCATTTCAATGCGATATTTGTCATAAATCGTTCAAAACAAAACAAAATGTCAGAAAGCACAAAGTGCGTCACACCGACGAACAGCCATTCGAATGCTCATTTTGCTCACAAAAGTTCAAAACCCAACGAAATCAGAGAAATCACGAATTGGTACATCGTAACGAACAGCCACATGCATGCCCATTTTGTAATAAAAAATTCTTGTTCAATCAAGATTTCCATATGCATTTTCGATCCGTACACTTCAATTTGTTGCGACAACAAGACAGATTGACTGGCGGCCTAAATGATTTGTTCCAAGGATATCGAACGTATGAATGCTACAAATGTAAATATCCAGCGATATTGAGACAGGTAACGGCACACCTCAGAGGATGTCGGGTTGGATCGACATTTTTGAATTGCCCCATGTGCATCCGCAAATTTAAGTCCAAAGCACGCATGGAAGGGCATTTGAAGAGGACACATTTTACCTGAATTTGATGGAAGCGAGCGAAATAATAATTGTTCATGATGGATATTAACAATTTAAATGCATTTTTCTCTTAAATTCCATCAATAAATAAAAGCATTCAGCACTTTAGTAAGGGAATTGATAGCACGTAAGCAAATATAGATATTGTGCTCAAATTATTCTTTAAGTATAAATTGATTCAGCCAAATGTTCAACTATACTTAGTAAAGGTCAAACTTCAGCACCGAAATGTCTAGGATTTTAAGAAAAATTTGACCATTTTCTTCATATATTTTATTCCTTTTAATTGCATAGTATACTTTGTTACCTTTCTAGATTTTTTTTTTCGTAAAGTAAAATCATGACACATTTTACTAATACTTAGTAATACTCTCTAATATTTCAAAAACGGTAAGGCCAAAAAACATGAAGAACAAAATCCCCGCCAAATTAAATTAAAAAAAATCAAAATTATAAATAATAATAGAACGCATTTTACAATTGTTTCATTTGAATATTTAGTACATAGGGAAAAGAATTGAAATTGAACGTAAGGACTGCATGAAATTGAATAATGATCAGAATAAATATTATACTCATTTCAAGCTCATTGATGGCATCTGACAATCTTTGAAGAACTGTTTCCAGTAGTAAAGGTAATTGATCGTCGTTCACTTGGAATATTTTTTGCCAAACCAATATTGTCAACGTTGAACAATCAAACAGTGATATTATCACATGTGTCTGTATATCGTCATAATTACCAATTGTAATTTATAGAATTATAGAAACACGTCGAATATCTATCGTATCCACATTTCAAACTGTTCCACCTTTTAACCATTACAATTGTATGGTGGAAATGGACTGAAATCCTATATCTCAAAAGCTTTCTCACCAGAATGAATTTATTTGATGACGCAGAGTTCAGAGGAACTTGATGAATGTTGCGTGCGAATGCAAAATGTGTTCAAATTTTTTTTTTCAGATAGAGGCGTAATTTTCTACATATTGTTCAAACTGTTTATTTCGTTGTTTTGTGGCAAATAGAAATGTTGAAAGCACTCTTTTGAAAATCTCCTTTTTCGATGACTCATATTTCAGTGGAATTGGCCGAGCGAATGAATGGTTTTTGAAATTATATTGGCAGATTATAGAATGAATGGTTGTGTTACTTGCTTAATACACAAGCAACGGTGAGGTGACGGCTCTGGTTTAATACGAACAGTTTAGGTAGTTGTATTGAGCTATGTGACCGTATGTGTACTGAATTCTTTATTTTCCGAATTACAGTACGGTTTGAGTCTCATAGCTCAATACAACTAACTGTTGGTATTATAGAATGAATCAAGCGATAACGTAATCTGTGTTTTTTATTTTGATTGAATGCAGACTTAATGAAAAAAGCTATTCATTTCTATTGGGTCTGGGAATTAGTTTTGTCGATTTTTTTAAATTTTCAAACATTTATTTGAATACCAAAATGAAATTACATTTCAATCAAAATATTGTCCATCGGAAGCGATGACCTTCTGCCACAATGTGGGCAATTGACGGATGCCTGCCTTAAAAAATTCCTCATCTTTTGAGGCTATAAATGCATCGAGCCAATTTTGGATTTCTTCAACTGAAGAGAACCGCTCTCCGTCCATATGGTTTTGCATCGATCGAAACAAATGGTAGTCGGAAGGAGCCAGGTCTGGGCTATACGGGGCGTGAGCCAAAACTTCCCATCCGCTATTTTCCAAGTAGTTTTTGACCGATTTCTCAATGTGTGGCCGAGCATTGTCATGTAGGAAAATCAATGTCTCTTTTCTGGTCTCCCATTTCGTGCGTTTTTCTTTGATTGCTTGTTTCAAACGTATCAATTGTTGTCGGTAGAAAGGCCCATCGATGGTTTGACCACTTCTCAGCAGCTCATAATACACCACTCCCTCCTCATCCCACCAAATAGACAGCATTACCTTGTCGCCGTGAATTTCTTGTTTTGGCTGTGATGTTGCTGGTTGGCCGGGCTTAACATACGATGCTTTGCGCTTGGGGTTATCGTAATGAATCCATTTTTCGCCACCAGTGACAATTCGATACAGAAAACCTCTTTTTTTGTGCCTTGCGAGCAGCATTTCGCAAGTCACTAAACGCCTTTCAGCTTGCGCTGGCGTCAATTCATGTGGTACCCAATTTGACAACTTGCGAATGAAACCAAGGGCCCTTAAACGATATCCAACAGTGCTTCGGTCAACATTCAATGCTCTGGCAAGCTCATCTTGAGTTTGACTCGAATCTTCATCGAGCAATGCCTTCAATTCCGCATCTTCAAACTTTTTTGGCTGGCCGGGACGTTCCTTGTCTTCCGTGCTAAAATCACCACTTTTGAACCGTGAAAACCACCGTTCACATGTACGTTCCGATGGAGCATGCTCACCATAGGCTTCCACCAACATTCGATGCGCTTCAGCCGCAGTTTTCTTCAAATGAAAGCAAAAAATTAATGCTTGCGGGAAATGTTGCTTTTTCGGTACAAAATTTGACATATTTAAGGCGCAAAAAAAAATGTTTATCCAAACTTCGATGAAATGATAGATGATGATTTTTGTAGTTTGACACTAGACCACTCATGTGAAAAAGAAAAAAGTATTGCCCGATACAACCATGCAAAGTTACGCCATCTTTTGAAAAATCGACACGATTAATTCCCAGACCCAATAAAAGGGAAATGTTGTTTTATTACAGAAATATTTATTATGACAATTAAATTTCTGAAGCAAACCCAATCACACTCTATAATTTTTCTGTTATTTTTTTTGCTTATTACACTTTAATCTTTAAATAACTGAGTTACTCTTTGCATTTTACAGTCAGTACACTCAGCCCATTGTGATGGTATTCAATCTCCGGTTTCTCCGGAAAAACGATTAATTTCGTTAACCTTGAAAAGATGCACGGAGTCTGTTTCTTTTCATTTAATCTGGGATCACTGGATCTGGTTTCATAATTATATGCGACCCTTTGTACGGTTAGTGTTAAAGTAGTCAATAAATCATGGTCTGGTTTTCGTTTTTTCATTTCATCGCAAAATGATTGAATAAACCAACTTCCATCGTTTGGATCTCTGAACGCACCAAATCCAGGTAAAGAAGAATAAGCGACTAAAAAATCTTGTTTCGGTAGAAATGAAAAATTTGCCGTTCGCTCAAGCTCTCTACTAGCCCCTCTCAATCCGTACCTCGTCGACATCAATTTGAATGCCTTTTCTCGCTTTTCACCTTGACATGCTTGAATCAAGAATATTCTCGGCTTATTTGCTAGCGTTGGACAAGCTTCATTCGTAAAGCAGCACCAAACATCTTGCAGTGGATATTTATCGTCCTTCGAATACACATAGCTCATGAGATCATGATTTAATAGAGTATTGCATGAATTATCATCATCATTGAAACCCTTCAGTTTGCCATGTGTTAGAAATACAACCACCAAGCAATCGTTGTCAGAATGGTCCATTTCAGCGACTGATCAAAAACAATAATTTAGATCATGAACGAATGTTGAATTAGCATAGTTTACCTTTTTGCAGTTCATTGAATATGTCATCTTGTTCCAAATCATCGTGGACTTGTACATCGAAGTTCAGCGAATGGAATGTTTTGCGCAATCGCTCACAATCAGCTTGAGTTCCGTTTCGTGGATTCAAATTATTGTAGAAATAATTGTGATTGAAAATCAACGCCAATCCTCGATGCTTGTGGTTCATACTGTAATAGTATTCCAATTCTCGTTTTCGTAATCGATTTATTTCGTTGCCAGAGCTGATCTGCTTCAAAACCGGGTTAAAAGATTTTCTAAGCACACTTATTACACTATCGTCACACACAGCATTTCGATCATTTGCATAATCAAGTTCTATACTATTCGATTGAGAATCGTTTTCGAGAGACTCTGTAAAATACGTCGAGTTTTCACTGTCCATTTCAAGAAGTTTTTAAAGCAGTCAACTGTTGAACGGTTACGATTGCACAATGAAAATGGATTGGACGTTTATATATTTTTACAATCTCTATCCGTGAGTAAGTATGAATTTATTCGATGACGTAGAATTCAGTGGAATTCAGACTTTGCATCACTGTTGATAAAATATTTCTTTGTTACTGAAGTATTAAATAATGAAATGACTTTATATTTTCTGTGGACTCTTTTTTATGTTCTTTTTCAGGGGCATTTTAAAAGGACACATTTTGACTGAATTTATGCAAAAAATTGGTTAAATTTGACCTCAAATTATTCACTCACTTCAAGCTCATTGATAGCATCTGACACATATCAGGAATTGTTTTCAGTAGTAAAAGTAATTGGTTGCCGATCACTCGGAATATTGTTTGCCAAACAAGTATTGTCAACGTTGGAATATCAAACAATACGGATATTATATCATATCTTTATATCGTCATAATTACCAATTGTAATTTATAGTGTGTTTCTCGCAATCGGTCGAATTATTATTAAAAACACATTGAATATCTATTACCCACATTTCAAAGTAGTCGACTTATCAACCATTACAACTGTACAACGGAAATGGACTGGAATTTCATATCTCAAAGGCTTTCTCACGAGAATGAATTTATTTGATGACGCAGAGTTCAGTGGAACTTGATGAATGTTGCGTACGAATGCAAAATGAGCTCAAAAATATTGTTGCAGATAAAGGCGTAAGTTGATTCATTCATATTTTTACATATTGGTCAAACTATTTATTTTATTGCTTTGTGGCAAAAAAAGACACTTGCAAGTCGGACTGAATCAAAACTCAATTCTCCGTATGCTTTCTATTATTACGTCTCATCGCAGAATGATTGAGTGAATCAACCTCCATTCTTTAAATGTCTGAGCTACCCAAAGGCAAAAAAGAATATGCCACAAAAAGTTCCGCTTTGGCAGTGCATACATAAATTGACCTTTCTAGTGGCAGCTGTTCTTATTTTGTTATTGAATTATTGTGTAATAATATCAGATGAAAAACCTCTAGACGAGGTTAAAATGGAGTGACGCTCCTGTGCGTGGATTTACCACTCAAAATGACTGATATCATTTTGAGTGACGCTTTGACGCTGTATTATCTCTGGGCACGAAGTTCAAAAGTGTTTTTCGCATTCACTATTGTGAAAATTTATTTACAATAAGGAAAAATATCGCGTCACGACTTTTGGACGGCAAAACGCTTGAAAGTTTGACTTGGAGACTAAATTCAAAAGTCGTGACGCGATATTTTTCCTTATTGTAAATAAATTTTCACAATAGTGAATGCGAAAAACACTTTTGAACTTCGTACCCAGAGATAATACAGCGTCAAAGCGTCACTCAAAATGATATCAGTCATTTTGAGTGGTAAATCCACGCACAGGAGCGTCACTCCATTTTAACCTCGTCTAGAGGTTTTTCATCTGATATCACTACTTTTGTAAGGCAATTATTCTCGGAAAAAATACACTTTTGCCAGAAATATGTCTATTTTAAGGTCTTATCATTGGAAAATTTTAATTTTTCGGGTAAAACATTTGCATATACATTTCACAAGTTTTGTAAATAGCAAATTTCCACTTTCATTTAAAAAAAGTCTCATTTTCCCCTTATTGGACATTGTAAAATGTGATTAAATTTCAAAATATCCATTAAAAGAGTTTTGAAGTAATTTTTGACACATTACTTCATTGAAACATATTAATTTCCAACCACCAAAGCTCTGGAAAGTGAGCTTATTTTTCGACCATGAAATGCCCTCAGATCGCATTGTGACCACTTTTAATCGATTGCTTGACCACTTTTAATCGATTGATATGGTCTTTCGTGAGCCTTTTTCAGCCAGTAGATCGAGAGTTGAGCCTGTCAGTAGTATTTGTTGTTGTAATTTGTTAGTTCGAACTCTCACCGCTTGCATGTACAATGCAAATCAGATGCGTTTTTTGGGGCGCCACTTTTGTGAAGCTTGTATTAGACTCAATCTACGCAGTATAATTTTTGGCAGCAATTTCATCGTAGAATGCGACTCTTCGTACAAATTCCGTTCATTGATGAACTGCCTGTGCCCAAAACTTCGAAATACGAATTTTCCCGGATATGTGGCATATGCCATTTTGTTGGTATGGTGGCCGGCTACAAACGCTCAGTTTTTGGTAAAACATTGTCGGGCTGATTTTTGAGAAATCGCGTTTGGTGTGAAATTTAAGGGGGTCGATTTTTCATAAAAATCGACTTTTTTCTTTTATATCACATAAACATTGGCATGTGTGTATGGAACTTTTTGAAGGTCTTCTCAAATGATACCGAGCTGACTTTGCCCGATGGGCGTCTGAGTTGATCTAGTGTGCGAAATAAATACTTGAAAAAATCGTTTACATGCAGGCTAGTGAAGCCATAGCCAGCTCTCCTGTAATGCAAATGTCAATCTGAGGACGGGTTTCGATGTGGCCCGACACCAGCTACAGCTTGGGCATATCGGCACCGGAATCTGTGGGGGTCTAAAAAGTTTCCGGACAAACGAACGAACGGACGCACAAATCAAAACTTTCATAAAAAATCAAGATCAAACTGCCAATGCCCATATCTTTTTCGTTTTTGGACCAATCGGGGCAGTTAGACCGGCGTTGGAAAGGTGGCGAGGAGGAGCTTCTGTTGGACATCTCAGACCACCCCCTGGATACCCCCTTTGTAAGATATGGGTATAGATTTGAAAATTTATCGAAATTTTCCAACCGCTATATTTTTGCCTAGACCACACTTAAGGCATGGGGGGTATGGTGTTTCCGACTATTTGGGCCAAGACCTTTCCAACGGTACCTAACATGCCGGGGCCCAAATAGTTTCCTGAGAAAATAGCATATTTACTGTATATATACTCGTGACGCAAAAACTGGCATTTTTGATATTTGGCTTGAAATGCACAGTCTATGGTGCGTCACTTGTCGGACTATCGTCCTCCGTGATACCTTTTCTCAAAGTTGAATAATATATTGCCAATTCTCTTATCATCGTGGAGTCGTGTACGTACTTTAATCTTTAAAAAAATTATGTTTGTTACATTTTATATCAATAATATTAGTGAATCCATCCCATCGGCTGACACACCCAGCCCATTGGCTGGCATTCAGTCCCAGGTTTCTTCGAAAAAACGATTAATTTCGTTAGCCTTGAAAAGATGCACGGAGTCTGTTTCTTTTCATTTAATCTGGGATCACTGGATCTGGTTTCATAATTATATGCGACCTCTTGTACGGTTAGTGTTAAAGTAGTCAATAAATCGTCATTTGGTTTTCGTTTTTTCATTTTATCGCAAAATGATTGAATAAACCAACTTCCATTCTTTGAATGTCTGAACGCACCATGTTTAGGTAGCGAAGAATAGGCAACTAAAAAATCTTGTTTCGGTAGAAATGAAAAATTTGCCGTTCGCTCTCTTCTATCTGCTGTCAAATTTACGTACACAATCGGCCCAAATTTGAATGCCTTTTCTCGCTTTTCACCTTGACATGCTTGAATCAAGAATATTCTCGGTTTATTTGCTAGCGTTGGACAAGCTTCATCCGTAAAATAATACCAAACATCTTGCAGTGGATACATATCGTCCTTCGAATACACATAGCTCATGAGATCATGATTTAATAGAGTATTGCATGAGTTATCATCATCATTGAAACCCTTCAGTTCGCCATGTGTTAGAAATACAACCACCAAACAATCGTTGTCAGAATAGTCCATATCAGCAACTGATCAAAAACCAAATTAGATCACGAATGGATGCTTTTTTTATTGAACTAATTTAGTTTACCTCTATCCAAAATATTCATTATTTGCCTCTTTATCAAATCATCGTAGACTTGTACATCAAAGTCCAACGAATGGAATGTTTCGCGCAATCGCTCACAATCAGCTTGAGTTCCGTTCCGTGGATTCAAATTATTGTAGAAATAATTGTGATTGAAAATCAACGCCAATCCTGGATGCTTGTGGTTCATATTGTAATAGTATTGCAATTCACGTTTTCGTAAACGATTTATTCCGTTGCCAGAGCTGATTTGCTTCAAAACCGGGTGAAAAGATTTTCTAAGCACACTTATTACACTATCGTCACACACAGCATTTCGATCATTTGCATAATCAAGTTCTACACTATTCGATTGAGAATCGTTTTCGAGAGACTCTGTAAAATATGTTGAGTTTTTACTGTCCATTTCAAGAAGCTTTTAAAGTAGTCACCTCTTGAACGATTTCAATTGCACAATGGAAATGGTTCGGAATATTATATATATATACACAATCGTCGTACGGCCCCACTCTCTCCTTGAGTGAGTATGACTTTTATTCGATGAAAATAGTTTACTAAAATGACGTTACATTTTCTGCGTACTTTTTTTGAGTTCTTTTTCATTATCTCAAATTCCAATAAAATACATGATCCTGATATAAACTATTTATTGTTGTACACATAAATTCCAAGAGTTTTGCTACATCGATGATTTACCGAACACTAATCTTTATATAGCTCTCTTCTGAAATTTCTCGATGACGCATAGCTCAGTGGAGTTCGAAATTGGCTGAACGAATATATTGTTTTTTTTTTTTAATTATTTTTGCAGATCAAAAAATAAATCAAATGATAATGTTTTTTGGGTTTTTTATTTTGATATTTTTTGGCCGAATGCAGATTTGATGAAAACTGTTTATTTCAATAAGGGAAATGACGTTTTATAACAAAGAAATTCATTATATTCAATTCACAAGCTCATAACATGCTCTGAATTATATTTATAAAGCAAACCAAATCAGGATTGAGCTGAGTCAAAATCTATAGTTTCTCTGATTTTTTTTTGCTCATTACACTTTAAGCTAAGTACACAGTTCCTTGTGAAATGAAAAAATTTCTCCGGTGAAATTTTCACAGGTGATATTTTTATGGTGTTTTTTATTTTCGAATTGCAAGCATAATGATTTTTGATGTATAAATCAGCTAACTCACTAAACAGTTTTTGAGTTCATTCTTCTATGTGTTTTGTCTAAACAATTTTTTTTCACGGTCGTAAAAAAATAAGAAAGATCAAAATAAATTCAAGAATGAATTCAAAATTCAAATTTGTTCATGTGTTGTGTTGATATTTGAGAGAGTTAACTGTTTCATACATCAAAAATCATTATGCTTGCAATTCGAAAATACAAAACACCATACAAATATCACCTGTAAAAATTTCACCGGAGAAATTTTTTCATTCCACGAGGAACTGTGTAGTTAGCTTTAATCTTAAAAATAAATGAGTAAGTTGCATTTTACATCGGTGATGTCAGTGTTCCCAGTCCATTGGCTGGCATTCAGTCTCCTGTTCCTTTGGAAAAACGATTAATTTCGTTAGCCTTGAAAAGATACACGGAGTCTGTTTCCTTTTATTTATTTTGGGATCACTGGATCTGGCTTCATAATCATATACGACTCTTTGTACGGTTAGTGTCAAAGTGGATCTAGTTATTAAATCATGTTCTAGTTTTCGTTTTTTCATTTCATCGCAAAATGATTGAATAAACCAAATTCCCTTTGGATCTCTGAACGCAACGAATTTAGGTATTGAAGAATAAGCCACTAAAAAATCTTATTCCGGTAGAAAAACCATTCTAGATAGCTTATTAATCGGGACGAATGTTGATAACGACCAATTCTTTATATCGAATGCCTATTCTCGCTTTTTACCTTGACATGCTTGAACCAAGAATGTTTTCGGCTTATTTGCTAGCGTTGAACAAGCTTCATTCGTAAAGCAGCTGCAAACTTCTTGCAGTGGATACATATCGTCCTTCGAATACACATAGCTCATGAGATTATGATTTAATAGAGTATTGCATGAGCTATCATCATCATTGATTTTCACCCGTTGGAAATATAACCACCAAACAATCGTTGTCAGAATGGTCCATATCAGCAACTGATCAAAAACAAAGGTAGATCATGAATGGATGCTTTTTTTATTGAATTAGTTTAGTTTACCTTTTTTCAGTTCATAAAATCCCAAATCCCTCTTTTTCAAATCATCGTAGACTTGTACATCGAAGTTCAGCGAATGGAATGTTTCACACAATCGCTCACAATCAGCTTGAGTTCCTTTCCGAGATTTGGAAAAATTGTTGATTTTTCTGTGGCACTGGGCGCGAATTTGTGAATAAAAAATTCGAATGCCAAACCGACATAGAAGCCACTAGTAAAATGTAGTATCGTAATACAGTTCAGTAAAGTTATGTTCCAAAAAATGATTCATTTCGATGACGCAGAAATCCAGTGGAACTTAAACGAATAACATTCATCAAATGTACTTCTTCCAGATAAAATACTGAATAAAATTACCAAAACTGGCACTATGTGTGCTTTTACATATTGTTGTTTTATTTTCTGTCAAATTCTAGCCTGAATATATGGACTATAATGTAAACTGTTTATTACGATAAGTGAAACAGTGTTTTGTGACAAAAAGATATGTTAGAAAGCCAGGCCGAGTCCGATGAAACCAATATTATATCGATAGTCTTGCAAAAATTGTGGAAATTCTCATGGCATCACAAAAATTAATCATTGTATTTTTCAAACTCATCAACAATTTTTGGTATCAGAAGGAATTGGACGTTACACATTTTCTATCATTTTGGAAATATAAAAAAGAAGTTCTTTTCGCGCAACGCTCGTAACATATCCCCATGTCCAGAAACACGCTTCAGAAGATTGCAAAGATGTGGTGATATTTTGGATTTGATTTATCAAGTAAATTTCTCTTCAATGCTGTGAATGTGCTAAATTTGCTGATATTTTCTCTTCCGCAAAAATAAAGTGTGTCACAAAAATTGTAAACGCTTTGTCAAAGTGTGAAGGCCGATCGTTTAGAACAAATTGTTCGTTATCAATGAAAAAAAAAAGAATCAAATAAAGATGTTTTCTCAAAATAAAATTGTTTATTTGGATTTCAATTTCGAATGGAACTGACGAAGTCGAATAAAATTCTTTCTTTTTTTATGTGTCAATTTAATCAGGAACAAATTACAACTCTTAAAATATCTCTGAATAAATTTAAGGGCCAACCAAAAATCGGGCGATAAATTAAAAAAAAGGAATTACAATTAGGTGTTTTCTTTTAAGTAGTGGCAGAAAAATGCTGGGAGCTGGACACCAAGTGAATGTGTATAAAAAATTGTTTTTTTTTCTATTAAAAATGATCACGATGTTTGTAAAAAAAAAATCGTCGGGCAAATTGTTGCTCAATTAAAGTCCAATTGATTTGCGAAATGCAATTTGGTGTCTAACTCCTTTTCCCGAATTTGAAAGAGGGAAAGTGTGCTTACACAAGTACAAAAAAAAGAAAAAGAAACAAAATCTATCTATTGCCTGCTCAAAACACTACAATCATATGCATATACTCCTATTAAGTGTTCTTCAATTGTAATTAATCGCTGCTCTAAATTGTTTGATTGAAGAAGACGAAACACATTTGAGATGCAAGACAATGCAACACGTTCGGCTGCAATATGCTTATTTAATCGGATGCAAATCTAAATCGATTGGAAGCTATACAAAGTAGCTAAAAACTACAAAAATGTATGTTGTGTGTGTGTGTGTGTGTGTGTGTAAATCGGACATTTCGGCTACATACTCAGTTGTTTTGTGTTAAATACGAGAAAACTAAATGAAAACATGCTCGATCTTGCACTTCAAATATAATACATTCCATTAGGTTGGAAATGTGTGTGTGTATGTATTTCATTTGCGGTTCTCTTCGTGGATGATTTTAAAATAAATGGTAACGCACAATTCAACCAAAAATCAATTACAATACGAAAATCAATGTAATAAAAAACAATCGAACAAAAATACAGCAATATTTGTTTTTCTACAATAAGACAATTTAGTGCATAAATAAGAAAATTCGAAGAATCGAAATCAAATTGTCTCACTAAACTTATAATTTTTGAATTAAAAAAAGTTATTTTGCTCATTTCTTCTTCTTCTTCTACTCGTTTTTTGTTTTTTTCTTCTAAATCCTGTAATGGCTAAAATCGCCGTGATACAAAAGTAAGCACAAACGTTTTTTTTTATGTATACAATTTTTCATGACGCGAGCACTGAGCAAAAATTTTGCGTTTACAAATAATTAGTAAATTAATTATTTCATTTCTGTCACATTAGCGTGTGTGTTTTTTGTGTATTTATCTTTCCACCTAAATGTCTATGTCGAGCTATTTTCAAAGGAGGCTATTATAACGCTAGACTCATCTATTCCGCTCTTAAATTACTTGAATGTGTTTTTGCAATTTTCTTGTGTCTCTTTTTCTCAATGTGTTTTCTTAAGTTGTGTTTTTTTCTTCTTGCTGTTGCTATTTTAAGTTTCCATAGAAGGTGTTTGTTGTGTGTTGTGTGTGTGTGATCTGATTTACTGTGGTTCTTATGAATATTTAGCCTTTTTTGCTGCAATAGAGTTTCCATTACGAGCCTCATCAACTCCATCTAGTCAATCTACATCCAATTCCTTTGCTTGTTCCCATGGGAAGCAGTCACGTCCAAAGTGTCCGTAGCAGCTGGTCTGTTGGTAAATTGGTTTGCGCAGATTCAACTCTCTGTATTTGGGGGTAAAAGAGCATTTATTAGCATTTTGGAAGCATTTCAAAACAGAATTGAATGTTGAATTCAACGTTTAAATTCAAATGATGATATTCAACGATGGATACGATAAAAATTTATTGCAAAAATCCATTGAAATGATTCGAATGATACTCACTTAACGATGCGGCCAGGTCGAAGATCAAAGTTACGTTTGATAATTTCTAGTAAGTCGCTCTGAGATCGTTTCGATGTGCCGTAATCGAAAACAGTGATTGAAATGGGCTCGGCAACGCCAATGGCGTACGACACTTGTACCAAGCAACGGCGACAGATTTTGGCTTTAACTAGAGATTTGGCCACCCAACGAGCTGCATATGCTGCTGATCGATCGACCTTTGTGAAATCTTTACCCGAAAATGCTCCACCACCATGCGCACCCCAACCGCCGTATGTGTCAACAATGATTTTTCTGCCTGTTAAACCGGCATCACCCTGCGAAACGACAGAGAAAAACGCATTAATTTCATTTGAAGGAAAATTAGAATTTCGATGAAAAAAAAAACTTTCAACTCACCATTGGTCCGCCGATGATGAACGCACCGCATGGATTAATGTGAACAATTGTGTTTTGGTCAAAATACTGTTCGGGAATCACGGTTCTGATCACTTTCTCCGCTAGTTCGCTACGTAAATGTTCCAATGTGACTTTGTCCGAATGTTGAAGTGACACGACTACAGTATGAACACGTTTTGGTATACATGCGCCTTTATCAAATAAGTACTCGCACGTGACCTATCAATTCAGGAGAGAGAGAGAACAAGCAAAAAATTATCGATTTGTCAATCTATTTCTAGAAATGCACATTTTCATTTTTCATTTATTCGAAATGAATTGCATCAGAAAAACGTTTGCATCATTGTTCAATCAAGAGTAGCAAATAATCTTTTAAGTTGATTTCAACATCATGGACAAATTTTGAGTAAAAATAAATATTTTTGTCCAATTAGTTTCGATTTTTACCTGTGTTTTCGAGTCTGGGCGAGCCCACCAGAATTCTCCAGATCGTCGAAGTTCGGCAATTTTTGCGTTCAGCCTGTGCGCTAAAACAACCGTCAACGGCATACACTCTTCCGTTTCATCAGTTGCGTACCCAAACATCAATCCCTATATTAATTTGGTAAAATTGACGGAACAACACAGAAAAAAATTTTACGAAATAAATTTTACGAACGCAACGTTACCGAAAATAAAATAAAATAAAAATAAACGGGAATAAACTCGGTTAATGTACAAAAATATCATGCAAAAGGAATTAGTTTACACCACAATATAAGAAAAAGAGCATGCAATTAAAAAAAATGCGTGGATTCATGTGTTAGGCTTTGTGTTAACACGTTGGATATTGCGCAAAATGAAGTGAGTGTGAATTGGGTGAGATTCTAATTGACTAATTGATTAGCAAGACTTGAATATGTTTAGTATGACAAATATAAAACGTTTGTGTGAATGTATAGTCAATGTGTTTGGTGGTGGTGGTTCAACATGAATTGGTGCTATTTGATTCGAATGAGGAGCGACTATATTTATACAAAACTTGAATACGATGATCTTTTTTTTCTTCTTCAAAAAAGCGCGCTTGAAATGATACCCGATGAATTTAAAATGATGCCGGATCAAATATAAAAATAAATTGGATATTTGGTGATAGCATGCCAAAGAATACCAGTAGATTTACTGATTTTATTCAACACTCAACTGAGAAGTGGCAGCTTGGCAAAATAAAATAGAACAAAAATGAAGAGCGAGCGTGTGCAAGATAAAAAAGAATTGTGCGTAAACAGGTGTAGTGATGCCTGTACAAATAAAATAAAATAAAAAACGAACTCAAAATGCCAGTTTGCGCTGAATCCAAAATGTACAAGATTAAAACACATAAAAAGTATAGCAACGCTACGGAAATATTCGGATGAACTGTGTCTGTGTGTGTGTGAGAGAGAGAGAGAGAAGAGAGAGAGAGAGAGAGTCCTGACCTGATCACCTGCACCGATATCATCTTCGTCACGATTCACATGAACACCGGCCGCAATTTCAGGCGATTGTTGATCCAATGCGAGCAAAACATTACAGGTTTTATGGTCGAATCCTTTGAAACAAAAGAACGGAATCAAAATAATTGTCTTGTTTATTTTTTTTCCATCACGCAATTGTTTTTTTTTTCGATTGTTTTTTCTTTCTTGTCTTTTTATCGCTGCTGATCGAACGTTTCGTTCGACGTGTCGTCGAAACATATCGTTTGTTGAACTTGATATTGAATGTGTGTAAGTTGGCGCTTAACGCATTTTTTTTCTCCTTCTTGTGGTGACATAATACCATGCGGTCGGTCAATGTACAGTACATTTATATCAGTATATTTATATCGATACCAAGGCAAGCCAAGCCAAGACTAAACATTTTCGATATCGGCAATTTGATTTCAAACATAAACAATGCTATGGATGATCGGCAGCTCGATGCGGCACATTTGATTTGCAATGAAAGTACAGCCTCAAAAAATAATTGATTGTAGTCGAAGTGTTGCTGCTCTCAACTCTCATCAAAAAAGTACAATTAAATAGTAAGTATTTCATGTTTACCAATTTTATTGACTGAAAAATACGGTTTCCAGTTTGTTAATAGCATGCATAAAACAGGCAACAATAACAACGATGGCAATAAAAATAGAATCAGATTTATTTTTTCTTTGTTCTGAAATGTTCAACGGGTGAGGTGGGGAATTTCTGAGGTCAAAATTGTTGGAAATAACGTCAAAAAACGATGCGAACGACACAATGAATCAGGACAATCACAAAAATATTTAAATTGGTGTTGTTTTTTTGTTGTGGTTGGTTCGGCAAGAAAATACAAATTCCCAAATGTGATGCGAAATGAGACGAAATTATCGAAAATATTCCCCAGAATCGTTTTTTTTTTAATATGGAAAAAGCATTTTGAACTCTTTGTTGTTGTATTTTTTTAGTAAGATTTAGTGGTTTGAGTGTGTATATCTGAAACGCGATTCCCTGCATGATTTTCTTTGTATGGGTTTATTTCGTGTTTGTTGTTGTTGATTGTGTGTGTGTGTGTGTGTGTACCTGATCACCAGCGCCGATGTCTTCTTCCACACGATTAACATGAACACCGGCCGCTATTTCAGGGGATTGCTGTTCAATAGCTACCAAGAGATTTAGGCTACGCCAATCGAAACCTATAGTTAAAAGTTGGTGGTGGTGGTGGTGGTTGTTGATGATGGTCGAAAAGAAGAAATTGTGAATATAGGTCTCATTTCATTCGAGCGTTTTTGGTTGGGACGATCACAATATAGAAAGTTTCTTCAACCGGATGGTTCAACCGACAATGAAGTACGACGTACGCGCGTAACTTCCTTGTTCCCTTCGATTTTGTTGTGCATTTTGGAATTTCCATAATAACGACAGACAAGTCAACAGATGGGTAATGCAACCTGGACTCAAACTTACCTTTCGATGAATCGTCGTATCCTATATGGTTTACTGTGTCACGTACAACTTTTTGATAGTCTACAACGGCTTTGCTCGTAATCTCACCGCACAACAGGATCATTCCCGTCTTGGCAACAGTTTCTGCGAGGAGAAAATAGACAAAAAATGAAACACATAAATCTTGTTCTGAAAATAAATTTCATTCATTTTCAATTTGGTAAATGACACACTAAAAAAAAAGAAGGGTTCAGTCATAACAAAGAGACGCAAAGTAGAAAGAAACTGTTGGAAAATTACGTGATAAATTAATCTGGCCTGAGTAAAATGGATTTTAAAAATAAAAAAAAGTATTCCACATCTGTGGTGTCGAGTAGGTTTTATGGCACATAAATTATACTCCTCGAAACGAGATAGAGAGAGAGAGAGAGAGAGAGAGAGAGAGAGAGAGAGAGAGAGAAAACGATCGTCAAAAGGATAGCAAAGTAGTTACACGCACATACACACACCGTGCTGCCGCTCGACGACAATCATATGAAATGGATATTTTTAGATTACGACAATAGTAAGCAGCCGTATTGGATTACACTGCAAGCACAGCAAAATACGGGCCAAACGACGTTGAAAACGAACGATACACACATTACGTACACCATGCATGAAATCTAGTTTGAAGCTGAGCCGCGTCAGCTGCGATATCAGCTTTGAACATATAGAAAGTTTTTTTTTATGTTTCACATCGGCCATTTCCCGGTATACAATATCAAAATAGGCACCACAATTTTTCGACGACTAGAACATCTAGCAGTCGTTGCCTTGCTCTACATATACACGCTCGCGTGCGAGCATCGCAAAATGAACGAAAAACCAAACCGACGAAAAAAAAAACAATCAACGGCGCTTCTTTTTATTCAACCGGCATTTTAATCGATTTTTTGCGTGTTTCTTTCTTTTCTATTCGTTTTTTGGATGACTTCGGGCAAGGAAATTCTCGCGCTCTTTCATTGAATCCATTTCGATTGTCTGTATGCATTCATTTTGTGTGCGTTACATCGTCGCATTGCATTTGAATAATTGAGAAACGTGTTAACATAACAATTGTCATCGCGCGTTCGACTCTCATGCTAATTTTATCACTCGCAAATGCGAACTTACGTCGAATTGTTTTGACGAACGACCAACATTTCAATCACAATGCGATTTGTGATGATGTAAAGAAAAGAATACGATTTATATGCATCAAAAAGAAGAAACTTAATAACAAAAAAAGTCTAGGAGAAAAAAAACCTTTTTCAGTGAAAAAAAGAATAAGAGCGAAAACAAAGTAGAAAAAAAGATTTTTTTTTGCATATAAAACACCACAAAGTCTACTTACCGCATGCAACTTTGGCGTTCGGGTCTTGCTTCAAATGGGCATCCAATACTGCATCACTGATCTGATCGCACATTTTATCTGCAGGTCAATAAAATGGAGAAGAAAAAAAAATGTTTTCATTAGAAAAGAAAAACGAAGGCAAAAAGTATTAACGAACTAAAAGAAGAAAATGTCTTTAAAAGACAGTCTAAAAGATTAAAAATCTGTCGGTTTTTGAGATTAGCTCGGCTTCAATGGTATTGTTCGAGTTAAGATTTGAACAAATGGAGAGAAAAATGCAAAGTCGACATTATTCAGATTCAAAGAAAAAAAAGAAGCCAAACAGTCTAGACTCCGAATACCTCTCTCGATGTAAACAAATGTGCAAGAGCAGAAAAAAAAATCTGAAGTTCATTCATTCCGAAGGCCATAGAAGGCAAGAGGGAACAAAACTCAAATCTCATTCTCGGAATGTTGAAATTTTAGTGGAATTTGGATTGAATTCAATACGTTTCTTAAGATGGTCCGTCTGACGCCATAGAAATAATGAACTAGATATCTAATTACGAGTCGCGTTCGTTTTTTTGTTGTTGCGAAATCGTAATTTTTGCAAAATGAGTTCGTGCTTTGCTCACATTTTTATGTCGCAGACGATACGCACGTGCATACCTTGCTTGTGTTTTTCTTCTTCTTCTTTTTCTCTCGTTTATGGTAATAATATTTCGAGCGATGTTTGCGTGCGTTGCTTTTCGTTCGATGAAAACTGATCATGTGGCGAAACACGAAGAATTCAAAGTATACAGAATGTCGTCGATGTGATTACTTTGTGCTTCTTTTGTCAACCATATGACCAAACGAGTCTTTAAACGCGATATTTGCAAGTTCAACGATTTCATTCTACCCGATCAATATTTTTTTCGTTGTTGGCAATAAAAAAAAATCTACAAATATTTATATTATATGACAATGTCGCTGATTTGTGGAGTTTGAACCCGAAATCATGCGAACGATTTGTGCTGATTAAAAAGCTGATTTAGATCAGCTCTTGAAGTTTACAACTCCTGGAATCGCCAATCAATTCTTATAGAGTTATTTAATAGCTATGGTTATTAAAAGGTTAAAAATCTTGGCGTCCGATATTCCGAAGCGTCTGATTGGAAGTAATAATCACTTGGTGTGTGTGTATTTACAGAAAATTGCGCTATCGCGATTGAGAGTCTTGCATGCCAATGTAGAATTCTTAGATGATAATAAGTAGTAAACAACTTGACATAAAGACGAACAAAGAAAAAAGAAAAATCAATCGAATTTTGATTGATAGGTTCAAAATCCAGATAATACACGCTTATACCCTCGATCCAGAAAAACGAGAGAGAGAGATATGTGGAGTGTGGCCGATCTCGTTCGTTCTTCGTGAGCATGAGCAACGGTTGCCAATTTTATTGTTACCGAGCCGAATGGTTCTTGGAATAAAGCGATTCTTTGAATAAATTGTAGAAGGTATCGTGAATACCAAGCCATTGTCGCGGTCATTACTTCTATGCGCGCTGTCAGTGCGCGTCAAAAAACCGGTTTATCGGTTTAATTGATGATTTCATTGGAAGGTAAAAAAAAACTATCAAACGGCTTAGAGCATAATAAGAATATTCTAAGGCAAATAAATGAAAGTAATGATGGTGGAGCCGTGGAGCTGCTTGTTGTTATTCAAAACACATGTGCGTTTGCCAAATGTGAAAACTCAATGCAGGCTGTACGGCTCTTGTTTATATGCGCGTTCGATCGCTTTTTCGTGTGTACGAATCGTCGTCATCATCGTCGTTGTCGCCAACGGAGAATTACAATTAACATTCTGTTCATTTTTTTCTCATGCTGCTTCGATCGCTTGACGAACAACAGTTGAACGATTCTTTTATCGGGTCTCAATAATTGATCAGCATTTTTTTGCTCTCTCTCTCTCTCTCTCTCTCTCTCTCTCTATCTCCAATTTGTATCGCTATGCCGACTGAATTGCGTAAGTGTCGCAATGAGTTTGATATTATACAAATAATTGCATTTTACACGTTGTGCTGAATTCCAGACGTAAATATCCACACCAACAGCTATTTTTCTATTATGTAAATACATTCGGTAAACATTCCAATGCGCGGCATGGTGCGGTACACGCTTTGTATCCAAGTCAGACAGTGTAAGTGTGTATTTGTGTATGGCCTATAGAATGGTCTACAGATAGTGTATTATTGTGTACCGGTTAGCGGCCACTGTCAAAGCATGTGTTTGCAAATAAAAAGATATCGTTCGTACGAACGAATGAGGGAGCCAACGAACGAAGTGAAGCGAATGAATGGACTATGGCAACAATGTTGCATCTGAATCTGTCGGAGCACGGCACACACCGTTCTGAGGTCTAAGTTATTCTGAAGACACACCGACCGACCGACATGGAAATTCATTGCAATCGTCTAACTCTGTATGTATGTCGATGTCATGACTGAGAGTGTCATGAAATGAGTACTCTCTCTCTCTCTCTCAACTACCTGCTAATGCAAAATGGTCATGTGTGTCGCCCCAAAAAAGAAGAAAAAGCAAAGAATCACACACCATAATCGGATTTGTGCCATTGTATGTAAAGCAATTCGAACCATCTGTTCCATTTGCCAAACATGCGCATAAACCTCGTTCTTTCCGTCTCTATCTTCTACATAGAGGTGTAGACAAAAGTGCAGTGAGTGCGTGCAACAACACCCGCGCTGCATTCGCAAGTGCAGAAAAGAATTTGCGACTCGAAAAATCAAGGAACATCGATACACAAACATCAAACGGTGGCCAAGAGTGACTAATTTTCTCTTTATTTTCTCTCTCTCTCTCTCTGTTCCGTTCAGTGAACACACATTTACACGCTTTGCGACTTTGTAACTACGCCAAGTCCACGTGTTTTTTTTTCTTCTCTGCCGTACGTTTTCCACTTACTACACATGTCGTCATCGATTTATCAACGTTCGGCGTAAAAATTCCTAGATAAAATGTAAAAAAAATAAGTTATTGCGGCGGAAGTTGGAATGCGCGCGAACAACCAGATTCTGGTGAATGTGTGACACATCAGTCCATTTGGCAGTGAGGGTATTTTCATATTGGCGCTCTTATCAACACTCAACAACTTCAATGCTATTGTTTGCAAGCAAACATGATAACGAATCGAACTACAGAATACGCGCGGCCGATCTTCATTCGATGAAATGAGATGCGTGCAACAAAAGGCAAACGAATACACAACAAAGTAGAACCTGATATACACAAAGAGAATACAAACAAAACGAACACACAACCGAGCTCATTGTTGATTTCGATTTCATTTCCAGCGGACAATATACGTATCACACACGTCGATGAGATCGTTAAATTCATCTGACGACTGATTTGGGTTCTCGGCTCACTCTTGCTTGCTTGCTTTCTCAGCTCGTTCTCAGTCTCTCTGTATGGGTTCGATTTGTGTTTTTTTTCTCGTATTGTTGCACGTATCGCGCGCTTTGAAATAGCGCGCGCCGGATGGAGTTCGAGTCGAAAAAAAGCGTTTTTTTGAGCATATGGCTCCAGACACGCGTATCGGACGCCATATTGCGAATCTAGAATTTGTTGAGCACTAGCCTGCGAATGTTTTGACCACCAATATCAAGAGGTGACGATTTATCTTCACGGCTTGCCAATGTTGTTAATACGCTTTAGCAGATAGCGAAAATCGGTTGTGTTTTTGGACAGGCAGATATACTCATTGGAATGTATAATCGAGGAGTGTTTCGAGTCGTCAATCATTTGGAATGAAAACCATGAGAGCTGATGATTGAGATATTTTTATTAAGGTTAGACAGTTGAACTAATATACATATCGGTTGTTGACACTTTTCCGTGGAATCTTTTTTCCACTAATCTCAAATTCATAAGCATAGCATTAAGTCATCATGATTGGCGAGTACTTGAAGTTTTGACACTTGCAAAAGAGATATGTGGAATAGAAGCCATTGGTAAATGACACCAACTAAACATTTGAATCAGTAAGAATAATCTTGACCTGCAAAATTGAGTGAAAATAAATGTGAAACATAGAGTTTTTTTTTATATGGACTTTACAACAACAACTCCATATAAAAAAAAACTCTATGTTTCACATTTATTTCTACTCAATTTGACAGGTCAAGATTATTCTTACATATTCATTTCAACATAAGCACCATTATTTCAGCTGCATGTCAAAGCACATCACATTTTCGACGTAAAAAGTACGCATTAGAAATTTTACGCAATAAAATTAGTTCTAAATTTAGACAAGACGACGATGTTGTTGATGATGATGAGAGAGAAAAGAAAAGCCCCTCGTTGAAAACACTTTAATCAACAAAGAAAAAAAACGTGTGGATTCTCAGTACTTTAAATGTTATTTTTGTACAGGCGTTTTAAGGCCATCACAATATTAGTGTGTGTTTTTGTTTTTGTTCTTTCTCGTTTGCATGATGAAAAAAAAGCACTTACACGAATTCGAATTCAGTACACACGTAATGTTTATCGTAGTTTTTTTCTTGGGCTCAGCACATTTTTCTCTCTCTCGCTAAGGGTTTGTAAGTATTAAGGAATTAAGGAATTCATTTGAATTTACTCACCGGGATGACCTTCGCCAACTGATTCCGACGTAAATAGAAAGATTTGCTGGTCCTCCATTTCGTATAATCCATTGTTGGCGTTATGACCATTCGTGTAACCATTCGTATGAGTTGATTGCGGCATTGTTACGTTTTTTTTCGTTATGTTTACGCTGGCTTGGTGTCCGAATCCAAATAAAAAACTAATAAATTAATTTGAAAAACAATAAAAATTAATAACGACACCCTTGGTTCTTCTTTGCTTGTTGTTTTTTTTTTATAGAGAAAATTCTCTTAAGCATTCAATTCATTCCTTCGCTCGTTTTTTTAATTCGTTCAAAATGTTTTCAATCTCTATGTCTGACACACACTTCGTACGTACGTATGGTGACTATTCTATTTTTTTTTCATTCGTTTTTTTTCTCGCAAGGTTTTGAAATTTTTCGAAATGATTCATGAACACATTAAAGTACGCTAGAAAAAATTGCCCGTATTATTATTTTTCCTGTCGATGCACACAAAAGTAGATGCGCGCGGCTTATATTCACAAACTCTCACTACATATGTTGTCCGGTTTTTTTTTTATTTCGTACACAAAAAATGAAATAAATCTACTCAATATTTTAGATTCTTTTTACGTTTTATAATTACGTACATTTTTAATTGCACTTTATTTAGTCTGGATGGTTTCTCTGTTGCGCTGTTTTCTCACTGTCTGAATCAAGTGGGAAATTTAATCGAACGAAGAAAAAAAAACACGTTGGTTTCGATTAATTTTTGCCGTTTGATTTAGTTTTTTTCTTCGGATTTGTCGCGAGACAGGAAAAAAAAAATACTCATACACACAGTGAGATGTACGGAATTGAGTGTAAGCCCTCGTCGGAGTCGTCTGTATCACATCAACTTAAGTAAAGAGACAAACATAAATGGCGTGTACGATTTTATATAAACTTCGTTGTCGAATTTGTACCGCTTGCACGACAACCAATCGCAATCGCCTTTTGGTGTGTGAGTGCATGCGCTTCGCCACCATTTACCGAGAGAGAAAGACCGAGAATATGTCAGTATCACACTCATTGTACACGTACGTAAGACGAACGTCGTCGGACTCGTATGTCTACGTGAGCATGAGCGTGTGCGAGTGTTTGTATCGTTGTGTGTTTTCCATTGTGTGGCACTGAATCGAAAAAACCATGTGCTCTATACAATGAATATATTAGCACATTTCGAAGTGTCAGCACAATCCAGCGGTTCATTGTGTGCGTTTAATGACGTTCAAAAACCGATTCAGTTCTGTTTGAACCTTCCTTTCTTCGTCTCTCGCGCTGTTTCACTTCATTTCAAAATATTTCCTCATTTTTTCAACACAAAGGGTTCTTTTTCTGTCTCTTTAGATTGCACTTTGAATCAAGATCAGCAAATGTTTATTTTTTTTGTTTAAAATTCATTTTTTTTAAATATTTTCCATTTCATTTCCGTTCAAGTTCAACTTTTTTATCAATAAAGAATGGACGTTATTTTTGCTACACATTTTCGTTTGTTGACATAGCAAAAAAGGTCTGGTTTATCAGTCGAACACAATCGACTTATGACAAATTTTATTCAAGGCATTATTCCAATCACATCTCTCGTAAACATTTTTGTTCATGCGAATCTTTCTTCGTTCTTCGGCCATCAAAAAACGTTTCTATCAGAAAAATATGTCTGTCGAGTCATGAGTTTGACTCCATTCCATTCGAAATGTGTATGGAATAGGTCAAAGTCAATTTGGAATTCTGAATGAGTGACAAGGCAAAACATCTGATCTGTTTTGATAAAATTTATTAAAAATAGAAGGGAAAATAAACAAAACGGTAAAATAGGCAAAGAAACGTTCAACAAAACTTGGGATTTGTCAATCGGAAAGAGGTTATCGATGAAGCGATAGAAAGTTGTTGTTTCCGACAAATTCATTGAACGACAAAAAATAGTTTAATATTCTCAATTACATGTCACATAAGGCACGATCAGCATAGATACAACAGGCAGTAGTCGTACACAGCAGTGGGTACGCTGTGCTGAATAGATCGTGGCGTCACGAAAATAAGCTGTAAGTATGTAATTTGGTTTGGAGACGTTTCGCAAGTTTTATTTCTGCCTAGTTATAAAGAAACTACAAATCAATTAATGAACTTGATCCGTGTGCGCGATAAGATTCTGTCGTAGAAGCGCTTGTGAAATCGATTGTAATTGAACGAAGTGAGAGAGAACAGCGCCTCAGCGCTTGGAAAATATGGTCGAAGCGCGTATTACAGCAAATGAGACAGTAAACTAAAAGCTACACAGTTCGCACGTGGCTACTCCGTTTGCATTCTTATCAAGAAAAGAATCGCGTTTGCCGACGCAATAGCAACAAAAAACTTGCACTTGAATATAACACCACAATATAATTATTTTTCCTCGGCTTTTCTGTCAGTCACTTCACACCAAATGAAGAGGAAAAAATTGAATGGAAAAAAATCGGTATAAAATCAGGGTGTACGAACCAAATACCTATGGGAAATTTTTTTTTTTAACTGATTGAACACTACACAAAGTTCGATTTCACTTGAACTCTTTGTACCGAACGAAGTAGAAAAACATAAATATATTCACAGACTGCACCGGGCAAAAAAAGCTCTTACTGCTTCAGATTTCACTTGAATAATGACGAGGAATCAATTCGACTGACCGCTTATAAGCTTCATTTAATTGATATACATATATTGACTTGCTCCTTTTTCTTTCTCTCTCTCATTCGCTCGCTATAGATCACCTGATGGTGGTGATTGCACTTGATTTTACACATGTTTCGTCCCCATCGCGGCTCGTGACTGTGCATCTCATTCGCACCAATGCCAATGCTCATTATCTCCTTTGGTTCCGAGTGTTTTTGTGTTGTGCTGCTTTTGCGTTTACAATCGCTCTCACTGTATGCGCTTTTTTGCTCGTCGACAGCGTGTTCATATCAAATCAAGAAAGTGACTAGCAATGAAAACAAAACGAACACATGAAATAATATTTATTATTTAATTCTCTTTTTTAATGTTCGAAGCAACAAAAAAATGTAACATAGATTAGTTACCGCATTCATTGTATTAGAAGAATCTCTTCGAGGCTGAGAATTAATCGATTAGGGGAGACAGTTATCAAAGGGACAATACCAAAAAAAACCATACCATGACATACCACGACATGGTACGTCATGGCATGTTTATCGTCTGCCAAAAATCTGCCAATGAATTTGTCCGCTTTTTTCGGTCTTTCCAAAAAGTTATTCTTTTCTAAAAATTGATTACGTCTTGACACCGCCAGTATATTTTTCAATGAATAATTACCGATCAGTGATCGGCGATCACTGGTTGCGCTTTTTTGCTTGTCGACCGCTTGTTCATATGAACGCGTGAGAATAAAAGACTGACGCTACCAGGTTTTTCGCAAAAGCGGGATAAAAAATCAGTTGCACGCAAAAGAGACATTTTAAAAGGTTGCACGCAAGAGAGAAGTATATTGTTGTTGTAATCACGGCTTTAAAATTCAAAATGCGACAAAATAAAATGTTCCGTTTGCGTGTAACCTTTTGAAATGTCTCTTTTGCGTGCAACTGATTGTTATCCCGCTTTTGCGAAAAACCTGCTAGCGTTAGTCTTTTATTCTCACGCGTTCATATCAAGAAATTGACGGGCATCTCAAACAAAACGAGCACATAAATAATAATATTTATTATTTAATTCCCTTTTTTATATTCGAAGCAACAAAAAAGTATCATCGATTAGTAGCCGCATTCATTGTAATAGAAGAATCTCACAGTAGTTGAGAGTGGTGGTAATCAAAAAGTCAGTGATAATTAACAATCGGAACGAAGAAAAAAATACGCACAATTTTTAATGAATACAAAAAATGGGAATCCAACGAGAGATTGCTCATCATCATCGCCCATTTATTGATGGGAATTAATATTGAGTCGTTGCGTATGTTATGCAAATCAATTGCCAAAATGCGATTAAAATGACTCTATCTCGATTTTACAGCGCTTACAAACAAAAACAGGACTGATGACTCGTGACTAGGGCAAAGGCAAATCGAAGCTCCCTTTGAATATGCACGAATGAAAAAAAAACAGTAGTAACAGCATGAATGGGAGAGAAAATAGTGCATTGTCGTTGTGTTGGTTGTATTGAGTAATGTGAGTTAGAGGAAAATTACTGGCAAAACATAAAACAGGCCAGACATAATGTAGTTTCATGGTGTTAAGTTTTCATTCTCATTCTCACCGTATGCGAAAGATGATCGCATGCATATGGTTGCAGCTTATGTTTCACAATTCGTGCTGATGTGCATGTTAATTACAGTGGAAGCGTGTAAATAATCTGCACACTTTCTTTTTCGCCCGGCTGTTTTCGGTCTGTTTTTGGTAGAAAACCGAAGAAAAAAAATTGTTGTTGTTTTCATGGTTGACATAAGCAGATATACAATAGATCACATGATTAACTCTCGAACTCATATCGTCTAACTCATGGTGGCACAAGCTAAATATACATTCATGGAAAAATTTCACAAGACCTTTAACATGAAGGAAATCGAAAGCGCAACATCAATTTTCGCAGCCGCACTGCTATGCTAAAATTAGCACTTGTTATCGATGTTTTTTTGTGCTCCCCCAAACAGAAATCTCATCTATTGAAGTGTCGAAATGATGCGTATAATCATTCTATTTATATTATTCAAATTACTTGCGCAATTTGATAAATTCATTGATTTGAAGAAATTGAAAGTCATGTTACTCTTCGAATTTTCTTCTAGCTCTTGCCTCATTTGTTATCATCGAACATGTTTTTTTTCCAAATTTATTCCTATATAGCCATTAGTCGAAACTCAAAAATCATCCATATTTTTTTCGAAAAATAACGTTGGGATTTTGTCCATGATTTTTTTAATCAACAAAAATTTCGAAAAAAAAACAACAGAATCCAAGCAGACGTCTATTTCACACGAAATGACGCGTATCAGGCTACCCAATTAAAATTGTGCTAATAAATCATAGCCGATTTGCATTGTCATTCTTATTTTTCAAAATTGATTACAGCAAAAAATGAATATCAAAATTCCGTTATTTTTTTCCAACGCAATATTTTTTCATCACGGAGTTTCATGGTTGTTGAATGTCATTCAATGCCACTAAGCTGTCGACATCTCGCTCCGGCTATACGGCAAACAACATAACCAACACTGAACATGAAAATGACATGCTCAATATTGTTTGTTTCGTTAGTTTCAACTGTGCCGCTGCGAGAGCTACTTTAGTCGTTTCTTCTAGTTATTTTACGTGTAAAATCAATGGTATTAGACGAGGATGCGGAGTTTCGATGGCGAATTTTTTGAAAAATAATCAGCGTCACATTGAGATGAGAGCTCTCGACGAAATACGATGATAGGAAGATAGAGCAATTTGAAATTCAAAATAAGCTTGGGTTGTGAGAAGGCAACAGTTCGCCAATTATCATCGCGCTATTTGTAGCCGTTGACATACCATAACATACCATATCATCGTACGTCATGGCATGTTCGTTGTCTGGCCAAAATTTCGTCAATGAATTTTTCCGTTTTCTTTTTCTTTCTTTTCAAAAAGTTATTCTTTCCAGAAAATTGATTACGCCTTGAAACCGACATTTTTCGATCAACAGCAAACTTTTTTAAGAAAAAACATTCACGTGGAGCAATAAACTTCAAATTGAAACGCAATTTTTTGTCCATCATTCGATTTTTTCTATTCAATGATTATTATTTTTTTCATTAAACGATTATAATTTCGTTGTAGTAGGACAAAAAAACTACAACAAATTGAATCGTAATCGAATGGCGTTCAAGTTTATCAGAATGTGTTAAAGATTCACATTTATTTTGCAAAAAACGATTTTAAAACGTGATTCGTGCTTACGCAGCAAAATTCATTGAATTGAAAGGCGAACGCAAAAAAATCCATTCTGTATGCAATCATAATCGAATGTTATTCATTTTACAGTTATGCAGGGCAATTCAAACGTCAATTGATAGGAATCGGGGAAAAACAACAACATCAACACAGCTTAATGAATTCACGTAATTTGCATCGGAAATGTGACTCTTTCATGCAATTCGAGCTGTCTAATTTTAAAGACGAGAAGAAAAGAATTTCGAACAAGAAAGACGGATTCAAAATTGAACACACATTTAAAATTCTAAACAAGCTACATTTTTCATTCAATTTCAACCGAAACGCGCTAAAAGTCGGATGTTTACAAAGGAATGCGTTTGTTTGATGGAATTGAACGCAACCACACACTGAAACAGCACACCACTGACACATAGTTCAATATGTCATTATTTTGACATTTCATTCGATGATTGTTTTTTTTTTCACTCAACAAACTTTTTACACACGTATTCGCAGCGACGAAAAAAATGACGAAATTTACCTGTGCTACGTAATAAAACCATCAAAAAAAAGTCGCTGGTATAGCAATTTTATTTGATTTTCACATAGAAATGCTATCAAAAGACATAGTTTATTTCAGTTGTCATTGGATTTAAGGAGTTTAAGACGTGAAATAGTGCGATTGATTGAAACATATGTTGGAAATCAAACGTCATGGCGAATACACACAAATCGACACGGTCCAAGGCCATTTCAGTGTCTCAACTTGTCGTATCAATAGGATTGATAGTGTTTGCGAGTTGCCTTATAGATAGTGTACGATGTGATGCGGCCCAAAGCCAAATATCCCCATCGTCAAGTACACCGAAGCCCATATCGAATGCGTCTCCACCATTGGTTGAAGTCAAACCAAGCACGAGTACGAGTACGAGTACGTTGAGCACACCAAAGCCGAACCAAAATGCATCGCTTCCAAATGACAATAAACTTGGCAAACCATCATCGTCAGTCCCTCCACAAAGTTCCTCAGATGATGATGCCAAAGAAGCGGATGTCAATAAAACGGTGACCAAAACAGATGAATCCAAAGCAGTGGAACAGGAGCACAACAATTCAATGGCCATATTCTTTGTGCTGTGCGTCATTGCACTGGGCATTCTTCTCATTCATACTATGCTTGAAACGGGTTTCCAATATCTACCAGAATCCATTGTTGTCGTATTTTTGGGCGCACTCATCGGTTTACTCATTAATTTATTGTCCGATCAAAAACTATCGAACTGGAAACGTGAACAGGTCTTTTCACCGACCGCATTCTTCTTGGTGCTGCTGCCGCCCATCATTTTTGAGAGCGGCTACAATTTGCACAAAGGCAATTTCTTTCAAAATATTGGATCGATTTTAGCATTCGCTATTGTTGGCACAACCATTTCAGCCTTCGTCATCGGCGGTGGCATCTACATTTTGGGAATGGCCGATGTGGCTTATCGATGTAATTATTCTTTTTCTTTCTTTTGAAATATTACGAAATTTATTTTAAAAAAAAATCGATTCTTAATTTGCAGTGAATTTCGTCGAGAGTTTTGCTTTTGGTTCGTTAATTTCTGCTGTTGATCCAGTTGCCACCGTTGCCATTTTTCATGCCATTGACGTTGACCCAGTGCTAAACATGTTGGTTTTTGGCGAAAGTATTCTGAATGGTAAGTGAAGCGAAATGGGATTTGTTGGGTGATTTTGATCTTGTTGACTCTTTTATTTTTATTTCTCATTTTTTATTCAGCTTTTTGTTGTTTCTTAGAGCATATTTATTTAATTTCAATTTTTATTAGAATATCAACAGGAAAAAATATTTTATTTTATATGAAAATTGAAATTTTCACATTTTATTATAGAAGATATTTTTCTTTGTAAATCTTCTTATTATTTTATTCCATTTTTTTTAAATATCGAAAAATCACCAACTTTATCTAAAACAATACCAAAAATAACCACTTTCTTCATATTTTCAGACGCCATTGCCATCGTTCTAACCACGACTGTGTCACGAATCCCAGACTCTGATACCGGCGAGGCCCTTGTTTCAGGATTCAAAACATTCTTAACCATGTTCTTTGCTTCAGCTGGCATTGGAATGGTGTTTGCATTGATCAGTGCCCTACTACTTAAACACATCGATTTGCGAAAGCATCCATCGCTCGAGTTTGGTTTGATGTTGGTATTCACTTATGGTATGTACAAACAAATGTAAAAAGACACTAGAATGAATTGATCAATTATTTCGTGTTTATTTATTCTAACAGCTCCATACGTATTAGCTGAAGGCATCCATTTATCTGGCATCATGGCGATTCTATTCTGCGGTAAGGCTCTTCAATTTGACTCTAAATAAGATCATGATTAATGGTTTTTTAAATTTCAAAATACTTCAATTTTCAACTAAATTTACTGAATTGGCGACTTTCTCATCTGGAACATTTATAGGCATTGTGATGTCCCACTATACACATTTCAAGTAAGTATTCGAAATTATTCAAACAATTCTCCTTTTGAAGATCATTCGAATGCATTTTTTAACAAGCATTTTTTTATTGCACCCATTTCCAGCTTATCAACGGTCACACAAATAACGATGCAACAAACGATGCGAACGCTCAGTTTTATCGCTGAAACGTGTGTGTTTGCTTACTTGGGTTTAGCGATATTTTCGTTTAATCATCGTTGCGAATTGGCGCTCGTCGTATGGGGAATAATTCTCTGTTTATTGGGTCGCGCGTGCAATATATTCCCGCTGGCGTACATGGTCAATAAATTCCGTGAGCATAAAATTACGAATAAAATGCAGTTTGTGATGTGGTTTTCAGGACTACGTGGTGCAATTTCGTATGCGCTGTCATTGCACTTGGAATTTGCACGTGAGGAAGCACGTCGTGTGATGATTACAACTACATTGATTATCGTGTTGTTTACGACGTTAGTTTTTGGTGGATCGACAATGCCATTATTGCGGTATTTGCAACCGGGCAAAAAGTCGAACAAACGATTGCGAAAGCGATCCGGAAGAGGAAGGAAGAGTTCGATTTCATTGAGTAAAACACGTGAGTGGGGTCATGCCATTGACTCGGAACATCTGTCCGAATACACCGAAGACGATGAAGTTGGGGTTACAGTACGGCTTGGCGGTTTTGCTCTCTGGGATACAAAGTATTTGAAACCATTCTTTACGCGGAGATTCACAACGCAAGAGCTTCACGATTGCAAAAGCCAAATGACCGATTTAACGAATAAATGGTATCAAGCGATTCGAGTCAGTCCAGACCATAGCGACGAAGAAGATCTTGGCACGGCTTCAACGCTACCGATGGCATCGGCTGGTACATCGAAGAGTAACAGTATTTCCAGTTTAACGACCAACGCATAGATTTACTTATGACATATATGTAATTTTTGATCAACTCAGTGCAAAAAAAAGCGAAAAAAACGCCTTCAGTTCATTCAAATGACTAGAATAGATTGAGATTCTTTGACAAAGTTAAAATTCTTTGCAAAGGATTTTTAGCACAAAAATTGTAAAAACTGAACCAAAACAGAACGAATAATGAACGAAGAAACGGAATGAAGGTCTCTGTTTCATGTGCTGTGAGGTATGGAGAGGACAAAATTTATTGAGAATTTTTTTTTCGGTTTTTGATGTTTCGCTTAATGTAAATTTTCAAAAGAACAACTTATTTATTATATTCGTAAGCAAATCGGTAGATTGACGATCGACATGGATAAAATTTTCGGGTGTAGAAAAATGCAACTGGAGGATCGTCGCCTTGAAGATAGACGCCACGTAAAAAAAGTATTGAAATCCAGAGAATAATAAGCTAGATTGTAATTTTCAAACAATTTTCGAAGTGATTTTACATGTATTTGAACGGGCTCAAAGCTGATTTTTTTTCTCCTTGGGTCGATTTGTCGTTGAAGATTTTGGACGATTTGCAATGGAAATTGTGATCCCAACAATGAGAACAAGTCAACACGTTGGGTGTTTAACACTTAAAGTATTATTCTGTATGTTTTGTGTGTGAGTTTAATTGCCGTAAAGTTACCAGCAGTTTTAACGGAATGGCTGTTGAATTTGATTATTAATGTGATCATTTGTTTGGTTTTAAACTGTTCTTTTTTTTCTGCTTATATGTACAAGAAAATACATGATTTGATTTCGTTTTGAATAAATCGTAAATAAAGATGACCTTGAAATCGGTGTTTTGATTGCTAAATCGAAAATCTTACAACTTATTTCAGCGCAACCTGGTGAAAACGGGCCAAAGTAACACACATTCGAATTGATATGTTATTGATTATAGTTATTAACAGCTGTGCAATGTGATGGCATTTGCATGCGGCAGTAATTTGGTTGTTGATTTTCAAAAGATGAAGGAAATAGTGCATTCACCTCTTCCAGTAATGCGCCAAGAAACAAATAAACGATTAAATGTCACGCAATTATTGAATTTTGTCTTTCACTAATGACTGCCGAATTTTTGCCGAACCCAAATGATTTTTTATTTCATCAAAGGAAATTGCTTAACTCGCCTACGGCTATGGATATATTCCCATTCGATTTAACGAACTTTATTCGAAAGTCATGGTAATGAATAGGTTTATTGAATGGGCGGTGTGTGTGTGTAACGAATCAACAATGACCCTCAAGCCAATCGGCCCACCGAAATACGTAATTGTAATCAACAAAAGAATCATAATCAAATTATGCATCTAACCGTTGAAAGCAGCGATTAACTGGATACACAAATGATTTTCTTATAATGTACCTCGAGGGCGATCGCAACGTAGCACAGCTGTTTAAAAATATACAAATAATCGAAGCAGCAGCAAAAAATTGTCTGAAATTTAAAATGCCAATGGGAAAACAAAATGATAATTGTGAAATGCCCATCATTTATTTCCCTTTCAATATAAAAGTGAAAGCACCGCGCGCGCTCGTACACTGCAGCTTCAGAGCACAGAAATCACGTATTTTTCTATATCATGAGCGCGATTACAACGTGTATTAAATTCTGTGATTGTTTCATTTTTTTTTTCAAGTATCGCTTTTCCGAAATCCATTTCTTTGAGCACCGCCGCACATTCGGCATGGGCACATTAATCATTACTTTATTTGCAAGTGTTTGCTTTTATCGTGTTTCTTGAGCATCACAGATCGAAACTCGTCACAGACTTTATGAATGATGGAAACGCGATCAAATGTACCAAATTTTTCCATCTACGATCAGTTACAATCTCTGGATTATTCATTTCTATTTCGCAGTTTGTGTCGTGAGTCAAAAAATCTCCATAAATGCGCATAAACACGTAAATTATTTATTCGCTATTTTGCGAGTGATGAAATTTATTATGAAATTGAAGCGACAACCATAAAAAAAGATCGAGTAGTGTGCCGATCAAACCAAAAGAAGTGAAGAAGAGAAAAATGATCATTAAAATAACAATCACGTTAATTCCCGTAATCAAGCGAAATTGAAACATCAAATCAAACAAGGCATGCTTCATTCGAAATGGAAATTGTACATTCACAACGATTCCAAGACCCGTACTTAACAAACCGTTCAATGTAAGGAGTTTGTGAACTTAATGCGCTGACGGAAGAACTTCCATTCGAAAAATTGCATACATTTTACGGAATTGTTGGAAATCGTTTCATTTGGTCCGTAGCAGCAATTCCTTATATGGGCGGCTCGACTCTTATTCAATCAAATTCTGCTGCCTTCGTAAAATGCCAAAGCCCATTGATCGAAGAAAGATAATGAATTCATCGATGAAAGAGAATAGATTCATTGAAATCATTCGTTTCTGTTAGGTTTCAATAATTCAATGAAAGACTCTCTTGTGGAGGAAAAAAAATCAACAAGAGAAATCCGTGAAAACGAAAAAAAATCCACTGTTGAGCAAAACAAATTATGCAATTAAAACGAACATATGTTGGTAACAAAATTAAAAAAGTTTTTTTCTTCATATATTTACATATTTTTGCGTTTTATAACAAAAAAAAAGTTTTAACATAAATGCCTAAGAAAAGGTGTTAGAGGAATTGATGTAAAAAATTAACAATAAATTGGGGACAGATGTTGGCACTGATGGTGAAGAATGCATGTTGATTGCCCATTTTTTTTTTTTTTTAAGAAATTTCCAATGAATTTCTGCTCAATCAGCGAGAAGAGAAGGATCACATAATTTGCGCAATAGTTTCATGTGTTTTGTGTTGGATGGAGTGTTGTGTAAGTGCATCTCTCACGTGAAACTTAGTTGCGACCGACTGAGTCGATTTGTCGTTGAAGATTTTGGACGACTTCCAATGGAAATTGTGATCCCAACAATGAGAACAAGTCAACACGTTGATTACCTGGAATGTTTTCCAAAGCGCTCAATTCGATACCTTCATCGACCTGTTGTGGAGAAAAATAAAAGAAGAAATTATTAGTGTTTTGTTTAAGTTTATGAAAAAAAAATCTGTTTTTTTTTTTTTTCATTTTTTCTCTTTCGTCTCCTTTTTTCTCCCTTCAAACTCAATTTTCGCTCAAAATGTCAATTTCTATTGCACAAACGGTTACGCACCTTTTGAATCTGTGCATTTTGTGGGATCAAGTGTGAGCTCTGTGCTTGACGAATGGCTTCATTAGTGTAGGCGGCACCTTCCTGAGCTGGATATGCGACAGCAACGGCAATTATAGCAGCGAAACAAATGATGGCTTTCATTTTGACCTGTAAAAAAAAACAAAAGACAAAACGAAACCTATGAATGAATGCCGTAAAATCGAAATGGCACTTCATCGGAGGAACACAATTAATTCCGTATTTTTCCTCTGGTTATATCATAACACAAGCAGAAACCAAGATAACAAACAATCAATGAATGGGTCACTGCATCATTATGCATTGCAAATTGTTAACACGTATTTCGTAACCAGCGGAGAGTCTTTTTGTTGTTAGTTTTCTTTTCCGCACTTTTGATGCAATCAAATCCACCGTGCATTGTGTGTGACATGTTTTATTGACATATTCGTTTTTATTCTCTGTTTATATATTTTTGTTTTGCTGCATCGTACGCGAGGAGAATGCACTCTGTGCGCACATTGCACTAAACCTAAACGCGTTTAATCCGTTGTTTATTCTTTTCTTCGAAAATCGATACGGTTAGAAAGTTGTCACAACGACTTTTCTTCAATCCGAATTTATTCGACGGTGAAAGTTTATCATCAAATGGCACACATATTCCGTAATGCGTTTGCGTATTTATTCATTTTTTTCTGTTTTTGTTTTTGTTTTCTTCATACATCTGTTCTGTGATATTTTTTTTCTATTGGACTTTTTAATTTCAGCTTAAAAAAAAAAAAACTCGTTTATCGAAAATCCACCACGTTAAATCAATGTTGTAAAAAATAAACACTTTCGAACCCACCTTTAGTTCGATATTTTCACTCTAACACTATACGATCTGTAATCCGTCCACTGGAAGAATGATGAAGCCGGCGACATCACCATTCATTTTATAGTCAATGGATCCCCTCCAACACAATTCCAACACTGATTACGTATGTGCAGTTTTTACGGTTGACTGAGTGTGAGCACGACGGAGCTCGCGCGCACGCAAAACCCCACTAAATCACTTAATCAATCGATCAGATAAAACGAATTCGTAAGTTGGAAGCTGATGGTTGATGGAGTTAAGGAAAGAAAGTGATTTGATATACAAACGAAATTCCTTGGGATGAGTCTAATGAATACATTCTTGATCTAAAAACCCAAATTCAAATGGAGAAATTGTGAAAATTATCGATTCTTCGTTTTTTTTTTTACCATGTGTCATATTTTACCTACCGTTTGCTTTGTTTTCCAGACAAATTTCGCCTAATCTGATTCAAAGTGGCGCTGATCTCTCGCATAATTAATACTAATGTGTTTATCGATTTAATCAAGTGAAGAAATTAAATCTTTTCGATGGAGCGATCAGGTTTTCGGGTCGATTCGTTCTCTTTATTTTAAATGCTCTCATTTTCTATGTAGCGATTCGCGAATGCCTATTTTTGCAAATTTAACTTTTCCAAGAAATATGTCGCTCAAACGAAAGGAAATTATTCGAAAGAGACGAAGCAAGCGATTGTGTTGTTGGTCAATCATCCGTATTTTTGTCGTAAAACATGGACGCAAGTGCGAACGAGATAGTGATAGAACGCTGGCTCAATGGGAGGCCATCGATTTTTATACATCAGGACTCGGGAGCGATAGACACATTACTTTTATTACATGATCTATTCGATTTTGACGTTCAATGATTTATCTTTTTTGTCCAAAATCCAATTGCTTGAATATGATTTTAAAATGTTTATACTTCTGGTCGTTAAATCCTTTTTGTAAATAGCAAGGGAATAGAATTCATTCGAAATTTTCACACATTTTTGGAAGTGAAAGAGTTGCTAGCGGGGATATTTTTTATACATCGTCCGTGTGGAAAATTTTTGATTGCCTAAGCCAAAGATTATTTTGGAACATTTTGACTGATCAAAAGTGATTGTCTCGAACAAAATAAGCAACTGTAGTTAACTTTAGTCACAAATCACTATTAGTCAAAATGTCCCAAAGTAAATACAACATACAAAAGACTTGATTTCAATGAAATTAGCCAGTTTTAGTTGTGTACCACCACCTACATACACCTACATACAACTGAGTGACTGTTGATCATTTTATTTCATTTCAACAAATAGCACATTTTCTTTTGTGTGTCATTGAACCAATTTATTCAAATATTTCCGATCATTGTAATACGCAAAATTATGACTCAGATGAACTGGATGGAAATTTTTTTCATTGGAATTGATTTTTCTGTATATGTAAAGTCTACTCAGATTAGGAGACACCTACCAGCTGAGAATGTTAAATTTTCACTTATTGATACCATCACTTATGTTTGTCTCAAGTCTGCAAAAAAAAGAAACCTCACACACGAAAAAAAAACAGTTCCAATTTCAATGGTCTTTATTCATGATATTACAGCATTCAAATTATTATCGTACATAATTTTGTTATAGCACATGTCAATAAATAATAATTAAAAATTCTATTTAAAATTAATGTCATTGTATTGTTTTAAAGATAAATTTGCTGTAATTTGCTCTAGAATGTCTAAACATGCAAGAAAACGAATTGTTCTTCGTTGAAGAATCTTCATATCTAGTGAATAGCATTTTCCTAAATTGATCGCATGTAGTTTATAAGAATGTAAAGTAAATTTTGGAATGTGTGCGAAATGGTTCATTACACGCTAAATGAGAAAATTTCGGGTGAAATAGTTGAATGAAAAGAGACAACAACAAAAAAAAATGCAAAAATGAAATCTATATCACATAAAAAATTATGTTATCTAATCGAAATAGAAAAACAGCTCGCGAAATGAAGGAAATGGAAAAATGAAGGACAAAATTAAAGTGAAGAATGTTTTAGTATTTAAATAAAGAAGAAGAAAATATAGGAAATGTAGCATTTCTCACTACATACACACACGAAAAAGTAATAGAAGTTCGTTCGTTCGAAGCCAAAATGCAAATTCGTAGTGCGTTTTTTCTGACTCACACCGCAAAGACCTTACAAATTAATTTCAATAGGCGCACGTGCGCCGACTCGAGCTTCACGGAGCGGGTAAACACACTTAATTGCACATTTTACTGATAAATTTAGACTCGCAAATACTCTCGCTCTCTCTCTCATGCTAACTCGTCTTAATTACGAACGTCGTAATCATGAACAATACATATATAACTAAAATATCATCTAAAAAATCTAAACTAAGAGAAGAAGAAAAAATTCCATCAATTATTGTTGTTTTTGTTGTTCCTATTCAGATTCACTAGATTTTAATCGCTAACATTAAAAATTAAATTTAAAATAAAGTCTTGTGGCACGACTCTCATTCATTAATGCACAATTTGTGCAAAATAAATACGTTACACATTTGTTCATCTTTGCTCAAGTTTCTAAGTTCCTATTTTGTCTACTTTCCTTTCGGTTATTCGGTGAATAAATGACGTCGATTTCAAAAATGATTCATTTTCAAGAAGAAAAAAAAATTCTCATACGTTGCTTCTAAACGGCTAGAAAAGAAATTCAGCCTATGTTTTGTTACTCGTTCCGATTTCGGTGATCAATTCAAACTATGAACTCATCAACAAATTGTATTTTAATTTTATTTAAAAAGAGCATTCATGTTTCAGACGTTTCATGTCAAAGAAAAGACGAAAACAAATTATTTCCGTGTTACCCAGCCATTTACTCTGGCCAAGTTAAGCCAATAGTTTTTCGCTGAATTTGATTGCCATTCAAAGGAATATGTTTCTTTTGAGACGCTATCACCGCCGCTGCTGTTGTATTTGATGCTTTCAGCATCGTCTTTCGGATCGGTTGCGCCCATAACCGTTGAACTGTCAAAATTAGATTGGGCTGAGTCATCGGCTGAGCCTTCTTCACTCAAATTGGCATAGCCTCTGGTTGTCGGTCGTTCCGTTGTTGGCTCTTTGCGACCGAATTTCTCATCCGAATCCACATCATTTGGAAGCGTTTCGATATTTGTCAACGCTTCACTTTTATTCGTTTTCACTACTCCATCCAGAATGGCCGTTTTATTGATTTCATTGACTGCTGTTACCGTTTCTTTGGGACCAAATGTTGTGCTTTCTTCGGCCTTTAGAGTTGTGGTTCGTTCCCATTCGGGTATAAGATGCGGTTCACCCGGTGCACGAGATTCCACAACATCCGATTCGTGCGATGCTTTTATCTGTTCGACTGTTGATGGACCTTGTGTACTCAACTCGGCACTTTTCAACACGCTATCACATTCATCGCATGGTCCACCCGTTGATGACGACACATTGTCTTCGATGACTTTGCTCGGTGCACGACGTTCCTCATCATCTTTGTGGGCCAAGCTCAAATCGTCGGGGATCGGTGGATATTCCGGATTTTCGGGTTGCGTGCTATCTTCTTCATCGAATGTCGAAAATCGACTAGTTGCTTCTGGCAATGGTTCAGTTGATGAGGTCTTTGGTGCACTCGATGGCTCGGTCACTGAAACCGGCCCAACTGTTGTTGACAAAGTACTTGGTTCGGTTGTACTTGGTTCGGTTGTACTGCTGGCTTCAAACCCGTCTGTTGTCGATGACGCATCGAAAACATCTTCCGTTGGTCCATAATAAACAGTGTCAATCGGCACGTCCGTCGGTGGAGACGCCGTAGATCTCTCTTCGCCGTAGTATACCGTTCCGTAAACTAGTTCAGCCGGTATTAAAATTTCCGATGAATTTTCTGACGCACTCTCTGCGACTGGAGTTGATACTTCAATGGAATTATTTGTTAAATGTTCGGTACTGTTGTCATTCAAATTCAAATTCAACGTATTATCGAGTTTCTTATTAATTGCCACTGAAACTGTACTGCTTTCATCGAAATTTTCGGCTGTTCCAACGGTTGACGACGAAGGTTCCATTACCAATTCCTCGCTTGATTTATTATCGACACCATCGAAATTATCAATTGTTGACCAAATGTCCAATTGTTCGCTCGACGATTGTATGGCCGCTTCACCAACTTCTTGACTATTTTCCGTGGTTGAACTCAACACTTCTAATTCTTCAACGCGCTGCAAACCATCCGTTCCAGAAATATGGAATGATTCCGTTTTACCACCATGTTGAACAAAGACCAAATTCTTTGGTGTTGATGAAACTAGATCAATCACTTCGCCGCTGCTTTCTGTACTTGACGCATCACCAACCGGTGTGCTTGACTCAATTGCACTCTCCGTAGTTGAGCTGTACAGTTCGGAACTACTCTCGGAAGACTGATCGAAATCGATATTGGTGCTGTTTTCCGTGGTTTGTCGTACGCTTTTATTGCCCGACTCATCGCCGATGGTATTTGAATCGGCACTGCCTAAAAGCACTTGCGGCTCCACTTCACTTTCTTCTTTCGAGGCTTTTGTTGGTGGAGCACCCGACGTATCGCCACTCAACGCACCGTCATCCATATAATCACGACTTTCATGGTCTCCGTTCGATTGGTTCGTGTCTTCGGTTGTTGGCTCACTACTGATCTCCGTACTAATGCTGCTCACCGTTGAACTTGATGTCGATTCAGTTGTTGATAATTTTGTTACGTCTTCTGCGGAAGTTTCGGTATTCGTAGTACTCGGCGTTGCTGTGGTCGTCGTTGTGGTGGTGGTAGTTGTTGTTGTTGTCGTCGTCGATTTGAACGGATTAAATGGTTTCGGTTTATCGTCCGTGATTCTAATCTCTTCGGGTTTTGTAATTTCTTTAATTGTAATGCCTAGTGGATTCTCATTGGCCAACTGGAGCATTGGATTTTTCTCAATACTTGGACTATTGACGGCAGTCGTCGGTGACGGCGCCAACGATATTAACAAGTCATTCTTTGAGGTTTTTGATTCGGTCTCTTTTGTAGCCGCAATTTTCACATCGTCTGAAAACGGTAAATTAAAACGGATCTTAGAGGATATTTATTGATTCAGTTAGACGTTGAAAATAGTCAATTGAATTGTAAATTCTTAGAACAAAAAAAAATAAATTTTAAACTCAAGGTAAGGAGTTAATTGAGATTGAAAAAATTTCCAGCAGTAAATATAGCTTCGCTTACCGATTGGAGGACAATTGTCGAATGTCGGACAGCAAACACCTTTCACATATCTCGGTTTGCAGTCATCGCGAATGTAACAAGAAACATCGTTACACGTAACTTCACCACCTACGAGAAGAAAAAAAAAGAAATCAATAATAAGCTAATCAAGCCAATGATTGAGTCAATTAAGCAGCTCTCACCCTTGCACAAACATCGCCGGCAAGGATTATGACTGACGATTTTCTCTCCGTTTTCATACGTTCGGTCCTCGTGATTGCACGCTGTGGGCAAATTGAATCAAAGGATTAATTCATCAATTAATTCAGTAAGGCAAAGTTAAGAATAACAGAATACGTTCTCAGTTTAACTTGAAAAAGAGGTGATGAATAGAAAAAAAGGGAAAAAGTATGGAAAAAACGTTAGGAAAAAGTAGCAAGAATTAATGAAAATATGAGAAAAGTAGAGAAAAATAACAAAAATGAGGTGAAAAGCGAAAGAAAATGGAAAGAAAAGATGAAACATAGGCGAAGAAAAGCAAAATAGAGAAAAAAGAACATTATGTAAGTGAAGAAAAAGCGTAAAAATAAGAGAAAGAAAAAAGGATGACTCACAGCACTGATAATCCGGACAACATTCGCCTGTCCTCTGAATGAGTTTGCAACCAGTTTGAATTTCGCATTTCACTGATGATTTCTGTACCTCGACACCATCGTTGAGGCAAGTCGCTGTGAAAACAATTGATCTTGAATTTAAAACAAAGCACTAGGTATTCGTTTCAAAGATATGTCAACCCACCATTTGAAATTGTGTTACTATTAATGGCATCAAATGAAAATGTTTCACGAACCATGCGTCTTGGTCGTACGGGCACTGTGGATAAAATGAAAAACATAACGAAAAAAATACATGAAATAACAGCAAACAATTAGCAACAAAACGAGCAATATTTTAATATGTAAACAGTAAATGATTTGCGTTAAAAGATGAATTAGCGTAAGCTATGCGTACAATTTGGTTGGAATAAATTTCGTAATTAGGCAAGGCAATGAACTAGATTGACCCAATTAAACTACAGTTTACACTAAAATGGTATGAATCATTTGCAATTTGTATGAAACAAATGTTGTTTACACAGCGGTCGGTTATCACGAAAAAAAGCGCATAACATTTCGTTTGGAAAAAATTGTTCCATAAACGGTGCACGAAATAAAAACGGTGTCAGTCGTACGTTTTTGTTGTTGTGGTTTGATATGAGGTGAAAAATGACTTGTTCAACCTGTCTGTTGGAACACTTTTCGATGAAATTAATTTGAAAAATCATCGTTTACATTAGCACCATTATCAAACCTTTTATATAGATGAATGGATTTTGGATTGAGGGTGTTTAACCCACTGCCAGACATAAATATTGAATGAATCAATAGAAATCGAGAGTGAGAGAGAGTGAGAGAGAGAGAGAGAGAAAAATCAGTCGGCATTTCAACCGCATCGAATAAAATGCTGAATAGCAGTCTCAATATCGACAATGATTGTTGAAATGAAATGGGGAAAAAACCATAGTGCACCAAACCAATTCAACTTCACCCGTTCCAGTCGAAAAGCGAATTTTCATTTTTAACACTGATTGCCATCTAAACCCGTCGTAAATTGTTGCAACGTATGGAAAAGTTTAAATGATTTGCATTTCGTTCGTCATTGCCGTTGTCGGTGTCTGAAGTGATTGCCGGCTTTTCGTGTAAAAATCATCGAGTTTCGAGCATTTACGAGCATCCATCAAAATAGAGGTGTTTCGTTTCTTTTCCGCAGCTATGAAATTTTTTTCTTGAACATTCTTAAAAAACTTAGCGAGCATCAATTTTATAGAGATTTCCTTGCATCTGACTCCAACGAACGAACTAGCAAGCTCTAGTTTGACAGAATGAACGAACGAGTGAGTGAATTCCCTTATGATACGAAACGATGGATGGATTAACATGCAATTTTTATGGAGAAAAATGCGAAAAGCTAGTAGTTTGGTTGTGGCACGTGAAGTTCTCTCTAGTGCCAATTGAATGTAATAAATCAACATGTAATAAATCAACATCGCACCGGAAAACATCCATGACATTTGAATTTTCAACGGGATCTCGAATGTTTGCACTCTTTCGTGAATCGCTCTCTGGGTTGCGATGGAATTTCTGGCATTGCATTTGTTTCGTTATTTTATCATAGGCAAAAGCGCTGTTGCAAAGGAAACGCGAATTTATTCGATGCACCACATACACACACCGATTCCATTGGCATCATTGAGCCGTGTGTTAAGAGTTTTCAATCAACACTTGATCGCATCATGTTTTTAGTGGATTTGTATCGTTAAATTATGGGAACTAATTGAATATTCATAAGCGAATTCTCTCCATTTTTCCGAATCGAACAACAGTTCGGTGTGCGCTTGTTCTAATTTTTGGTTTTACATCTCCGCCAAAACATTCCACAACACACACAGTTAAAGCCATTGAATGAACAAACCATGATCGGAACGTTATAACGATAGGCCATTTCAAATGACCCTTTTTGAAATGTAAATAACGCTGATTTTCGGTTAGAATATTTCGGAAGTGCACTGAAAAACCGCACGGAATTGGGGCCACATTGATTTCAATTTAAAATGTTTGATTTCGGATTCAGCATTGGATCGATGATAAAACTATCGCAAAATCGCTTTGTGTTCGAGTTTGACCGCAGTTGTAAAATGTTCGATAAGAACATGAATGCATCCATTACTCATATTGATGTGATGCAATTTCCATTTAAAACGATGCGATCAACGGCTGCTCAACGGCTTTTGATGTAATTCCAATTTTTTTGCTCTCCCTCTGTCTTCCTTCCTCCTCTTGTGCGGTTGTTTTGTTTCATTTGGCTGTGCGACATTTTTATCGAACGAATCAATAAATCAGTCGTAGTTCATGTTTAAATGCTCAATGGAGTTGCAACACGTACGATGTGTGCGGTTCTAATGCCAAGGACTAATCCTGCATTCAATGCAGTGCATTGTGACGCTCATTGAATGAGCATCAATCGTGTGTGTATGTGAGAGAGTGAGAGAGTGGGAGACAGAGAGAGAGAGTGAGAGAGTGAGAGAGAACAAACAGAAAGAATTCGTAAAGTATTGAATACAAAACTGCAGTTTATTGTGGGGTTTTCCCAACCTTTTTGCATTGCCATCGTATACGAAATGGAACAATTACTTGGCAAACAAAAACAATGGAAAGGTCTGAATGAATATCGAGATTTTTGTGTGTTTTTTTTAGACGAATCACCGGTTAATCGCAGCGTAAGTGCAGATTATGTGTGCGTTTTAAAGTGTGTCGAATTGAGCGTTAAACGTGCATAACGACTTCTCATCATTATCATTCACGTGAACGAGAGAGAGAGAGAGAGAGAGAGAGAGAGAGATCAACGATACCCGAGTCGAACATTGATGCTTGTGTAATTTCAAAGCGAGATTTCAATCTTCGCCTTTTTTTCTGCTTTGTTCTCTTCACTTAATTATATAGATTTGTTTGTAATTTAATTCAATTCTGAATCGTTATTCGTTTCATTCAATTATTCAGTTCGCAATTGTTAACTCATTTTTGTTTCAATTGATTGAAAATTTTCTCAAAGTGATTTCTGATTGATCAGCTGACAAAAAGAACGTGATAGGAATTGGAGAAGGAAAAAAACACAATCGATTGAATTAAACAAATCATGGCATTTCTGAAACAATTATCTTATGATCGATAGATCGAAGTGTTGATGTTGACAGCGACGACAGCGAAAAAAAAACCAACGGCACCAGCAGAGCTGGAATGAAATTCAGCGGTGGAAAAGATTGCAATTGACGTCGTCAATTTGAAATTCTAGACCAAGGTGCTGGGATTTGTATCATATTGTCTGAGAATAGCAAAACCGCATTCTTGTGTCGTCTCACGACATTCTGCAAGCGCGTGCCCGCGAAAGTTACTTATTGAAATAGAAAGAAAAAAAACGTCGCAAAAAATGTGTGCTTCATAAAATAACCGCAAAAATGGGTGCACAAATTGTACAGAAAACCCACAAACAATCCCACGCGCACGGTGCACCGTGCGGTGTGCGTATGACGCAAATTGACTTAGAGCAATTCCGGTGAATTAATTAGTTGATCCAGAACTTTTGATGAAATTAAATTTTATTGTTTGAATCGAATTAAAATTGGTGTATTATTGTTACCGCCGCTATATCCACTTACCCGCAATGACTGTTGATGACAGGATGACAAATACACAGCAACAGGTGTACAATGGCGACCATCGTAAATACTTCGAAATTCCCTGCATTGTGTGCTCTGTGTTGGTAAATCTGCAAAAAAAAAAGAAGTGAAACGTTGAAAAATGTTTAAATAATAAAAGAATTAAATTTGGGTGAAATATGAAATTGGGTTTATGTAAGTGAGAGTGAGCATAATAAATGGTGCGCGAATAACTTTGGAAAATTGCTAATTAGCTCAAGAGCCGTGACGCTGCGTTGCTGTTGACATTTCAACTATGATCCGAAGCGCAAACTTTTTAATTATGATTTTATGGCATGAACATTAATAAAGCGAACGCGCGCGCGAAGCGACGCGCTTCCAATAAATAAATTAAATGGACTATAGATACAAATGGTGTGCAAACAATTTTGAACGGAGAAAAGAAGCACACAAAATTCTATTTTGATTTAATTCGATGATGTTGATGTGAAAATTATCGCCTGAAACAACACTTCATTATAATCACAATGTGCGAGAAAAAAAGCAGACAACACGATACAACACCAAACAACGCAGCACAGCACAGCCATAGATACAACTATGTGATGAAATCGAACACCAATAGTTGGAATTGATTGCATTTTCATGCGAATTAACTAACTGGCAATCGATGTGTGTGTGGATCGTTTGTCGTCATTACGAGATAATTTGTATAATTTATGGCAATTATTGACCGTATTGATATAAAGCCATATATAATTATCCAAAATAAACGTGTGCGTTATCGATGTACTGTGTGCCACCGCGGTCGCCGCACACTCAGCCAACAAAAATGCATTGAATGGATTAGTGTACGATGCCACCAGTGTATGAACGCATCATTTCGATTATATCCCACTTAAGCATATGAGTAAATAAACAGCGGTCACAGCGGGCACTCTTTCGGCCCGGTCAAAACCGGTGTAAATAGTGTACGCATATTGTATAAATTTTGCTGTATAAATGTGTGTAAATTCAATTTTGATGATGGCTATTGTCACCCAATTTCTCAACGATAAAAACATATGTGATCACAACCGAATGCGACCCAAGTGCAGATTTTTGAATAAATCGGTGACATAAATTGCATGCATTAACATCGAATTAAACAATGTGTTTATAACTTATAATTTTTGTACTGTTTTCATTTGGTTCTAGGCTAAATAAAGCGCGCGTGCGTATACACACACAGCAGACAATGGCTTAGCATGAGTTAAAGGCAACACCCACAACATATAGCCCAGACAATAGCTAGAAAAATTGTATAAAATTACATTTGGTTTTCATGCACGATTGCGGACAGCGAAAAGCATATTGTATCGTATACAAAACCCTGTCTGTTTATATCCAAAACGAAGGCGAATCACGGCGCATATTTGCTATCGCTAACCGATTTAAACGAAAAAGGTAAACACATCGCTTGATATCGATACACACACAATCCGTTTATGGTAAATCGATAAAATTCATTATCAAAAATGTATATAAGTCGGTAATTATGAGTATAGCGTTAAAAGCTAATTATCGGCATTTATATGATTTGTGCGGAACGTCGGTTGGATTAAATGTGCGCATTATGTGTTCAGCGATCTTGGTCAGCTGGTAAAAACGACATTTTTTGGCATTCGTTTGGCTGTTGATTCTGATTGAATTGGCTATTTTTAGGAAATGATTGAGTGATTTTCGAGGAAGAATACTATTGCACGAATGAGATGTCGATTGTCGCAGATTTTTATTCCGTACACACATTTTGTTTCTATGGTAAAATACATTTTTTTGGACATTCTCTATTTCAAGCACCGAAAAAAGCAGTGTATTTTTTTGCTGCTTTTGTCAAGTTTGCGCATAAAAACAGTGACCTTGAAACTTATCGTGAATTGCGGCTCTATTGCACGTTTTGATTTTTTTTTTTCAATTGTGTTTTTGTGTTCAGCAACGACAGCAGTAGAATGAATGAATGAACAAACAAAAAAACGGCACAATAATATTGGTTCATCGAACAGAATCAATTTCCAACTTAAATGCATGATTATTTGGCTATTTTTCTCGTTGACGGTATACGTTCGAGCTCGAGAACAATGCCAACAAAAACGTTTAAACACCCGTTCTATTGATTGGTCTCCCCCGATGAGTGGATGTAGATCCAGCATCACGTACATTGTTTCGGTTTGTTAGCTCGTTCGTTCGTGTGTTTTTGTTTGCAAATTTTAAAATATCATTGAAGTCAATTACGTTTTAAAATGCTTGAAAACGTTTTTTCTTTCCGTTTCTCTTCATCTTTTTTCGATGAGATTTACATAATTGCGCAAGAAATATTAACACGGAATGAAATGAAATGCGGAAATATGAATAGCTGTGAAAATTGATCTCAATTTCTTAGGAAATTTGTGCAGTGAAGAATGTATGCACTTTGCATTCTAGGAAGAGTGTGTGAATTTTAATCTCGATTTCGTTGTCAATTTGCGGTTTGATATTGAAATAGAACTTGTCATTCGCGCGACATATTTTGAAAACAACAATTTCTTCGAAAACATTGATTTTGTGGTGTCGAGACGAAAAAATCCGTCCGAGACGATTCATATGACGATGGTTTCTGTTTATATGCGAGTAAATTGACGGATTTTATGAATGAACAAAAACTTTTACTACACCGATAAAAAAAAATCACGATTTCGACAAGTGATTATTATTCATTCACAAGAGTTTAAAACCGGTGAAATCGAAAATGTGCGTCGAACAGCAACAACAACACAGCGATGCATTGGCCGCGTTGAATGAAATGCGCACCGATCGTTATTCACGAGCTTCTGGTGCTAATCAGTCAATGAATATATAAAGGCAACGTAGAAGAATTTGGCCTGAATTCGTCACTCTTAATTATGTTCGCCGATATTGGGGCGCGAAATTGAACGAAAGACGGAAGTAAATCACTCAACCTGAGAAATTCTCGATAAAAATAATCGAAACTTTGAGTTCTCAATACAAAACAATGATAAAATTCAAATTTTTATTGAAAAAAAAAAACAGAAAAAAAACAAATCGAAATTACGAGCAATACTTTTGTTTCAATAATTTCAAATGACGATAATTTCTTTGTTTCGATATATTTTTTTTCCTATTCCGGTAATTAAAATCGGTACTGCAAATGAGCATTTTTCGTGATAATAGCCGTTGGCATGGCGTGGCAACGGCGGCCACCACCGCCGAATGAAATTAGCATACAATCCTATTTGATATTCACGTCTCAAAACCAGTGCACGTGCTTGCTAATCACAATTATTTCAGGTCTCTATGTGACGCGTATTTACATGTGCAAGACGTCACCTTCAAGTTTCAGAGCATTTTGGCTCCGCTGGATTTGTTTTCTGTTTCGCTTTTTTCCGTTTCCATTCGAATATGTGCACATCGCGGAATGCAAATGGTTTCATCGCATCATGGCACATAAAAATTGTTTCACTATCAAACATTCATTTACTTACAATCACGTATCGTTGTCGTCGACTGAAATCACTTATATTGAATATGATATTTGAAGTTTGAACAGAGGCTTCTGATGAATTGAATGTTTTCAATTTTCATTTTTTTTCTCACTTTTATTCAGTTATTTCAGAAAAATTTAGTTCTGTGAAAGGAAAATTCCATCGTACTGATACAAAGTGATGGAAAGAATCTTGACATTGTGATTCAATTGGTGGGGAGAAATAGTGTAGTTGTCGACAACATGAGCTGATAGCGATCGTACATGAAACAATATTATTTTAATTAAATTCCGCATGAGCGCAGACAATTGAAATCGATGTCTCGTTACAACGAGAATGTTTTTTCTTCGTTTTTCGCTACAGCGAATAATTCTGAAAAAAATCGTTTCGTTGACTTTTTTTTCCTGCTGCAATTGATGCTAATTCGAACATTATACGAGATTATAAAAGTCATTTGATATTCAGCTGTTTTAGGAACTTTGTTTTTTCTCAATTGTTTAAACACATATATTGATTTCATGCACTGTCATGATAAACCGCAAACTCGTGGCTTCTTGTCGGTTTTGCATAGGAAGACGAATAAAAAAGAAGCGACAACTTTGTTTGCCATGCAAAGAAAAAAGAAACATATCCCGGAAAATAGTTGTCAAGGGACCTTGTTGTCAAATTTCCCTATAAATTTGCATCCAAACAAACAGGCGGACGATATTTGCCGCGCAAAAGTAAAAAAAGCCAAAGTTTTCTGTCGTTTATCTATAACTCAATGTTCTAAGCATATAAATTCGTCGAAAGTGCCCATAAATATTGCCGCAATACGTGTTTGTGTGTAAGTGTGTGTGGGGGTCAATCAAGCGAAATGGAGGTAAAGTATCACAAAGTTTATGTTTATCAAATGCGCGACATTAGTTGCGATGCCGTGCACAGAATGAGAATAAAAGCAAACAATCAGACAGAGGAAAAAAGCAACTTAAATTCAGATTGAAGTTAAATTCGTTGTTTCGGTCGTGTGGCACGTGTTTACAGTAAAGTTTTCGCCTGGGTCCACGCTCGCGCGACACCTTAAACACACGCGAGTGCGCGATGCTGAGATTGAGTTTGGCTTTCGGCAAATATTGACTGGGTACCGTGATTCGCATGCGAACGCATAAAGCACGTGTAATCGCCGCTTAAACTAGTTTTGCAACTGTTTCTTTTATGAGAAGAAAAAAAAACCAGTCGATTGACTGATGCACACAAACACTCATGCACACAGGCATTAGCGGAAATGAAACAATTTTCCGGTGTCCGATGTCCGATGTTCCGTCAAATTCACGCTTCACAGTGGACAATAATTGAAAATTTACAACTTCATTCAATTGTCGAAATTGAAAATTGCCTTCGAAAAAAAAGAGAAAAACCACCGAATGAGGCTTTGAGAATTACTGTAAATTAATCGAGCATTGCCATGTGCATGTTCTCTAGAATCATCCATATGAAAAAAAAAACAAACAAACAGCAGTTCGCTATAGCAAGTGCACTAATATGATGTGAATTCACGAAAGAGAAATGCATTTGATTTATATCGGCTTCATTGTTCTTCCATGCACAAAACCAAACATGATTTTTACAACACACACACACACACACAGAGAGAGAAAAAACAAGCAGCACCTGTATGGAATTTCATAATAAAATGGATTTATTGATGTTAGGTTGAGTCAGGTGGTGTGTTTTTGTGCATTTCGGAGTCATTCAATTTCGAACTCAACTGCAAAGAATGTGCCATAAAAAGAAGCCCATGTTAAATGATACAAAACATTGAAGACTGAAAAGGAGAAATGAATACGCCCGTGTATACGAAATGCACACGACGAGCGCTATTGTTTGTGCTGAAAGTTATTTTAATTTGGTGTAATCGAGACACTTTTCTCTCTCTCTCTCTCTCTCTTTCTGTCTCGTTCTCTCTCTCTCTCTCTCTCTCTCTCTCTCTCTCTCGGAATGAATGTGATTAATTGCTCGGCAAATTAGCGGCAATAAATTAAATCAATGAAAAAATTTGCCAGCTACTGATGATGGTACAGCTTACCACTGAAATGTTAAACTCCACACAAAATCGCTTCGCACACTGAAATTCGACACGGCTTCGTGCGAAGGAAAAGGAAGGATAAACAACGAGCCACACGAAAGAAGTATGACGAAAATGTCGAGAGAAAAAAAATTGTAACAATGAGAAGTGGAAATTAATGGAATGTCACGATGCAACGCTTTTGTGATTTCAGTCGAAAACCGCATAAATCGATTAAATATTTACTTAGATTCAGCCGTATTTACTCGGTTTTATTTTTTGGTGGCCCTTTTCATTGAATGGTCGTATTTTGCAAACACACACATACCCACGTACATACATTCCGTGTTGCACGTATGACTTGTGCCGATTTCGGTGAGAAATGAGGTAGATCCGATAACCCGATACATTTGCACACGTCGTTTAAAATCAATGAGCGTGTCCGTTGTCATAGTTGCATACATTTTGTTTATGTTTACGGTGCATATTTTCGAGAGAGTCACACCGGTCGTACACACAATTTTCGCTGGTAATCGTTGTGTTCGGCTTGACATATAAGTGGACCGCGAAAAAAAAGAAACCAAACAGCAGCGAAAAACCAAGACTCAGTTCCAGGATCGTTCACTTTGAATGATAAGACAAATTATTGCAAATAAGTCAACCACGGATAAAGTTTCGAGTCAGCAAATCCATTGCGGCAAATCCAAAAACCAAACCGAACTTTGAAGCACTCTATGGTTATTCATCCCTTTAAACATGCAATATCAACAACAACAACATCACAAGGAGCATACAAGCACACCAGTTGTTTGTTGTAGCAACATGCGCGTCGTTACTTTGAGTGTGCTCTGGAATGCAATTCGATATAAAATTGGATTACAGCAGGTTATGCAGTCGAAAATGAAGGGAAATTTGATAAAGTGAAACAAATCAGGGATCGAATACTATATATTATAGTCTGTATAGAGTACATACAGCACCGAAAATCGCTACGATTCCAAAGTTGAATAAACTTAATTTAAATATCTTATGTACTTCATCAAATGTTGCAACTCTACACACACACACACACATCGATTTTGTCAACTTGAAACCAAAACTATTCTCGTAATTACACTTTTTGAAAGTTTTTTCGATAAAATTCGTGTGCATTCGTCACTTTTGCGTTGCCCAAGAGGGAATACTCATTTCGCTTCTTTGCCTCACATTTTACGACGCACAGAGACGATAAAATTGTTTATATATTATATTTTGTAGTGAACTTTGTCGTAACTTATCCTTGACAAACTTTGTGTGTGTGTGTGTGTGTGTTTGTCTAAACAAATCTCCGTTCTGCCGAAATGCTCCGCACCATCGAAAAGGCGTCTTTCAAGTTTGTAACTGTTGAAAGTGATTTTAAGCGTACACTTGCTTATTTCGTTCATAAAACGGTACACTGGTTTTTCAGTACATTCTGACAGTAGAATCATTAGCCAATCTCATGTTCACTCAAATCACCCAGTCAGTTCCACAGTTCACAGTTTCAATTTTAAAGAAGAAGACAAAAAAAGGTCGTAAAATACTGAAAACCAGTTTGGATTTTGTCGTACATTGGCGTCATCGTCACCGGCCAAAGATAAACGAACATCATTAATGATAACTACTACCATATGAATTCTTCGATGCCATTTTGACCGGGGAAAAAGTACGGTACGATTTTGGACGTTTTCTAGTTTTTTTGCAGCAGTACTTGCCGTTTTTTTTTACTTTTTCAAATACTCCGAATAGCCATTTAGAGTGTGGTTGTAAAATTCAAATTTATGCTAATGTCGAATCATGTCCATGGCCTTCGGTCACAAATCAACACATAGTTGCGATTCAACGTAATGGATATTTGTGTCACAACCGTTACTCCATTTACTATAAGCCACAAAGTCACATAGCGGTACTCTTGCAACCGAAACTGTCGAACGCATGACCACTGGTCAAACATCAAGCGTCCAAGCAGATGTTCGTATCGATTTCAAACGAAATTTAATCAAACATCACCACAGTGCGGACCATTGAATGAGTTCAGGAAATATCGATCAAATATGCGACCGGAAATACCGATTCGGGGAATATTTGTTTTGACTGTGCATAAAATGGGTTTTCTCTGCTGATTTTTATTTTTCAATTCGTTCGCTGAATCTGAATTTGAGAGGTAAACACAGAATTCGTACGTTCAAACGCATTGGGGGGGAAATGAACGAGGATACATTCGCTGAAAACGGTTGGAATTGATTACAAATTTGGCATTTTATACGCAAATATGTCATGTGGACGAGAATAACCAATTTGGAATTTAACCAAATGTCATACAGTGGGTTATAGAATGGATTATCAATATTGCTCCCTATCAGGAATGGATTGTTTACTTCGAGATTTGCCAGAAAACCCTCATTGCAATTGGATTTGCAACAACAACAAAAAATGGTTAATGCATAGAGACATCAGACTGAAAATACGTTCGAGACAATCAAATCCTGATAGCCTTTTGTGAAGCCAAATATTTGGTTCAGCTTATAAAAGTCATACCGATGTACTTTTGCTTCAGTTTCAATTCCATTTTCGAAGTGCAACTTACTCAAAATGAAAGCAACATTTTTCTTCTGCTATTTGGTGCTGGCCATTTTTTTACTCAGTGATCGATTCAACTGTCATCCAGACACCGACGTTCCTTGTCCAGATAAATACGAAAATTTACCAGCAAAATGCTTCCACTATGAACGTAAGAAATCAAATACGAAACGTTTTTTTTTCTTTATTAATTCGAGAAGAAAAATTGTATAAAATTTGAAATGTTCTCATTTTGATATTTTAAAATAATTCCTGATTATTTTTCTTGCAGTTCATCGTGATGAAAATTGTAAATCTCAATCGATGCACAAACAATTCTCTTATCAAGGAAGAATATGTTACTGCTGTTTGAAATACACTAAATGATTTACTTATTGTAATAATTCCTGAAACTATTAAATTCCATTCATTTCATTTCAAAGAGGAATATTGAACTCTCTTCATTCTCATTCATTAAATTTTCGAACATTTTTATAAATGGAATTGATTTAAAAATTGTCGATTGAGTCAAATAAAGTATGTGATGTCTTATGTAAAAAATTGTCGCTTTTGGTTTTGTTTAAAAGTTGTTTTGATTTTTTTAGAAAAAGAGTCTTATCATCATTGAAATGACAGACTTCTTGGTACAGACGTTTTTTCACGTTCAGTCAAGAATAACAGTGGCTGTGTAATACAACAGTGTGTATACAAACGTATTCAAACCAATCAATTCAATTGACATACATTTAGAATGATGTGATAAGGGCTCGTATAAATACTTTGATTAAGCAATCATATTTCAGTTTGAGTTCTGAATCCGGGAGACGTGGGCATCTTTGATTTTAATTAAGTGAGTTTGAAACAATGAGGGCCGCAGTTGTATTTATTTTAATCGCGTTGACCATTCTCTTGATCAGTGATCAAATTAGCTGTCTTTCGATTTGCCCGCAAACGCATGACACCAGAGTGGTACGATGCTACGTACATGAGCGTAAGTAATACGATAAATGTGTAAAATGTTCATCGTCAAATCAACGAGGAACAGTTGAAATTAAAACTCTTCTGAATATTTCCATGTCATTGTTCTTCAGCGGATTGTGGCTCTGGCTCATATACTAAAGTTACTCGTGACCAGAGAACATGCTTCTGCTGTAATGAATTCATTCAGACTTAAGCCTAGCTGATGAAAGACAATAAGCAAGTAAACGAGCAAAAGGGACTTCCAACAAACAAATAAAATATTGGGAATTTAATCAGAAAAATGTGAAACTTTCAAAGTTATTTTTGGTGTTCCGTCAAAAGATAAATCTATTTCAATAAATAAAATGGCCAGTTAACCACGTGCAATCAAGGTTCATTGCTTTAAAAATACTAGATTACTCACGTCTTTTATACTAGCTGTTCAACATAAAAAGCTGTCGGTTTGTATTCAGACTTGATCAGTTCAATCATGTTGCAAGCGAATACGGGGGATTTTCACAACGCAGTCTGATGAGTGAGTGTATAGTTTTTTCCAGAAATGAAAATTGAGAAAAGCAATTTGCACGCAATAGAATAGCATCAGAGGCATCAGCAAGAGCAGTGGCGGCAACGGCGACCGCAGCTTTGATTGAACAATGAATGATGTGAATGTAAGCTGATACGATTTACAAGTATTTGTAGCGCAGCCACAAAATCATTTGCATCCTCGACGAGAACAGCTCGGCATGAATGTTGAGTTTGAGTGTAAAGCTTTTCGACATGAAACGATATGAATTTTGCATAAAAACGCACAACAACAAAAAACTGTGCTACTCGCCGCATGTCGTTTCAATACATTTGGTGTTGGAGCGTTTGATTGTGCGCGAAAGTGACGGTAGCTCTAATTAAATCACTCAACTTTATGGGGAAGCTGCTGTGTGCCTGAGCAGCCCATTCTAATGATGTAAATGAGTTAATTATTCATTTCTGGTTTATTTATTTTTTTCGCGCGCACACAATTCCAACTGAGCAAGACGTGCGGCTCACAACTCTGTGATATCATCGAACATGAATCAATTTTTACTACAATTTTTCCCCAACTCTCTCTCTCTCTCTCTCTCTCTCTCTCTCTCTCTCTCTGTCTGTCTCTGTGTCTCACTCCCTAGAATGCAAGAAAAAATGCTTGCAAAAATTCCTGTCTCTTTTGTGTTCGAGTGCGGCATTCGACGAATGGCAATAAAATAATCTTTTTTGAATTATTGCATATTTGCAAAAAGATCGAATGAATCACGACTTGAAAAAAAACTATCTGTGTTTGATTTAGCGAAAAGAGACCATGTGCTGTGATGTGATGAAATGCGGGCGAGAGACAATGGTGTAACGAACTGCCAGCCAAAATTGCCAAATCAAACGGGACCCAGCGAAGCGAAAGAGAGCGGCAATGAAAGAGAACGACATAAAACAGCTCTATTTGCATGACAAACATATGTGATAATGGAATTTCGCGGGCTCACACTCAACCGACCCAATGTGAATAACATCGAAAATATGCGATTGTGTCAATAACAAAGAAAAAAGAAAAGAACAAACACCGAAGCGATCAAGGCATTGCACCAAATATATATTATACGAAAATAGAGATATTAATTCCAACTTACCGGTTTTCTTTTGGCTGGTCGCGTTTTGATGACAGAGAAATGCTTAAACCCTCACTCACACAACAAATAACAACAACAATTTTAAGAAAAAAAAAACGACTCTTTTATGGATCAACGGACAACGACGACGATAGTCGATTGACCAAAAGGAATTTTATCGCGTACGGTGTGAGTGTGAACGAGATAGAAGTAATTGTATATGCTCCAATTGTGATTTAAAAAAAAGAAGGTAAAAATAAAAATGCGTTTTAACGTCAGGTAAATGCCATCGAAATGAATAAAAACAAAACGAACGAATTCTCTTGATTCTTTTGATTGGATTATACAACACCACCAGGTTTCACGGAATTATCGACGCGCAATAGATTCGGGTTCTATGTCTTTCTTTTATCAGCTGGGTGCTATTGCATTAGAAATGCGTAGTTTTGTTGTATTTTGTGTGCCTTGATGTTCCGCTCTCTCTCTCTCTCTCTCTCTCTCTCTCTCTCTCTCTCTCTCTCTCTCTCTCTCTCTCTCTCTCTCTCTCT